ATAATTAAAGTAATTCAACTTTTCAAATTGTTCATCTAATTATATTTAATATAAGAAAATTTGTCGTCTATCTGACAACGTCCTAAACTCCAGCCTTTCTTAAAAGCTTTAATCATAATATTTGATTGATTTTTTAATTAATTAATTTAATATTTAAAGAGAATTGTAATATCATTAAATATAGTTTAAGTGTGATATAATTTAATAATTCAAAAATGAAATGTTAAGAATTCTGAAAAACTCAAAACTTAACATTTCCATTTTGAAAGCAACAGTGAATGGTTTTAAGATATGTTCACTCTAATCAAACATTTGGTGGTGATCTTCATGGATAGAACAATGAAATTCTTGAACAATGGATTGGATTTTGAAAAAGAATTTCAATTTATTGAGAAGATTTACAAGATCATATGTAAGAAATTGTGCAATCAAAATTTATATTGATTAATGTTTATCACATTATGAAGCTCTCGACATTTTCGGTGGAAGTAAAAAAGTGTCAAAAAGATTCTTACTCCAGTCTGCAATTTATTTCTTGTTTTGGCTGGTGGTTCACTTCAAGAATGTGTTTGTTGACTTCGTGTCAGACAGAGCGAAACAATTTACCGGAATTATTGGCATCTCCGTTTTTTATCAGGTAAATTTTAGATTTAGCAATTAAAACGTTTTCATTTAAATAGCTTTTTATAAATAGATGATCGTAAAATCTTACGCAATATGTTCACAACTTGACATCGTTAGTAAAATAAAATCGACAATGACGGAGGATGCAATGAACACAACTGAAGAAGAAATGCAGATTGAGATTAAATATCGAAAGTATTCACGGATTCTGATTGCTGGAATAGCATTTCTTTCTTGCTTAGTTATGGGGATATCAGTTTTGTGGTCATTGATTTTCATTAAGCAAATGGTGATGATAACTAACATTCAAATTCCATGGACTTTGTACGTATCAAGAACATCTCTTAAAGTCCTTAATTTCACATAAAATATTTGACAGGCCAGACACGCATCCATCTCACGAAATAAATCTTATCATGATGTTTCTTTGGCAACTTATTTCAACTCCTCTAATTGCTAGTAAGAATTAATATAAGAGAAAATACCTTCAAGAAAAAAATTAATTAATGAATTAAATAGGTTTCGATTCGTTCTTCATCTTAGTGACATTTCATTGTGTTGCTAAAATGTCTGTTTGCTGTTCAAAAGCATCGAAAATCGATGGGAAAACTGATGAAAATTTTATTTCTGATTTGGTTGAAAAACATTTACGTGTTATGGAAATGATCAAAATATCTGCAAAAATATTCAACCAAACATGCTTTCATCAACTTTTCACAACGTTTGGCGTCATAGTTTGCTCAACTTTTAATTTTACAAACAGATTTGAATTATTTCCTTTTGTGATGCTCTCAGCAGCAATTCTCCAGCTTTTCTTTTATTGTTTTCTGGGAAATATTTTGTCATCAATGGTGAGTTACATTAATTTATACTTCAAATTTAATTACTTTTATTTTATAAATCTTTTATCAGTGTGAGAAGTTTCAGGAGTCAATTTATTGTTCGAAATGGTATGAAATCGAAAGCATTTCAATTAGAAAGAAAATTTTACTCATTTTGATGATGTCACAACGTAGAAAGGAATATTCGTTCTTTGGAATTAAACCTTTGAACTTGGAAACATTTGCAGATGTCGTCAAACAAGCTTACACTTTTATAAACATTTTATTGAGACTTTTATAAAAAGTTTTCACTTAAAATACACAAATAAATGTCACATATGAAGCAATCATAACATGTTTTACTGCGTGATTTTTTATACAAGAATGTTAGGTCGAGAACATTTTGTGATCTTTGATTTATAATTTATATAGATATAATTTTGTGCAACCCATCGGGATCAGTGATGCGGAATTATAACAACATATCGCTTAGAGTAAATAAACTTACTTGAATGATTGAATTCTGATTTGAATAAGTATTTCCCTTTAATATGTTTTTTAAAGGGTTTGCTTTAGGCTTCTAAACAATCGTAAAATAATTAAAGTAATTCAACTTTTCAAATTGTTCATCTAATTATATTTAATATATGAAAATTTGACGTCTATCTGACAGGGTTTTGAAACATTTTTTATCTTCTTTTTCCCTTGATTTCAATCAAGACATTTTCTTTTATTAGTAGAATCATTAAATAAATTTAAGTTTGATATAATTGACAAAATTTTACAAAGTTTAATTTAATAATTCAAAAGCTAAATGTTGAGAATTCTGAAAGGCTCAAAATTTGACATTTCCATTTTGAAAGCAACAGTGAGTGGTTTTAAAATTTGTTTGTTCTAATCAAACATTTGTTAGTGATCTTCATGGATAGAATAACGAAATTTTTAAACAATGGATTGGATTTTGAAAAAGAATTTCAATTTATTGAGAAGATTTACAAGATAATATGTAAGGAAATTGTGTGATTTAATTCAAATTAGGTAATTAAAGTTTATCACATTATGCAGCTCTCGACATTTTCGGTGGAAGTAAAAATGTGTCAAAAAGATTTTTACTTCAATCTGCAAATTATTTTCTGTTTTGGGTAGTGGTTCACTTCAAGAATGTTTTTGTTGATTTCGTGTCAGACAGAGCGAAACAATTTGCTGGAATTATTGGCATCTTCGTATTTTATCAGGTGAAATTTGTATTAGCAACGAAAACGTTTTCATTTAAATAGCTTATCATCAACAGATGTTCATGAAATCTTTCTCAATATGTTCACAACTTGACATCGTTAGTAAAATAAAATCAGCAATAACGGAAGATGCAATGAACACAATTGAAGAAGAAATGCAGATTGAGATTAAATATCGAAAGTATTCACGAATTCTAATTGTTGGATCATTATTTGTTTATTGCTCAACTATGGGGATATCAGTTTTGTGGTCATTGATTTTTATTAAGCAAAGGGTGATGATAACAAACATCCAAATTCCTTGGACTTTGTACGTATCAATAACATGTCTTTAAGCAAGGATTGCACATAAAATATTTGACAGGCCAGACACTCATCCATCTCACGAAATAAATCTTACCATGATGTTCCTTTGGCAATTCTTTGCAGCTACTATGATTGCTGGTAAAAACTTTTTACATTAGAATTTAATTTCAATTATGAACAAATTAATTAAATAGGATTTGATTCGTTCTTCATCTTAGTGACATTTCATTGTGTCGCTAAAATGTCTGTTTGCTGTTCAAAAGCATCAAGAATCGATGGAAAAACTGATGAAAATTTCATTTCTGATTTGGTTGAAAAACATTTACGTGTTATGGAAATGATCAGAATGTCTGCAAGAATATTCAACCAAACATGCTTTCATCAACTTTTCACAACATTTGGCGTCATAGTTTGCTCAACTTTTAATTTTATAAACAGATTTGAATTATTTCCTTTTGTTAATTTTGGTTCAATAATTTTCCAGCTTTTCTTTTATTGTTTTCTGGGAAATATTCTGTCATCGATGGTGAGTTACATGAATTAATATTTCAAATTTAATTATTTTTAATTTTATAAATTTTTTATCAGTGTGAGAAGTTTCAAGAGTCGATTTATTGTTCGAAATGGTATGAAATTGAAAGCATTTCAGATAGAAAGAAAATTCTGTTCATGTTGATGATGTCACAACGTAGAAAGGAATATTCGTTCTTTGGAATTAAACCTTTGAACTTGGAAACCTTTGCATATGTCGTCAAGCAAGCTTACACTTTTGTCAATATTTTATTTAGACTTTTATAAAAAGTTTTCACTTCATCGAAGATGCATAGATTTGTTCTAAGTAGAAATCTCACAAATTGATCAACTTCGACACTTAAAATACTCAAATAAATGTCTCAAATGTAGCAATCATAGCATTTTTTTATTGTATGATTCATGCAAGAATGCCATGACGAGAGAATTTTGCAGTTGTGCAATGCATTAGCAAGAACTTCCGGTTGAGTTTTTTCTTTGCAGGCAGTCTGTGAATTTTCTCATGTTGACGTATAATTTTGCGCAACCCATCGAGATCAGTGGTGCGGAATTGTTACAACTGAAATCATTCATCAGAAGGGTCTAAACCAACAACGAAGTGAACAAAACAAACTGAGGGTTGAGTCACGTCATCGATCTGTGACTGTGACAAGCTACATGAAAACATTTTTGAATCATATATTTCACTCCCAAAAAGCAGGAACACAGAAAATAAAGCAAAACAAAGTTTTACGATTGTCAATCAATAAATTTTAATTCAATTTATCGAAGAAAACAACGAAAATATTTGACTGGCATTGTTGTAACGTGAAGTAAATGAAAAGAAACTTTTTCTGTCTGTTTTCCATCGATAAAACCTTTCAAAAAGTCTTCACTACGCGATTGAATTTCAAGAGTTTAGTAAATTGTAAGACTGCTGAAGGAACGTGAATAAACAATCTGAATCATTGCAAAATTATGGAATTGACTTGAATGACGGTTCTAAGAATTCCCTTGTAAGCTTCAATTAGGTGATTCACCATGTCAATGAATAAATTCGCCACTACCTAGGTAGGTTTATGTGAATTGAAATAGACGATAAACATTCATTTAAATGTGTGAGTGAATCTCAACTTCCAAGTATCGTAAAACATAATCCGATTCTTCTTCTGCGGTTAAATTCCATAAACCGCTTCATGCTGAAGCCCTGTAAACGAAAAAAGGTAATGAAATTAAATTATGGATTAAATAAGCAACAACTTGCGATTTAATTTTTTGTTTATTTATTTATTTTTCTTCTTTCTTAGAAATTTTCAGTTTTTTTTTCTTCACTTCTTTCTGTTTGTCTTACAAAATAATCATTTCGTCTATTTATCATTTGAAGAGATATTTTTGTTTGATTGTATAATTTCTAAATTAATTTACACGAAATTTCCACGAAACAGTTATTTAAAGTTTGGATTGGAAGGCGATAGAAATGAATGAATAACTGGAAGAAGATTTCAATGATTTGCGTAATTGGGATGGGAAAAGAAAGAGAAAAAAGTCGCTTAACATGAGTCACGATGAAATTTTCGTTGAATTCACGATAAACATTCTCAATCATCTCGTCTCGACCGATCGATCGACAAAAAAATTGACTCATCGTACAGTCAAAAACTTCGAAGTCGTACGGGGGAAGCGAAAAAGGTCAAATTAATGTAATTGTGTAAAAAATGTTATTCCTCATTTTCGATTCTCTCGACACAAACTTCTTCTCGTTGTCGTTCGTTATGAACACTTGAGACTTATTTAGACTGAGAGGAAAAAAAGTTTCACGTTAAGGCGTTGCCAGTGAGAAATCATATTTCAACAATGCATTGCAAAAATTCTCAATAAAATTTCCCAATTGCTCAAAATTTCGACCTTCCAATCAAAACCACAAAAACTAACTAAAAACTAAAGTCCATAAAATAATTATGAATGGAATGATACAATATTTCTCTCTCAACTTTTTTTCTTTTGTGGGTTTTCTTTTTTCTGTTACGTGCCTTGTTGCATTTTTTTGCGATGATGTCATGACTCATGAGAGCTTTGCATTGTTACTTCTGCTACTGTTTCAGCTTTTTAGTGGCATCAGAAGAAAAAAAGAGTTTCTTAAGTTGAAAGAGATGAATCATAGAATAGTCGAATAGTCTTCAAGTAGCACTATGACCATCAATGCAAATTAACATGAATCTCATAATACTAAACATAAGTAAACAACTCTTAATACATCACACTAAAAGCTGTCTGTTAAATGTTACAATGATATGATTTTTTTCTTCTTGATTTTTTCATTTATCTCTTCTTCATTTTGTTTCTACATTAAACTTGATGAACTTAAAATCGAATAACTTAAAAATTTCTACAATATTTTTTTTTTCTTTCGTAATTTTAGACAAAACAAAAAAGTTTTTTGTATGGAGGCACTTGATTTAAAAATAGAAAGAAATTTTTTCTTACTTTAAAAGAATGAAATATGAATTGTAAGATAAGACGAAAATTTATAGTCTTTAAATTGATTTTTGATTGGAATTTATTTACTTATTTATTTTTGTCTAACGTCATGGAGCGCGTTATTGCGGCTGATTCATTAAATTAAAATCATCTTACCGTTTACTTCCCATAGAGAAGTTCTAGATTGCGATTGTAAGTTCTGAGAGAAGAAGATTTTTGTCTTCAGCTGCCGAGGGAAAGAATTGGCAAGTTTGAATGCTTAATTATACATAGAAACGACTTAGTAGGGCTAACATAAAATATTTTCTCAGGAAATTACTTATCACAGCTTCAAGCTCATCTAGATTTCCTCTAAGGGCGGGGCAGGCAAAATGTCTCATGAATTTATGTAATTTATGACAAAGATTATCTTCAAAAATGCACTTTTCTTGTGTTGTTTGATTGTTTATACTTTTAGACTTAAAGTTAATAACATTTATCTAAATATTATGATTGATGAAAATGAAAATGTTGAGTTTATGTTTAGTTTCTTCTTTTCTTAAAGGCAGGCAGTTTTAAGACGACAACGTTCAGTATTCTTCTTTTTTTAATCTAATGTCTGTCAGGGCACAATATTTCGACACATAAATGCACTTTTCTTTCTCTTTTTGTTAGGCGCTTAGGCTTAATTAATAACAATTGGCCGGAATTTCTCGTTTTATTCATTCTTGTTTGAATTCAATTAAAGATCTAACTAACTTTTCCGATTTTGTATAAAATAGTGTTGATTTATCATTTATCAGTTATCAGTACATATTTTTGCATTTTAGAATTTAAATTTGTTTATAAAATCTATTTTTAAATGAACTTTTATGATTAATGATATAAAATCACAAGTTAGAAAAATAAAATAAAAAGTTTTGACCTTTGTGACTTTAACTTTTCCCTCTTCATTCATGATGACGATCAGTTCATAATCCATCGTAAAAGTTCAATTTCACGTAGTTATGAACATAATTCGACTCATTTTTTTTAAACTATTAAGAGATGAATTTTTGTTTAAATTTAAGCCGCTCCACTCCGACTTTGGTTGCATCGTTTTTCAAATAAGAAAACTTTACTAAAGTTTTGTTTTTTTTTCTTAACATCAACTTCAAAATGAAATATTCAATGGGCTCATGTTGTTGAATGAAGCAATTGATTATTCCAAATGTGAACGTGTTTCAATATATGTACATAGATCGTCTTTAAAAGGAAGAAATGTAATTAATCTTAACACCTAGTGACGTCATCTACTTGCGATTCAAAGAAGTTTACTTCGCCTCCAACAAATTTCAGGGATATTTGTCATTTCACGATCAATGCCGCTTTTCTCATCTCTTCTTACTTAATTTTATTTTCAGCTTGTCCAACTATGGCATTAAAAGTCTCGTTCTTTTGGTCGCTTCTCTTCCTTCTTTCTCCATAACACGTTCTTCTTCGAATAAATTTTAACAAATAAAAAAATTCACTGTAGAAAGAGAAAGAAAAATAAGAAAGGAATGAGTGGAATGAAGTAAAGAATGATCGTAAATTATACACACAACAAAATCAAATTGAGATCCCCAAACGGTCATTTACTCACGCACACACACACACACAAACATTCACATGGAAAGCAACAATTGTGTTGAATATCCAGAGAAGAAAGAAAAAGTTTAAGAAAAATAAAATCACAGAAGATTATGAATTTAAATCGACCCCGAAAAAAGTAGAAAAATAGAAAGAAAGAAAGCAGCAAATCGCTCTGGATACTTTTCATCATAATTAAATTCAAAGTCCGGAAAGAAATTATCATAATTTCCCATCAACACGCTGGAGACACAAACAGCGTTTCTTTTTCTTGACATAAAACATGGCCGAGTTATAATTTGTTTTCATTCTACCTTTGCTCTCAATTTCTCTCCTTTAATTCTTACACACAACTTTTTTTCATGCCTTGTCTTCTTTCTACCTTTCTTTCTCCTTTGCTTTAGTTTCCATCTTTGAAAATATTGCTTTTCAGTTCTTGTTGTATAAGAACACGAAGCATGGTAAAAGTTGGTTCCATCCATTTCAATCGGTGGTTGAAAAACCAATACGTACACAGGTAGTCGCCCCACATATATTTATTTAAAACAAACTAAACGACGAAAGAAATCTGAATAAACACCAACAATATTTTGCCTTAAGCAGCATAAAATTTTAGTCAACGTTTTTGATAAGAACAGGAAAATAAAGTCGCGTTCGTTTCTCAACGATTTTTTTCTTCTCTTTCTCTTCTTTTAATAAAAATAATTTGATAACGACGACGACGACAACGATGATGTTTCGATCGTGTTTAGTTTTAGAGAAATTCCAAAAGACTTAAATTACACCGACAACGGTATTTCTTTCATATTCAATTAATGCACATCACAATTAACGTCTTTTAATCCTCTTTCTTATGTCTTGAATTGCATCATTGAATTGTGACTTTTTCAACTATCAACGTCTTTGTTCAACAACTCGCTTTATGTTTATTAAGTATGACGCTACATTAGAGACGAGAAACCTGGCAACGTCGCATTCTTTTTTTTACCTTTTCTTGTTTCTCTCACTTCTACATATTCCATTCCGGTCTTTGTTGGCGATTATAATCTTTAAACCCAACTCATGAGTTTCAATGACTCGATCACGACTTTTATTTTTGCTGCCATTATGACTCAACGCAATCGCAATGAAAAATGAAAAATCATTGACTCGAAATATGAAAAATCACAAAACATCGTGGTGGCTTCGGACAGCTTATTGTTGATGCAGTTTAAGTGGCTTATTGCCTTCTGACTTTGGCTTACGATTCACATTTTTTATTCTCCGAATATACATATTTATAGTAAGTGTAGGGAAGGGAAAATACTTTTCGAATATCACTTCAATGTAACATTTCATGCAGCTTTAGTTTGTCTCTCTTTGCAAAGCTGTAACAATTGCACGGATATCATTACAACAACAAATCAAGCGTTTCAATAAACACAAAAGAAATGGAACAAAAGAGAATTAAATTTGGATTTTTCTGCACTCGAATCGAATTCTTTCTCGCTCATTTTTACAATTTAAATGCTGAATGTATACAAATTGAAGCTGAACGCTAAATGAATTTACGAGGAAGGCATTAATCACAACACTGAACTAGGCGAGTAAGCAAGCAAACAAAACGTCGAGTGAAAACTATGATTATTGTTATGACTATTGCGACCATTTACAAAAAAGAAAATCGCAATGAACGTGAGATTTGCGTGGAATTCTTTAATCTCTTAAGTATCACTCTGTTTTATCCGTTCCGTAATCTAATTATAATCGAAAAAAAAAACATAAAATTATGTTTAAAAGCGGCCAAGAGCAATTTAAATTTCCTTTTGTTTATAAGAAACGGACTTAAACATTTTGTGTTCTTTTTCTTTATTCTTCTTTTTCTGGTTTTGTAAAAAGCATGAGAAGATCTACAAAGTAAACCAAATAAGAAATTAAATGAAACGATTTTATTTTATAGTCGTAAACATGATCAGCAGTAGCAGCAGCAAATGAAATTGACTTAACAACGATGTACGATTAGCAATGACGAAGAGCTCTCATTATATTCACCGGAAAATGTGTTAAAAGTCGACAAACTACCTGCCAAAATAAAAAAACCGTTCTTATGTTGAAAACATTCTTTTATGGAGTCGTTCTACACACATAGGTGTGGGAAATTCTTTGTTTGAAGAGTGTAACATGTTGCGTTCTATTCTGAAGCCATTTTTCTATGTTGGTGTGTCTAACAATAAAATAAAGAACCATCGGATATGATCCATCAATCGAGACAACAACGAAAAAGTTTTATACGAGAGAATGCACTTTGCATCTGATAATTGACGTCATCGTCAAACACATGACGCTCGAACACAAAAATCATTGAAACGCATCGAATTTTGTGTATGCTTCAAGTTCTTTCTTTTTACGTTAAGTTCAATGATATTTTCACAAACACAAATCCAATGGATTAAATCGAATCTATTTTATTCTATTATTTTTGTAACCGACGTCAATCATCGTTTGACTCGTCTTTACTGCATGAATGACTTTTATTTTGGAGAGAAGATGATTTAATGGGCCACTTGATAGTCGATATTCTAATTTAATGGCTCGTTAGTGGTTTGAGTTGAAAGGAAAGCTGTTACAGTTCGATTTATGTGTACAACAATTTTTCAATTGTCAATCGTCGTTGATGATAAGAAATTGAAATGAAAGGAATTCCAACAACGATAAGACAAACGAACACATTGCATAACATCAACAAAAGAATCATTTTTCAAAATGTCTAAACTTAGCTTCAGATCATCAATAAAAAATGCATAAAGTCGCTTGCTTTACTTAAAACTTGTCTACGCTTTTCATGCATCGTCAGAACTTTTTTATAGCTCAACATAAATTCATTAATTTCATTTCCCCCCTTTTTAATACATCATAATGCATCATCAACGATTTCTTATGCTTCTTTTTATATTTTTTAAGATGATGAATTCGAAACAGATTCTCCAGTTGGTGTCGAGATCAAGCAAATGCCTGGAGTGAAGTGACGCGCACATTCCAAATGTAAACAATTTTTCATGTATTTTTGTATGATTATTAATGTTTTATGAGAGAGATACGAGAACAGTAGAGGCTTCTGCTGTGATAACATGAGATAGAAATGATGAATCATATTTCGCATACAGCCGCTAAATGCGATGCAAGCTACTACTTAAATAATTTCCAACGAACTCCAACTGTGTCTATCATAATCACAAACACAAATTCTTTCCAATTAATCTCACATTTTTCCTTCACCCCGACACTCATCATCAGCAAGCACGACGCTTAATGATTCGGAAATTTTATACCAGCGAATTAAGATTTATGTCACTTAATGTTCTTCTGTCATAATTGCAACATCGTCGTCGTCAGATGCTTTTTAGCGCATGCAAAGAAATGATACAAAATGTTCACAAAAAAAAGGCATCATGAAACCAATGACAGCATTTTTCTGAATTATCTCGCGGTCTGAATCTCATGAAATGGAAACTCAGATGTCGAGAACAATGACAACACATTCAACATGAAGCATGACGACGATTTATTTAGTTGAGTGTGCAAATAAACATAAATTAACATCAATTTGACTCACAACATGGTTTCATGAAGGCATTTTTTTAAATGTTGATCTTCATTCGTTGGCGTTTAATATAATTAAAGTTTCATTCTTATGGCCATAACCAGCAGTGGCATTGTCAGAAATAATTGAATCACGTGCGAGTCAACATAAAAAATCTTTTCTCTATTTCACTTTCACGAAAAGTTGATTCAACAGCCAACGCACTTTCCAACAACCGGCAGCATTGCAATGCGTTGCGGGTTAAGCGGTAGATCCCCAAACAAAGACGTTTATGTTGAAGAGAAACCGATTTGTACTTATGTTTGTTTATGTTCATCAAATCTCAATAAACTCTAATAATTCCCAAAACCATTAAAATCTGAGAAAGGAGGAAAATAAAAATAAAAAAATTAATTTACTGCCTTGATGGGATTTTAAAATGCTCGGAAATGATTTACAGATGATGCGACCTAAGAATGATTCAACTTGAACTCAAACATTGTCGCTGTCTCTTTCATTTCTGCTGGTTTTAATGACGACGAGAACGAGCCCTTCTCTAATATTTATTTAAGCTTCTCTAAATTCACCCTTTTTGAACATGAAGCTTATGAAGTATTCAATTACCGATTATTAAAAAATCTCTTCATGAATTAATTTCACATAAATAATTTCTCTTCCATCTTGATATGACACGTAAATCTAATGTTTGTAGAACGATGCCGAACGATGATTCAGTTAGAAAATAAACAAAAAAAGTTCTTCAATTGATCTTCAAACATTCCAAAGTGTTGTTCAACAGAAAAGGTGATAAAAATTGCTACAAACATTTTTGTTTACTTTTTAAAGAAAAAAGAAACGAACATCGTCGCCATCATTTAACGCAAATGTTTGAAAATTCATCATTTTAAGTGTGGTACAATAAAAAAGAAAATCATCGCTTTAGATATTTAAAAAGATCGACAATGAAGACACCCAGAAATGAACGATGCATGTAAATTGAGACATAAAAGAATTTTTCTTCTGTTTTTTTCTATGACACATTTTACGACTCGATTAGTTTATCTTCGGTTTCATTTTTTTTCGTGTGTCTGTGTGTGAATGTTTGTCTTACATTGTTATAATTATGTGTTCCTCAACGACGTCTTTTTACGACCAACATTAATCCACTTCGAAGCATAAAATTCCCATGAGCAACAACATATTGAAAGTGGAAGTAGCGACGATTGAATGGAAAAGAAAAGAAGACAGAAGAAGACGACACACAACAATTGAAGTGAGAAATGAGACGAAACACTTGTTGATTTGTTCTCATCTTTTCGATTGATTAATCGCTTAAAGCGAAGCAAAATTTTCCTTCATTTTTTTGTCATCATGTGAAATTGGAGATAATTTCGAGTGTTGATTGAAAAAAGAAATCCAGAAGCATTCACAACATCAACCACATGCACAATATCACAAGTCATTCATCCATCAATCATCGAAAATGATATCATTAGCTTTACTCACCAGCTTCATTTGGAAAAGAAAAGTTAAAAAAATAAAACTTTTCCTTCTCGTATGTTTAATTTCTTCTCCCTCGCAACTCATTTAAATCCTCCAACCTTCATCAGCATCAACATTTGAGTCGGTGTCAGACGGCTCTTCACCGTACATGTCAGCTAACTTTCGGAAACGCGGACCAAAGTTGGACAAGTAATTAAATTTGAGATCACCGTCGTCGGTACATGAAGCGAGACTTGACAACGATCCACTGCTGTTGCCGTCACCTTCATAAGCATAATGTCGAACATCATCAATCGGATAAGCATCGTTATCCTTATCGCACGCATCTTTCTTGTCAATTAAGAATGCGCCAATGTCAGGCACTTCATGTGCTTCCTTCTGTCGTAGATCCTTGTAAGGTTTATCTTCATAAATCGGCGGACCACGAAGAACATTCAAATCGTAATCAGTGTCACGTTCACCACCACCCTCGTCTTCATAATTGATAATTGTCTCTCTAATGTCATCCATGTCCTTCTCATGCCACTGCAGAAATTAAGAAAAGAAAATTAAAATACAAAAAAGAGAAAATTTAATTAAATTTCTTACCCCATCATAAGACTTCTTATGAACAACGACAGCAAGAATGAGAATCAAAAGAAGAATGATGCAAGCAATGAGAGCGTAAATGAAGTTATTTGCAACACCAAATGTCACAGCAGCTGTCAAGGATTTCTCACAACCAGGGTCGATGTTGTGTGACAAACTTGATTGTCCCAAATTGTAAGTTTGATCGTTGATTGTTAATTTTCGAATGCAGCCAATGTATCCACGTGTTGATGGAGTATAAAACCAATTGAAAGCTGCACTGAGTGCCTTCAAGTCAACACTTGAACCACCGAGATGAATTGGCGAATTGACATTAAGAAACTCGTTCTTGCCTTGAGGTGCTCCAAGTCCCATGCATGATGACAATTTGCATTGATCAACAGTCATCTCGATACTCGTTTTCGTGAGAATAATGTCAATGGTATGAAGACGACCAGCGACGAGTCTTGTGTAATTATGTTGAATTCTTACAGCTCCCGTTCCATAATCAACTGTCAAGACTGGATGTCCATTGACGATTTCTAAAGCGAGGAAATCTTGAATTGGCATTCGTTGGTTGTAACTCATTGGACCAACGTACATCACAAGTCCATCGCTTGTTTCTGGCTTTAATTCAAGTGAAATTTTTGTCGTTTCGCATGGATCGATTGGTGGATACAAAGCCCAACTATTGCCACTAAATCCAACTGAAATCTGTTCACAACTTGGACCTTCAAAGCCTTTCGGACATTCACATGTGTTGGCGTATGTCGTTCCACCATTTAAACAGAAAGGTTCACCACTTCGTTGCGTCTCAAGACAAGCACATTGTGCAGTAATAAATGCGTTGACGCCAACAAATGATGTTCGATTTGTATAAACTGCAAGTGGAACGTTTGACTTCTCCAACACATTCACACATGACGACTCACATTTCGCACGTTCAATGAGACATTCATCGATGTTAATCATCAACATTTTCATTCCCAACTCTTCTTCCAACTTCAATTGTTGTTGTGCAATTTTTCCATTCAACTTTTCTGGCTCATAATAAGGCGAACCGTGCGCTGAGAATCTCACATCGAGAACACTTGAATCGAGTTCATTCTTGAGAACTGTAAAGATGTCAATATTAGCTGTGCTCGTATTAAACAACTCAGAAAGTGCTGCTCGTAATTTCTCCTTTGGACTTATTGGATTCTCATCGATAAACTTCTCAGCGCTAATGTCGTGGAATCTTATCGATCCACTCTTATCAACTGCTTCCTCAGGAATGTCTTTAACAGTCACTTGCACTGTTGCATCAACTTCATGTCGTGCAATGAGATCAGATTCTTCAATAACGCGGAAATATAAATCGTAAGTATCGTCTTGAGTTCCATACAGCATTGTTATCATTCCAGTGTCTTCATCGAGTGAGAAACTTGAATGTGGACCGTCACGCCAGAAGAAAGATTTGTCAGGTAAATCCCAATCGTCGGGATCAGCAACATAAACGCGACCAATTTCTGTATTCGGTGCTTCGCCTTTATAATTGTAAACAAAAATTGAACTCGAACCTTCTTCCATTGCATTGTCATTGACATCGCCAATCACAATGTGTAAGTAACTGATATTCGATTGTTGTGGAATGCCAGCATCAGAAATTAGAATGGGAATGAAATATTCTTTCTGTTCTTCACGATCAAAGACGGTAAGTGCAACTAAATCTTCATTGTTTTGTATTGCAAATTTATTTTTGATGTCATTGCTGGCGGTGTCGGCGATTTTGAATTCATAAGTGAAGCCATTTGTTGTTTTCTCATCATAATCATCAGCAACAAGTGTCGTGATGCGATCTTCATGATGATTCTCAGGCCAAATGACCGGCATTTCCATATTTAAGAAAGGCGCATTGTCATTAATGTCAATGAGAATAATTGTGACAAATTTCGTTGATGCCAAACCTTGTCCATCTTCATCAATCGCTGATACGAGAATCTGCCATGATTTCTGCCCATTTGGCTTGTCTCGGTCAAGTGGTTTGATGTTCTTTAAACATCCAAACTCGTCGATTGTCAACAACTCACGTTGATCTTTCTTTGACACTTCGTATTTGATATGTTGTGGAAGATTTCGATCTTTAATGTCGGGATCGTACGCGCCAATCGTCACAATGCAATCTTGATGGATTTGTTCTTCAAGAATTTCATTTCTGTATTCATCTTCAAGAAATTCTGGCGGACAATCATTGACGTTTGCAATGTTAATCTTCACTGTTGCATAATCACTGTAAATTCCATCAAAAGCTTTGATTCGCAATTGATATTCAGTAATTTGTTCATAATCGAGTTGATGATTGATTGTTATACGTCCAGTTGATTGTTCAATCTTGAAGGAATTATTTGTGTTGCCACTTTCAATGGAATATTCAATCGCTGATGCAGTATCACGATCAATAGCTTGAACTTCAATTACAAGAGTGTTGAGATTAGCATCTTCAGGCACACGATCAGCGAGATATTCGTCTTGCTTAAACTTTGGCGGATGATCGTTCTTATCAGCAATGTCAATACGAAAGACTTGTGACGCCACATTATGCTTTCCAGTTGTGAAAAGTGCTGACGGTGCGCCATCAGTTGCAACAACTTTCACATTATAAGATTCGCGTTCTTCACGATCGAAACTCACTTTAGCTGTGATAATTCCTTGTTGATCAATGCTGAAATATTCCGTGTTATCAGCAAGTTCAAATGCAATTATGTTAAATGGCGGAGTTGCATCCATGTCAATAGCTCGCACTTGCATCACTTGAGTTCCTGGCGGTTCGTTCTCTAAAATCGCACCGGAATCAATCTCAACAAACGACGGAATGTTGTCATTCACATCTTCAACTTTTATTTTTATGATATGTTCAGTGAATATGTCGTGGGAGTTTCTGACAGTGACTGTAAGCGAATAATCTGTAATTGACTCGTAATCGAGAAACTTCCCGAGAAAAATTGAAGCATCGTTGCCGTTTTGTGTCAAGACGAAAGTTTTCTTATTGTTTGTCTGTTCTGTTCGTCCCGTGATGAGTTCAAAAATCAATTCCGGCTTTTCAGGAACATTTGAAATGGCTGAAAGTGTCACTAAAGGTTTATCAAAGTTGTTGAAGTTCTCTTTGAGGATGATTGGATCATTTGGTGGATCAACAAACGACGGCGGTTTCTTATTCGATTCAATCACTTCAATTTTAATTTCTGTTTCAGCTTGTTGTGATTGATCTGGATAAATATTGTAAGCTCTCACATTTATTGTATAGAATTGACCTGGTTTCTTATCAATAGGACGGTCGAGGTAAATAATTCCGCTGCTATTATCCATACGAAAATATTTATGATGATTTGGTTTGTTTGTCATGAGCTCATACATCACAATTGAATTGTCACCATCGTCGAGATCTGTCGCGGATATTCTCGTTACAACTTTATTCACTTGTTTATCTTCAGCCATTGGCTCAAGATATTTGCTTTTATCGAAAACTGGAGGATTATCGTTGATATCTTCGATAGTCACTTTAAATGTGCACACATCGTCAAGTGCCGGTCGACCATTGTCAGTAACACGAACCGTCACATAAACTTCTTTTTCTCTTGCTGGTTCATCGCGATCAAAAGCATGTTGCGTTGTAATCATTCCACTTGCTGGATCAATTTTAAACTTTGACTTTTCATTATTAGCAGTTATGAAACTGAATTCAATTCGATCTTGTTTATCAGGGTCGAAAGCGTCTATTTTCGTAACAAACGCTCCAGGTGATTGTTCTTCTTTTATTACCGGCGCGTATCCCTTGCAATTGCGAATTTGCGGCTTTCGGTTATCGTTGCCGCCTTCACGAGAACTCCACTTATTTGTGTTATCAGAAATGTTGTTATCACCTAATATTCCATGAATTATTGTGCACACTAGTAGAAAACATAAAACTTCCTTTCTTTTCGTAAACTTCTTCATTTTCATACACTTTTTATTTATTTATTCGTATTTTATCAGATATTTTGTTGTTGGATGTCGATTACACACGTCTTGTGTGTTTATTTAACTCTTCTTCTTCTTTCTTTCTTTATCAAATATTTTCAAAATCGATCATTTTATTTTTTTTCTTTCTTTAAATTCTCTTTTCATTTCAAAGACACTAAATATTCACAAGTGGCTCTTTTGTTAATTTAATTAAATTTCATTTCATTCTTTATATTTTTGTACTTTTTTATGATTCACACAAGATCTGGTTTTCTTCTATCTCTTTCTTAAGATGTTAAGATTCTTATTTTTTAACTAAATCCAACGGCCGTGCGATGGTTACCTGTGTTGAAAAAAATATGAGACAGGTAAGAAGAAAACTATTCGAATTTAAATGTATTTGTGAGCTGTACACCCAAGTCGCGTTGTTTTTGACGTTTTAATGCATTTATTCAACGACTTTAATCACTTTTTATCTCACAATTAATATTATTATTGTTCTATTTACCATAAGTAATGTTTAATACACAATTCTTAAACGAAAAAACCGGATAACATAATTTATGAAATTAAATATTACGGAAGCGTCCACACCGTACGACTCGTGCGCTCAAACTGAAGTGAGTTGAGTCTTCGGTTGCAATGTTTTAAAGGGACGGACAAAAAACATTCAACAATCAAAAACAGTGCTTCATAATGTTTCACGTCGTGAACCAAACATTGAATGTTTTGAATGCTCTTAAACAGATGGCGCTGCTATGTTTAAGAAGAATTTATTCAATTTAAAACAGAGGTTTTCAATAACTGCAAACTTAAACTTTTGAAATAAACAAATAAACTATATTTCTCGTATCATTTTTATTTCCTTTACAAAATCAATCTTCAAAGTCTCTTTTAGTTATCATAACTTTGTATCCCTGAACTATTTTTGTAAGAAGTTCGAACTTCAAGGAGATGTCTTCAAGTTTTAGTGAAGTTTCAACATGGAATTTTCGGAAGAAATAAGCCATAACAACTTTAAACATTTTTTTCGCGTAATTCATTCCAATGCAATTTCTTGGTCCAAGTGCAAATGGCATGTATGCATGTGCTGGAATATTCTTCATTCGCTCAGGTTCAAATCTTTCTGGCTTAAATTCATCAGCATCTCCACCCCAAATCTTTTTGTCCCTGTGAATCTCGTAGATTGGAATTATAATATGAGTTCCCTTAGGGATCAAACAGTCGCCTGAATTATGAAATTTGGTAAAATGGTTCAACTTTTAATAAAATTTACACTCACCAAGTTCAACTTCATCCGTCGTGTATCTCGCGATAATTGTAATTATGGACCAATATCTAAAAACTTCTTTCATCACCAAATCAAGATAAGTTAATTGTGAAAGATTGTCTTCAGTAACTTCTTCGTCTTCCGATTCAAAAACATATTTCAATTCATCGACTATTTTCTCTTGAACTTCTGGATGCATTGCTATAAGGAGAATAGCCTTCGATAAAGAATATTCCGAAGTTTCTAAGCCCTTTAAGAATAAATTAAATCATTCTATGAATTATTGAGTTTTTAAGAGACTTACAGCTCCTATAAATGAAAATATTTCGTCTTCAATTTCTTGTCGAGAAAATTCGTTTCGATTTTTGAAAAGCTGGTCGATAAGTATTTGAGGCTTTTCTGACACATCATCAATATCAAAAGTTTTCTCTTTTTCGTCAACGAAATCTTTTATAATTTTATACATTCCATTGTCAAAATACTTTTTCTCCAATTTATAAATTTCTGTTAGCATTAGAATTGGTTTAATCCGTTTCCAAAAGTGAAGAATTTTTGCAGATGTAACAATCATTGTACTTGAAAAGAGAAAAATGAAAATTCTCATGAGTAACAAGGGAATTTTTGACTGCATTTACCCAGTCATATGGTTCAGCATCTCTTTACGTTTGTCAGCATGTTTATCGCCTTTGAAGCCCATTGAAGTATTCAAAATGTTGTCCAAAGCAAATTCAGCCATAAATGAATGGATATCAATTTCGTTTCCATCTGCATGATCATCCAAAGCGTTCATTAACGCTTTAGAATTATCATTGAAGATGGGAAGAAAACTTTTCAAAACAGTAGTGTTAAATGCTGGGTTAAGTAGTTTCCGATGCTTTTTCCATAAAGCTCCATTTGAAGAGAACATACCTGAACGAGCATTGTACAAATATCTCAATTGTTTAAAACTAAATTAAAAAAAATTAAGTAAACAATTTTACCCATTACTCCACCAAAAGCTTCATAAAGACTCGGGCGATCATTGCAGCTCGGTAATGTATAAACTTTTTTAATTTGCTCAATATCATCAACATAAATAAATAATTCATGCGGTATAAGTCCTACTTTTCGTGGCGAAGGTCCACCATTAACATACATTTCGTGGAAAGTGTTAAAAATATCTTCAAATAAAATACTTTAAATTATTATTATCGATATGAAATATTTTATTATCCACCTTGTTGTGTAACAAAAAAGTATTTGTGAGTTAATCCTAAAATTGGAAGTTGACCACTCATTGCAGGAATTTTTCTTGCTAAACTGTAAAATCTTCGATTCCTCCATAAGAAATTTATTAACCAAATGATTAAAATTGGAATAATTCCAGCAACACAAATTTTTAGCAACATTTTCTTTGGAAAAATATTTCAAACTGATGAAAACTTCATGGAAGTTCCTTCTAATTTAATTTTACAAAGAAGACTAATTAAGTTTTCAGTTTTCAACAAGAATTTATAGCGACACATCGAAAATATATGAAACTCACTCATATCTACTACAGAAGTATGCAATTGTTCTCTTATTTTGTCAAATAAATATTGATTAAGTTCTTACAAAAATGTTCAGAATAAAATGTTGAATTAGAGTTGAATAAAATTACCTACAATGAATGGAAAATTAGAATTTTTTATTTAATTTTGTTACATAAGCGGCTTTTCGTTTTTCTATTAGAGATTTTAAAACAATTAAAACATTAATAGATACTTAGGTAGCATAATTTAAGAAAATAAACTCTTTGAAAAATGAAATTCATTCTTTTTCAAGTTGAAATTGCGAATCAGATTCATTGATTTACATAAGTTCAATTTTAGTGGTGTAGTCATTTCCATGACCAGCCCCTATAATTGCAACCCTGCTTGAGTCAATTTGTGATTTTCTATCGCACTTACATTTTGATCTCGCTTCGAATAACATCTCTTCGTATGTCAATTCATGTAAATTTTAGTAAATTTGGAAAAGTTTTATAATTAATTTAGTTTATTGCTAGTCTTTACATGTTAGACTTGTTTTTAAAATCATATTTTTATTAAGTTTTAATTAGTAATTTTACTTAGTTAAATTGCAATAGAAAGTTCAAGCTCAAGTGGTAAGCGCGGGAATTCACATAACCTCTAATTTCACTTAAAACTTTTCTTTTAATTCTATTACAGTTAAAATGAGTAATCCTTTCTTCTTTAATAATCGATTGAGTCAAAGGCGTTTCAGCTACGCTCAACAAAAATCACGAGGATCAAAGTCAGCAAATTCTATGAACTTCACTGATAACTTTGCCGATATCCCGGTAAATTTTAATCTTTTTAATGATTTTATTTAATCTCAGTAGCATAAGAGTGAAGTTTAATGTTGTCACTCACTGTTAATATTTCATTTGAATAGTTACACAATTCTACAATGAATAAATCCCGAGGACAATATTTGGTTCGAAGCTTTAGCAACGCGTCAGTTGATATGAATTCAAATGCATTTGATGCACAAAGTCACTCATCAAACAATAGCACCAATCAAGAAAGTAACAAGCCATCTTTTTCGTCACTTTTCACAAGTGTCGCTAATCAATCATCTGATAATATCAATCATAAGTCAAACTCTGATCATTTATCCTACGATTCTTCAACTCAAGACGATGATGGAATTTTTCTGCAAATTTCAAATCTTGATCAATGGTATGACGAAACAAACTTGCGTAGCTACTTGATAAGTCAACTTAAGCCAATTACACCGATTCTGTCTTTAAGCATCGAAACGCCATCAATTGCTAAGGTCAAAGTACCTTCAATGCAAGTAAGTGTTGTTCATCATTAAAATTTCTGAGTTATTTTTAAAAATGAGTCGTTTATAGTTCGCCAAACAAGTTGTGTCTCATCTTCATCGTAAGAAAATGGGCCACAAACGTATTTTCGTGTCCTTTATGAAGGACAAAACTTCTGCAGAGTGTTCAGCTTTACGCAACAAAGTAGCAGGTCTGCTTAAAGATGTTTCATCACATCAACTTCCAATGTCAAAATTCCGTGAACTTTTCCAATTTCGATTTAAATCCTCCATCAGCATTTTGGATCTTTACCGAATGCCGGAAATTTGCGCAATCACTGTTAATAACAATGATGAAAAGTTGATAGCTTTACAACCAGAAATCGTTAGTAAGTTGGAGAACGAGATACTTGTTAATTCCAATCAACACAGTGCACCATACTGCATTTATCATTTCAAAGCTGACAAGAACAAAGGATGGGCAGAAATTGAGATTGATCCTTTACCTTACACAATGATGGGAATTACACAAGTTCAAAGCATGATTCATTCCTTATTAAAATCACATCAAAGCGACATTCCAATTGCAAGTTTGTTGTTTTGTCTTCAATCAGAACTCAATGTAACCATTCAGCCAAATGATCGTGGAGTTTCTTTAGAGCATCTCGTCAGTTGTGTTCCAGGAGTGCAAATTAAAAACAATGATTATGGGATTAAAGTTCTCGTTTGGAGTGACGAATCAACAAGTGAGGGTAAGTATTCAATTATATTATTAATCTTGTCAAGATTAAAGGTTTCTTTTTTGCAGACATAAACTTGAAAGGTCTCAGTTTAACATGCGGTGATGCAGCCGATAATGTTTCAAGAGAAGTGATTGAGCTCATCAAAATGTGCCCGAAGTCAACAATGACTTTCTCCAAGTTTATTCCAACATATCATAATCACTTTGGGAAACAATGTCGTGTTGCTGATTACGGGTGCACAAAATTAATTGAACTCTTTGAAGCAATGTCTTCGATTGTGCAGGTACATAAGAATGTTTAACGGTTTTTGAAAAATTGAAAACTGATTTAAATTATTTTGAACCGTTAAATTTTTGTATTTTATAATTTCAGGTCCTTGGTGATGGAGAATCTCGTCAAATAACTTTAACTCACCGCACACAAATTCGTCGATTCTCCAACGACTTGTTTAAGATTCTTCGTGCTCAGCCGAATAAATCACTTCATTTGTCAATGTTATCGCAAGCTTATCTGGCAACACATAATCGAATATTTGATGTTACTGATTACGGAGTTTGTGAAATCGATGATTTACTTGATAGCTTGCGTAACAACAGTTTCATTATGGTAACAAGAAAGAGAACCGAATCTGATGACGTTTGCATGTTCATCCAAAAGAGACGCCAAACCAATGTTGAGATTGAAAAGACTTCGGTGTTCGCTGGTGAAGTGGTTGAGTTGTTGCGTAACGCTTCTCAGTATTCGATACCATTCCGAATGTTTGTCCGATCATATCATTATTACTTCGGCTTTCAATGTAAGCTTAGTGATTATGGATTTTTACGTCTTGCTGAGTTGCTTGAGGCACTTTCGGGTACTGTAGAAATGGATCAAAGCAACGAAGAGAACCGAAAGATTTTTTTATCTCGTAAAATGGCATTGCGCGTCTTTTCTGAGCAGATTCAAGACGTTATCAAAGGAATGACTGGACATGCTAATATGATGGTGAAGGTAGATGATGTTATGGATATGCACAAGAACAATTACGGATATCAGATGCAAGGATCATCACTCGGTTATGAATCTGTGATTGATGCATTGAAGTTTGTGCCGTTTGTTGAACTCAACAGCTTTGGAAATGAACTTTGGATAGTTTCTCATTTAGAAAATGAAAAGTTTCGCAAACGTGCAATGTTAGCATGCATCGCAATCATTGATATCGGCAACAAAGTTCCATTGTCAAGATTTCATTCCGTTTTCGGTGATCGTTTCAAGTTCAACATTTGCGAGAAAACTTTACACGCAATGAAACATGCAGTTGAGATTGAGATGGTTAATGGCATTAAAATGATTTCAATTTCGAACATGATGAAGTTTATGATTCACGTCGCTAATGTTCTTGAACAGAAGAAACGAATAAACATCAACGAATTGAAATCGATAATGAAACTCAATTTATCAACAACATTCAACTTTGGTTATCCAAACATCTCAACTTTATTTCAAGCTTTTCCTGATACCTTCAAAGTCGTTGATGAAAAGCCGCTTCACGAGCGAAGTGAAATTGAATTGCATCCCGATTGTCCATGTGAGTCTAAAACTTTTCTTTTGATATTTTCAATTTCTTATCAATTTTTTTTTCTTCCTTTTTCAATTAAAAGTTTCGCCATTGGGATTGAAGAAAATGTTGAATATGAAGCAAATACAAATGCCAGATGAAAAGCCTGACATGTTCATGAAAACAAACACACAACCAGATCATCTTCCAGCTACAATGCGATGCATTCAGAAGCCGAGTCAATCGTCATTAATGCAAGAACAACAAACTTCAAAGTTTAATCCACAACAAAACGAAGAATTCTTCAATCGAACAGCTTTAAATAATTCTAATGTTGAACAATTGAGTAAAAATTTCAATAGAAACAATCCTTTCATGATGGGTGATGTTACTTTGAGTACAACAATGCCAACTGATGTTATGAGTCAAATTCTAAACAATTCTTACAATCACAATAATCAATATCAACGTTTCATGTCGTCGAATCCATTCGAAGATTCATTCTCAACCAGTCAAAGCTTCTATGAACGTAATTTAAAGTTTCAGCAGCAACAGCAGTTGCAAATGATGAAGCGAGATCATTTCAACAGCAGTGGAATGTCTTCTGGAGCTTCGCAATCATCATCTTTGGGATCGTCATCACTTTCTGCTTATGAAACTAGCATGCAACAACAGCAACATTACTCGATGATGGCTCCGCCGTTTCATAGTCGCTTCGATCCACCAAAACCAGACACGCCACCTTCAAAACCCTTGTGGCTTGATCCGGTATGGAGTTGCGATGTCAACAACAATGTTAACAGTAATAGTCATAATAATAATTCAGGAAATTCCGAAGCGGTGAGTTAAATCTTCTCAAGTCATTTCTAATTTGGATACTTGTTCTAATTTAATCACCTCACTTTCTGTTCATCAAAGTTATATGACGAGTATCCTAAATAAAAATAAACAAACTAATTAAACACGAAAACATATTTTTCAACAGCTTAAAGCCTTCAATTTTCACGTTGTTTCGCCGTTCATGTCGTTTAAAACCATGTTTACGTTCGACAATCAGAATCAGAATGTCGGCAACAACAAAAATAGCAGCAGCAGCAGCAACAACAACACAAACCAGAAGAAGTAAAGTTTGATGATTTGATTCTTCAACAATGCCACAAAAATAATTTCTTATTACTCATTTCACATTTGTTCTTGTTTATATTAATTATACTTTTTTTAATTTGAATATTTTTTGTATTTCTTTTATTTTTATGTTAATCGATTTTGTTAACTAATGCAATGCATTGCAATCTTTAAGGTTGATTGAAAAGAAAATGAAGAAAAGAAATTTTTATTCATGTTGAGAACTTTATTTCTGTATTGTTTTCTTAATTCATTGTTGAATGAGTGGGAATATTTATTAAAAATAAGATTTAAATACGTAATTTGATTATGACGAACATTTGTTTTAATTTGCTTACGTCGTATCCTTTTATAGATATAAGAAGATTTAATTGTCAGCACATCAATTAGATCAGCAGGGAGTATTAATGATTGATGGGCTGTGGCATGTTTTAAAAGTTTAAACAATCATTTTTGTTCATCATTGTTCTTGCAGACCGTTTAAAAACGAGAAAAACAATTGGGAATGAACCTTTGGATATTTTTCACATAGCTTAAAGGTCCACAATCAATTCTTGCTTTTACTTTAGGCAACGGTTTTCGGTTTTTATATTGACACAAAAATAGGTGCTTCAACAATAGTTACTTTTGATCCACATTTACGCATTTCTATTTTTAGGTGATGACAAATGAAGAAAACATTACAAAAGTTCTTAACAATCAACAATTACTCAAAACTATTTATTTGATAAGCTATAATTAGTAAACATGTTGTCTAAGACAAGACAATCCATAAAAAAGCAACAAAAGCTTTATGACTACAACCGAACTAGTTAATTAAGTAGTAAATGACAATAAAATCGAATGACGTCTGTAAGAGATTTTGGTAAGCCACTTGGCTGGATTTGAAAAGTTTCCGCTGTTTTTTTTGCGGATATTTTTTGCAAGATCATAAATATCTACATAAAATTATTAATTCTCATTATTTTTCTTGTTTTCGAAGAAGTTTTCATTTATAGATATTTCATAAAGGAACAAACAAAAGCCTGTTATTGTGACACGTTATAATTAAAAACAAATTAGCAGCATCATGTTGTTTGTAACAGTTCAAAATGTTTTCTTTCTGAGCTTTAATCGCTACATATTCCAATCTTAATTACAATATTGCTCTTGAGATTAAAAGTGACGAAAGAAAATCAAGATTTAATTCTATGTTAATGTAATATTTAGCGACGTGTGATATTTCAGGTGTTGAAGTTTAAATATCAACTCACCACTGTAAACACGAAGACGGTAAACTTCATTTAGATTGAATATTGCTTCGTTTAGTTAGACAAGTCACTGGCTAGAGACATCGTGGCCTTGTTTCAACACAATGCTACAATTATATTCAAGCCCTTTAACTCGGCGATGTTTGGATTGATACCTGAAGGTTTTATCTTCCTTACCATCGTGTTGTTGACCTGCGCAACTTAACAGCGTTGAATCGTAATCAAGCATAACATCGTTTCCGCATATATATCGAATATAAAGAACGCTGACGCTTTGGAAACTCCGAAACAAGTTTTATTTGCATATCTTAATAAGAAAATTCTCAACGATGATTTAAGCGTTCTGACGAAAAAAAATTATAAACATTGACTGAGTCGTGATAATTTTTTATGTAAATAAAAACAATGAGAAACATTTTTAAAGGATTTACAACAGGAAAATTTGTTTTTCACCTGTGCTAGTACGTCATCAGTTCTGTGGATGTTTGACACGATAAAGTGATAAAAATCATTCTTTTACGATGTTTCTCTTATTGAATATTTGGATGAGAACTCAAACCTGAAAGAAACTCAAATATCTGCATATTAAACAATGATTTATATTCCCTGTTCGTTCGTCTCACGTTGAGTCAACATTTTGTCTGTGACGACATTTTAAGAACTTTTACACCTCTCGGATGATGCCTTGCGAAATTTTTTGACAAGATAGTTTATAATAACAAAGATGAAGTGCGTCATAAATAGATTTCGAGGCATTTACGGTTAATCATTCCTTTGTCGACAATTTAGAACAATTGATTGTCTCAACTTCTTCTTTGCAACCTTCATGACCTTAATGAACATCAAACATCTGATATCTTGTTGAAAAATCTTCAATTAAAATAAAATAAACTTTTTTTTCTTAGCTAATCAACAACAACAGAGTAAAGAAAACATTTTTTGTTTATTTAAAAAGAACTGAGAATGATTGATAGAATCTTAATCAATAAAATATCACGTGAACTTGACAATTGAAATGTACACAGTAAAAAAAATATTTGTGTCGCTGTAAATAAAGAAAACAATTAGAGACAACATCGAACTCACCTTTTTGTGAGAGCTTTGGAACCCAGAAGTCCAGAAGTTCATTGGTTTTTCAACAATTATGTAAGTTCAGTTAGCATTTGTTCTTTTTTTAGCCTTTAAGTATCAACATTTATAAATAGAAATCTTCAAGCTCTTCGATTCTAAACAATGATTTATGAAACTGGCAATTTTATAATCGCTAAACTTATAACGATGCTATCGCCAAGGGATCTTGATTCGTTTAAGCTATTTAAAAGCATTTAATTTGTTTCCGAAAAATTATAAATGTACAAGTTTTAATCATTTATTTTGATATTATAAAGTCAGATGGTTTCAACTTCACACAAAGCAAAAAACTGGCAACATCAGACAAAAACAGAAAACTCAACAAACTTTGTTATGAAGTTCTATAATATAGAGAGAAGAGTTCAAACTTTTAGTTTATCTGATAGAAAGTCACGAATCGTGACCGTGTTAAGTCAGTAGTGAAAGGATATTTACCGTTCATTAATTTCCCAATTATTTACTCTTTTTTTGATGTTGATAAATTATTTTTGTACTCATTTTAAAGATCTTCATAAATGACATAGCAAAAAGCTCATTTTTAGATCCGCCAAAGTGGATTTTTGTAAAGATTAAAAATTGAAAAATACTTCAAAGGGGATTTCCCCACGTGTCCCAATTTTACACTTCTCTAAATTACAATAATTGTCGACATTGTAAACACCTAATTGTTTATATATATTTATAATTTAAATAAAGCATTTACTGAAGATGATGATTCGAAGGTTCATGAATGTGTTAACTTAATAATATTCATGACCGTCAAAGTCATATGATTAAGAATTTGGTAGCAATGACTAGTGATAGAGTTCAAAGAGTAAAAATTAAGAATTCAAATATTATCGACGTAAATAAATCATTTCAATGTTTGTACCCAGCTGATCATCGTCAGTATCATGCATCACGGACACACACGTACATCGTTATCGATCATGTCAGCAAGCACACTTTAATGCTTTTTTTCTTCTCCATCCACTTCACGCTCAAGTCTTAAAGCTGTGCTTTCAATTTCATCCAACAGAAAAAAAAGAAAAAAAAAACAACAACAAACGAGAAAAAAAATGTAAAAAGGCGAAAAACTAGATTCGATTGATTTCATTCATAGTTTACAGCTCGTTACGAGTGGACGTTGAAGCTTGCGTTCCTAAAATAAAATAATATTAAAAAAAACTCATAAAGTGTCTGTTTGATAACGCAATATAAACATACATTTAAACGAATAGAAAAGGAGGAAAAAAAAGTCTCGCATAGCTAAAACATTTAAAGCAGATTTTTCATTAACACTCGACGAGATTTTTTTAAATGTGATTTGCCAATCATTCGTCTGTTGACCGAGGTTTCAGTTGCAATCGAGCGTTGGAATCTTTCGAATCGGCATAATAATTTCGCAAATATATTTCATCTTCAAAGAATAAATATTTCGTTGAAGGAAAAAATTATAAAAAATCCCAGCAGAATAAAAGTAAAAACTTTAAATATTTGAGTGTAGATGAGAAGTTTCTAAATGAAAAATCTAAGAAAAAAAATTAAAGTGGAAGTGTTGGGAATTTTAAAGATTGTTTAAGTGACAAATAAAAAAGATTTAGACAGACTAAAAATAAGACAAGACTTAAATGTGAGGCAAAAGTTGAGAAACGTAGCGTGAATAAAGTTACGTAGAAAGTGATTCAGATTTAAATTATTTATATAAATAGAAGTGAAGAATTTTCATGAAAAATAACAATTTTGAGGGACTACTAAATAAAAACAAGAAAACAGCTGAAATCGCATAATTTTTTTCAAGTTTGCCAAAAACAAAAATAAAGCGAAATATTAAAAAAGAAAAAAAAAGTTTGAAGAAGTTGGTCAAACAAAACATTTTACGCAACAGCTCGCGAGTGTTTGTGAGCAAAAGTGCAAGATCGAAAATTAATTTTAAAGATATAAGAAAAGGAAAATTGTGAATTATGAAGGAACTTTTGAATTTCTTCTCAAGTCGACGTTACTCGGCTGTCAGTACAAACGAGTCGGACAAAAGTCAAAAGTCACATAAAAGCCTAAAAACGAAACCATCAATAAAACGAGGCATATCAGTGCTTGACGCGTTATTTCATGAGAGAAAAAGTGGTGAACGAACGAGACTACCAAAGTGTAAGTTGTTAACTCAAAGATAATCTCATGATAAATATGAAAAATAGTTTTGTTTGATCTGTAACGCATGACATGACGTTTAAGCAACTGGAACGAATGACCAGCATTTTAAATTCGATTATTTATGTTATGATTGAACTCCAGAAATAATGTTGTAAAGACATAGATAATAATTATAAATTGAGTGAAAATTTCAACACATTTTCTGATTGTAATTGGGTTGACTTAACACGCTAAACTTACTTACTTAAGTATAAAAAAAAATGTTTAATAACTTTCTGCTAATAAACGTGAAAATAAAAAAACAATAAATAAGTTCGGATCAGTCTTTCTATCTTAAAACTTCTTCATAATGATTTCAAACGGCGTATGAAGCGAGTCATTAAAAAACGTGGATAAATTTATAGAGAAATCAGGAAAATTCTACTCTTAGAAATGCATCTACATGTGAATAATTATTCTGGTTTTCCTCTACGTAAGTGAATCACTGAAGGAGTAAATTGCTTAATTAGAATGGAAATTTATAATTCTATTGAAAGTAAATGTTTCCCTATTAGAAGAATTGATCTTGAATTAAATTAATTAGATAACATTTTGTGTGAGACTTCAAGTTATTCGATATGAGTGTGAATAGAATACTGTTATGACTAATAACATCCAGTTTTAAATGCATGCAGTGCAGTTTAGATAGAGACAGATAATCGCAATGCCTCTGCAAGCATTTCAGTTTTTTTTCTCGATCACTTTACAGTTTTAAATTCAATTTTTCAAAACAAAAAAGAAAACATTACGAAGTAAGTAAAGTTGAGTTGCAGAAAAAATGATTTCGCAAATATAAAATATGTTCGTAAGAATTCAAAAAGCAATGCAGAAAATGGCATCATGAGTGAGTGTGGATTGAATTGAAGTGCATGTCGTCATATCAAGCGTAAAAAAAGAGTAAAGTTCAGAAAGTGAAAACGAGGTTTTACTCGCCTTTTCGATCTTGTTAACATTTAATTTTATTAAAAATAATGAAATTGGAATGATGAGAGGGTTATTAATCTTAATTTTAAGCAATTTACAAGAAATTCACAAGCATAACTTCACATTATCTTACACAATCTGTCAACCGAAAATTCAATGTCGAAATGTGCAGACATTGTTAAAAGAAAGCAAAAAAAATATAAAAATTTTAAACACTTAAATTGACATCGCAAGAATCGATGGAAAGAAATAAAATGAAAATGCGAAAGAAAATGTTGAATAAGCGGCAAATATTATGAAATTGTGCGTGAAAATTGATTGAAAATTTCACGGAATATCCAAAGACCATTAAATCGGTGTCACAACAAACAAATGAGATATTTTTGTGCAACAAATGCTCAATTCTGCTTTATTCACAGGCATTTTCTTTTTTCTCACATTTGGTGTGCTTCTTATCTGTCTTGGAGTTTTTGTAGCCGTTTTTCAACCATATGACATTATCTTTAAATGGGTAAGTTCATTCATGGATACATACAACAATGTCGAGTTATTAATCGAGAAATTTAATAATTTCAGAAACTTTTATTGACTGATGACGGAGAGATTTTTCAAATGTGGGAAAGGCCGCCTGTTGATTTATATTTAAGGGTTTATATCTTCAATATCACGAATCATGAAGAGTTCATGGCCGGGCGTGACAAGAAATTGAACGTGGAAGAGGTTGGACCGTATGTTTATCGGTAGGTAACAAGTTAGCAAGTAACTGAAAAGATTTTAAATCAACAATTTACGATTTCAACATCTTTCAAGTCACTTTCGTAAAAGTTTTTTCTTTAATTTCTGTCGTGATAATTTTTTATAATTGAAAATGAGTATAAAATTTTTATTGGAAGGCTATTAAGAATTCTTATTTAAACTTCCGACTAAACAGCGATTTATATCGGCTTATAAACATTAATCAATCTGATTTATTATTTCTTTAAAATTAATCAGGGAATTGATGTCGCATGAAAATGTCACTTTTAATAGCAACGGAACTTTATCGACGATCCCACATCACCCACTCGAATGGCGTGGAGACCTATCAGAAGGCCATTCTGAAGACGACGTTCTCTATCTACCCAACATTGCGCTCTTGGTAAGCATGTGAACTTTAACTAACAATTTATGCTTGTTGATTGGAATTTCCCTCGGAACATTTCATTCGGTGTCAGCATCATGATTTACTCAAGGATAACATGATGACTTGCAAAAAGCCGGCTCGGGGGAAATCCAAGTCTGGCAAAACAAACCGAAATAATATAAAAAAAAGCGCGACAAGATTTTCAAGCATGATTAGTCCTTGGATGTTTCGATAGATAATTGCTTCCGATATTTCTCATTCTTTATTTGGAACTATTAAGTTTCCAAAAATAAAATCTAAGAAAACAAAATCATAAAAAATGGAAAAAAAAGATGCGCTGACAAAGAAGCTTCAGATAATAAATGAAAAACAACATTCAATTAGATATTCATCCTTGAACTAGCCCATGCAGAAGCAGAACCATACATTTATGAATTAATTTAAACAACAGTAAAATAATGAATCAACTCTCATGTTGATATTAAAAAAATTCAACAAAAAACAAAACTTGACCAGTGCGATCTGTTGAGGTCAGCAAAAAAAATATTTTCAAGTTCACGAATGCCGCAATTTCTCTTTGAATTGTTTTTATGATCAACGTTTATGCTAATATTGGGAAATAAATTTAATTTGATTTAATCTTGACTGATGTCAATGACAACATTTGACATTTTTCCCTTTTGCGTAAATTTAAATTGTGAAAACCAGACACGGAAATTCTTCAGAAGCTGCAAATAATTTATTAAATATCGCATTGGGTGTATGAATAATTTGCAGTGTAAAGTGTAACCGAAAGCATTACCAGCCACATCGAGTGTATTCGTACGAAAGTCTGGTGAATGAACGAAATTTACAAGTCACGCGACTCTCAATAATCACTTCAGTTGACATGATTTGTTGCTAAATAATTTCTTTACTAAATTAATTCATTATATGATATTTGTTTCTCGATTAAAGTCCATTTGAAACAGGCTTGTCAATTTATTCATTTTAAGCTTCATGCACAATTTATAATTCATGATCTTTTTTTATTTGAATGTTTACGCACGAGACGAGAGAGATAAGTGAGTAACTTAAAAGAGGTGCTAAGTAGCATCCATTTAACAAATAAATATAAAATGTTTCCTAAAGGACATTGGCACGCTATTACATAATGCAATGATAACATTTAGACCGAAAGATTAAAATTCAAGAATTCAGAATTGATGACGCCAAAACGATTCACGTTTGTAAATTTCTTTTTGTTGATTTATCGTTTTAAACGTTTTAAGCGTCAGCAGAGTTACGCGATAAGCAAGTAACCTGGGTGTGAATATTAACGATCATTCACAGATACATAGATTGAACAAGTAAGACCTTCAAAGCGAAAGAAAATTATCTAAACAAGTCGAAACTGGTTAACCAAGCAGACAAATTGTCGCGAGATAAGATTTCTGTCAAATTCGTTCATATTTCAAGTGCGATTAATAAAATTCTAACTATTTAAACACCTTAAGAAATTGTTCGAGAAAATTGTCGAAACTCGTTACATGTTTGCAATTATCTGATTTCGAAAACGTCTGAAAAAATCTTTCTCGATTGCATTTTAAAAGCTTAAGTAACTTTTTTTTCGCTTTTAGGTTTTTCAGACTTGATGTAAGCAAACTAACTTCGATTAATTTTTTTATTTTCAAAACATTTAAAGTAAAAAGATTTGATGCAATTAGCATGTAAAGTTTTCACAATCAGACCAAATAAACATTTCTGAGTCGAACCTCTTGATATTGATGCTTACTTCACTCATTTTTTTCTTACTCAAGTCTTGAACATTCTTCACCGAGTTAAAGAAACTTTTCATATTCACATTCATTAATAAGTTTAATGAGTTCTCTGTGTGTCTTAACTTAAATCATGATGTCACTTAAGATGAATTTTTGAGGCGCAAATCAGAAGAATTAAAATTTTCTGAACTCAACCAAGTTCCGCTTGAAACGAATGGAAATAAACAAAAAAGCTTACAAAAAAGTATTTATAAACATCTGAAATAATTTCTTGATTAAAACCTTAACCATGAAACTTAATAAAAACATTTCGCAATGGATTTTGAACGGTGACAAAAGAGTTTGATTTTTTTTATCCACATCCGCAGATTTTCAATGAATGAAATTAAAAATTCTGATTTTCAACTTCTTATCATGAATAATCATTTTGGGTTTCGTAAATCATCACAGCAATTTTGAAGGTTGAAACATGCAATGTAATGCAAGATAAACGACCAATTTCTAAATACAATTGCAAGCTTAAATGCAAATGTTGACATCAAATTGAAAAATATCTGGAACTGGTTTCAGAAAAGGTAAAAAAACTTGTTTCAATCTATGTAAGCGCATCGATGCAATGAAAACATGAAAACTGTTTTCATGAGATATCAAAATGAAAATTCGCAATGCTGAGATTGTTTCTATCCACATGATGATCTGTGTTGAGCTTTAATGGGTAAATAATTTTCCTAAATGGTCACAAGCAACTCATCGAGTTTTCGAGTTCACATCCAAGTCGTACGATTGATTGCAGCATTTTCTTTAACTGCTGATGCAATTCTTGTTCTCGTTTGAATGCTTCAAATGAGCTTTTCAGAAGGAGGTGAATGGAAATCTTTTTTCCATTTCATTAAACTTTGCAATTAATTGATTTTCACAATATCAAAACTAAGAAATCTTTTTCTTTCTTTATAGTCAATCGCACATGTGACAGCACCAAAAAATTATTTCCTTCGTTTGCCGGTTAATTTAGTAATAAGAAATTCAAACAGCCAACCAATTGTAAAGATGACGGCGAAAGAATTCATGATGGGCTATGAAAGCCCCTTAACAACGTTGGGAAATACGTTATTGCCACATTGGATTCATTTCGATAAAGTTGGACTTCTTGATCGGGTAAGCAATGAAGAAGAGAACAAAAAAAAAAACTTCTGTTCGTCGACAATCGCAACAATTTATCGCTAATCTCACACTAATTATCTTCGGTTAGATGTACGACTTTACCGGTGACTTTGAAACATTTTTTACGGGTGAGACGGATATAAGGAAATCTGGATTATACGACACGGTTCGTGGATCTACAGATCTCCCACATTGGACTGGTGAACACTGCAGCAACATCCAAGACGCCAGCGATGGAACAAAATTCAAAAGTTTTATTAAACCGAACGAAACTCTGAAATTCTTCCGAAAGAGCATGTGTCGACCACAACGACTTGTAAGTATAAAAATTCTTTTTATTTTATCTAATCACTCAATTTTCAAAGTTTATCTCAGTACAAATTTGGAAAGAGATTAAGTTGAGCTGAAGCTTTCACTTTGTCAATGCTGACTAAATTTTCAGCGATTTTGAACGCGTAAGCGTAAACTGTTCCCGGTCCACGACTCGTTATCATGTTCTGAAAAGTTAAATTTTCATTTAATTAAACTTGTTTTAACATTTGTTTGATTTTCATACTTTATCTTGTACGACGTTGTCTTCAACATATTGATATTTCTCTTTTAATGCTTCAGTCTTATATGGATAAGATGTCAATTTATTTCCTAATCCAATACCGTTTGCAAGAAACACATTTGGACTCATGCAAATGCCGGCAACGAGTTTTCCTTTCTCGTATTGATTTTTCAATATTTCGCCAACAAGCTTTGACTGCGCGAGATTAACGTAACCTTCACCACCAGGCATTATGATTGCATCGTAAGCGTCTTTGTCAACTTCAGACAGAGCGACATCTGGCGTGATTATAATGTCAGCTGTCGTCTTCACTGGTTCCCTTCCATGAACACTTGCAATTGTCACTTCAATTCCTTCAATTCTTCTCAGAGTATCAACCGGTGCAACAATCTCAACGGTTTCGGATTTCTCCGCAATCATAATCAGAACTTTCTTAGTCATTTTTATTTGAATGTTGATATTGAACTAAGTTGGAAACCTTTGAAAATGTCCACGTTTTTTATACCAGTTGATAAGAAAGAATTATTGATAAGATATCAACTTTTGTTCCGTAAATGGACATCAATATTTTGTTTTCTATATCGTGATTTACGTAGCTTTAAATCTGAGATATCTGAGATATCATAAATTTCTATAAAAGGCGTCGAGTCTTAAATATTAAAACTGTGTTAAATTTCTCACAGAGATTATTCAATAATATTTTTTCTACTTCTTCTTATATTAAATAAATATTACAGGTACGTACAGACAGTAGCGTCGACACCGTGCAAGGATTGGAAGCAGTCAAATATCAATTTGAAAAGAACGCCCTTGACAATGGCGTTCACGATGAAGCAAACAAATGTTTCTGTCGTGATGGTGAGTTTTATTTCATTCAATCAGCGTAAAGTTGCGCAAAAAAATGTGAAATATCGATTGCAATATTTTGTTGACTTCATTGATGTAGGTAAACATTTCAACACGCAATTATTTGTTTCCTATTTCTGAGAAAGAATATTGAAAGACAAATCTTTAGTCACTTAAATTGCATAACAATATATTAATTAATTTGCGCTACTTTAGTAATCTTGAACTGAAAAAAAAGTGAAAAGATTATCGACAATCTGCTTGTTTATTTACTCGCATCTTGTTGTATATAAACAAACGCTCATCTTGAACTTAGAGTTTATCATAAAATATTAATTTCTATCTTAATAGGCCATTGCTTAGCTGAAGGACTTAGTGATGTTACTGACTGTTATTACGGCTTTCCAATTGCACTCAGTTATCCTCATTTCCTCGATGCTGATCCAATCCTCCTTGAGAATGTCACTGGAAGTTCACCGAACCGTTCAGTACATGAAAGCTTCTTCATGTTGAATCCCGTAAGTTGTAAACTTTTCTTTTAATCTTGTTGCTATTAAACTTTAATTTTAATGTGCTTTTAAATGTAAACTCATAATCGAAACGTTCGTTCTATTCGCTTTTGATACGATCTGATAATAAACTTTCGTGATCATTCCTACTAACAAACTTTCGAACTTTTCAACGATTATGCGTGACCGTCACATTCTATACATAATTTAATTTAAAGTCTTTAATGGAATGTTTTAAAATTCTCACTCACTTCATTAGGAAACGTTTAAACATCAATGATTAATGTTAATTCAAGCAAGAAATAGAATCAACGTTCACTTACTTTGTACTTTAATCTTGTTTTATGACGTAAATGCATTAACAATATTGATTGCAATCTGCCCCATTGGCTTTTCTTCTTCAAGTAAATTCTAATGGATTGGCGATAAAAAAAATCATAAATAAATCGTAGTTGTAACTGCTTCAACCAGCAATTTAAGTTGAATGAATCGTTTGAAACTGGTTAAGGTCAGATTTGTTAAAAGCATTTCTTCTATTACTGTTTTAAAGAATTTATTAACCGGTTAAATTGCATTCGATGTTCTTGTGACGTTTCCCAACACTTTCCAGTTGGAATCATAAAATAATAAACTTGCGACTTTATTGATATTATATAAAAGGTCTTGAAGCTTACTTAGTTAAGTTAGTTAATAGATTATTTGAGATTAATAATTATAAATCCATAGCTAAGCAGGAATTTAAATTTGATCTTGAAGTTCACGAATAATTAACGGCATATCATTAAGGGACTGAAAACTTTTTTTTTGTGTTTTGACAGATAAATGTTTATCTAAATTAACTTAGGTGGATACTTACGTTCAATTCGTAAAATATTAATAAAAACGCGTCATGAAGTGTTCGCTTACCTTGACGAATTAACTGTAACAAATTATATTCAATTAAACGTCACGTTCTGTTACCGCTTAAGTGATTAAAATCTAAACAATTTTCTATTGCAAAAGTAACTTTAAATTCATTTTATTCATCATTGATAAATGATTTAGTTTATAGTTTTTTAATTGTTTTTATCTTTACATCTGATCACAGAAGCGATATCGGATTGTTGTTGATTTCATTAATTATTCTTCATGCAATAAATAACTTGACATCTCAAGTTTTCATCGCGACAATACTTTGAAATTAGAATATTTTTATAGTTTAATAAATCTTGGGCATTTATTAAAGGTTTTAGATAATAAAATATTTATTAGATCAATTAAAGAAACAAAGTAAGAAGCATTAAAAGATTTCTTCACTTTATTGTCTCTGAAACCTTTTCCATAACTTTGTTGTGAGATTTAGCAACTTTCTATTAAATTTTAAGTGTTTTTTTAGAATGGCAGCAAGTATTGAAGCGTAAAAATAATAAACAACCGCATAGTTTACACCCCAATGATAGCCGAGAATTTTACATTTAATTTCACAAAGAAGTTGGTCGAAACCTTAACAATTATCATGACTCGTTTAGATATCAATTTAAGATAATTTACATATCTCGTTTCCTTATTCTTTTGTTAAATGTTTTGTCTTCTAAATTAACGTATGACTAAATGATTGTAACGACTCATAACTAACAGTTAATAACGATGACTTGCCGAATTATAAACGAATAAATTAAGAAGGCTTAATCATCAGAAAAATCAATTAATAATGAATAAACCTTGGGATGGAAGATCATTGAATAACAAATATGTAACTAGAATCTCGACAAATGTAAAGAAGAAACTTTCCTTTGAACCTTTAATTATATTTTTTCTCTTTTCTTGCAGACATCCGGCTTGCCACTTAAATTATCTGTGAAGTTTCAAATCAATTTAGTGATGTCAGACGTTCGTACAATGGCACATGTAGAAAAGTTCTCTCATTTAACAATTCCCATGCTTTGGTTTGAATTTGCTTTGGATACTTTACCTGAACGATTAGAGAACAGATTCGGCCTTTATTTGAATGTGTTGCCAATTGTTGAGAAAGCTGGAATGTTGAGTCTGTTCTTACTTGGCGCACTCTTCGCGATCACAGCAGTTTCACGTGTAGCATTGAAAACATCAAAGTCAATTACATCTGAGAATTCTTACAAGAAGTTTAATCGAAATCTCATCAACAACTCTGTTTACAATCCATGCGAAGTGAAACTAATTGAGCTTAAATCGAAGAAACAGATGGCGAATAATGTTACAAAGATCAACGAGCGGACCAAACCTGACGATGACGATTCATGCGAAGAAGATTCCTTAAATGTAATCACAAGAAGTCAGTACGAGTTAGAAGACGACGATGCAATTTCCGATATCGAATACAATGAAATTAATGAAGAGGGTGAATCAACTTCTTCATCGTCTGAGGCGGTAAGTTGTTCATTTTAAATAATTTATTCATATTGCTTTATAACTTTTTTTGTGATCGTTTTATCATTGCCGCGAGCGTGACAAGTTATTTTTACCACACCAAAATCTTCTTTTTCTTTTTATTCTTCTGTGCTTCAAGCAAGTCTATTAAGTTTTCACCATCTCTGTAATCTTAAGCAAGCACGTGTTCGAATATCGAGTTTGTGTCTCTTAAAAGTTAATGCAGTTAACGGTCCAATAAACGTGACTTCTTAATGAGTAGAAACAGAAATCAATATTGACGACAAAAAACTGAATGAGTTCAAAGACAAGGCAGTAAAATGACATGTTAAGTCTACATTAATTAACGTAAAAGAAAATCTAATCAGCTTTAAGGGAAAAGAATTCTTGTATTGCCTTGTTTGTCTAGTTCTAGACGACATACTATAAGTCACGTAAGCTTTGACTGCTTACTCATAACTGGAAGTCTTCGATATTTAATGCGTATAAATGATCGTAAGGAAATTTATTCTTAAAGTCAATAAATGTCGCGTAAAAATTGTATCCGCATTTGTGACCCTCACTAAGCTCATAAAATTGCGAAGGGAGAATAAAGATTTAACATTCTTTAATTTCTGCTTTTCATTGTTTTACAGACGGACATTGAAAGATCGAATCGAAGTTCAATAGTCGAGATTGATATTCCGTCAGATGATTGTGAATCAGCTTTGGAATCAACTTTTCTCACACAAACAACAAGTCAGTTGCTAGAAGTACCATCGCGAAATGTGCGGAGTTCGATGTTAAAAATCGTAGAATCAGATGATGAAAGTTGAAGTCAAAGGGATTGCAACAGGGAAATTAAGAAGCCATAGGATCCTTGCAATCGTCTGAAAATTGATTAACAAAGATTTTCTACAGCACCATGTGAACCTGAATTAATTGGATAAGAAGCTTTACAATCACAGATCGTTCGAATTCTCTTCTATTAAATTTCTTAAATCACTTTTAAATATTTCTTTAGTTCTTTAGTCAAAGTAGACAGAAAGATTTAACTTTCTTTCAATATATCAAATCTTAACTCTAATTTTTATTAATTTAAGTTCACGAATGATAAAAGTAATGAAATTGTGTCGATTCTTGAAAGGGAAGATGACTTTCTACTTCAAACAATGTTCAACTTCTCTCCATTCTTGAAATTGCCATTTTCTTTAAACGAAATAATGAAGAATTGGTTTTAAATTTTGATGACGGTGCAGTAAAATTATTTTTCAACTTACACCCAAAATTTACGTTCAAAAGCTGTGATTGATTTTTAATTATTATTAATTGGTAAATAATAATAATAAGTGAAATTAATTAGAGAAGTTAAGTTAGCACCTTTAAAAAGTATCTTTTAATTAATAAGCTTAAAGTTATTTAAAAATGTTAATCTGTAAGAAACACGTCTCAGTGGCAAATGTTTTGGCTTCCGAACTTCTTGAGAAACGTTTTCGTTCATCTTTCTTCATAAATATTATAAAAGATGAATGATTTCAAAAGACAATAACAGGTTGGGAAGAAAAACATTTAAAACCAAGATATCCACAAAGATTTGAAAAATGAAAACAAACGAATAGATAATAAAAAAATATTTTTCGCTCTAATTTGCTTTGTTTTATTTTCTGCTTGAAATTTTCGTGCAACAATTTTCGAGTTAAACTATAAAAGCAAAACGGTTAAAAAAAGGGATCTCGGCAGTGTTTAAACTAACTACAAAAACATAACTCAATTACTTTTCACCAATTTATCACTTAATAAAATCGTTAATTGCTTCAGTCTCTTAATTATAGATTAGGTGCAATGCGATTAAGAAGCATCATACACAACTCCAAACCAAGGAAGCAAGCAGCATTTGCCGGCACTGCTCGACACATAACTGGAACGAATCCTTTGTAAAGTGCCAGTGGACCTTCGTTCTTCATTAAAGTTTTAAAAACATCTCGAATTCCACGTGGATAAGTGCCCTCCGGAGCTGTTTGTAAACGACTTTTCAGTACGTCTTGTGGCATTCCAATTGACCAGTTCGCAATACCAGCTGTGTAAACAAATTAACATTCATGAGAATATTCTTTATAAATCAATGTGTAAAATTCTACACTCAAAATATGATCTCACCCATTCCACCAGCAAAGATTGTGCCTGTCATTTCCCTCGTCTTTGATTGTGGCTTGTCTTTCGGCGCAGATTCAGCAACCTTCTTCTTAATAAACTCATACGTGAGGAAATACATTCCACTTGCTGGTACATCTGAGAAGTGTAAATGAGAGAACACATTTAATTGACAACACGCCAGCAATCGTTTGATACGTAAATGAAATTGCAAAATCTTTTCAACATAAACGAACGAAATTAATGTTTGCATTCGATTTTAGTTGCTTCATAAGTCGTCGTATTAAGAACACGAAACTATTTAATGGAATGTTTGTACTTAGTGGCTTGAATTAGTTATACCGAAGATTTTTTTCTCACCACTTGCTTATTTTTTTTTGGTGTTTTTGTAAGCAAAAAGAATCTCACTTTGTTGTTTGTTTATACCGGAGATAAAATTAACCTTTTTGTCCCCTAAAGCAACAATTTTGATCTCCCTTCTTTGTCTTCTAACATATTTTAAAATCTCCTTGAGCATTTCCATCTTAATCAGAAATATGCTTTATTTGATTTTCCAAAATAAAGAAATAAAAATAAATTCCATAACGGGACAAAACGGAAGAGTCTTCCGAACTTTTAAAAAGAAAAAAATTATGAGGAACAGAATTAAAAGCGAAAACAAAAAATAAACTAAGAAGTTGCTGCGACGATGACCATGAGAGAAGAAGCGATTTAGGAGAAGCGAGAAGTTGAACTGGAGATTAATTGTAAATAAAACAAAGAGAACAGTTTCGTGAAATCTCGTTTCATGATTATTATTTTTATTATTATTTTATGATATTTTTTGAAATATTTTTTTTCTTTTTTATCGTATTTGGAATATGAAGAAGTTGTGTCACAAGATTTTTCCTAGAAACTTTTAATTGCAGTACACGAGAATTGCTAACGAGGAAGTTTGTTGAATGTTTCCCAAAACAGGAAATTTCCAACATCCGAAAGCATAAAACATTAGTTGGAGAATTCAGTTTATCAGAATCTTTTAATGAATTTACATCGTAAGCAAGACGAATAATGAGGCACATTTGGTGGTTTAGTTTATTATTTGCAATTGCAATACCATTCGCAGCTGTAAGTTCTCATTAGTGAAGCTTTCTAGACATTTAGTTGAAGCATAAATAAACAACATTCTTGCATTTACTTCTTTAAGAATCAGCTATCGATAAGAACTTGTTTAGAATGTTGAACACTTTATCATTATCAGGAAGCTCACTGTTATGTTCCCAGTCGATATTTTATAAAATAGTTACAGTGATTCAATCTGAATCGATTTTACATAAATTTAAACATCGAAGTTCAATACAATTTACATGAAGATTCAAATTTCCATTCATTTGTAGAGCTTGAAAACATTTTGAATTTCATTATGTGAGTGATAAAAACTTCCACGCGTTATCGTTTGTTTTGTAAATGAACATAAAAAATATTTGAAAAGAAAATTTTCCATTTTTCGTTATCAAAATCAACGAAATTTGAGGTTCATCTCGGTCGATTCAGATTAGTGTTGACACTTGAAATTAGACGACTTTCGATGGACAATTTATCGTATTCTAAATTATTGACAGGAGATAAGTTGCGAATTTTAAATTGTTATGATTATATTAAAGTGTCTGTGAAAAATTATTATAATTTATTGGTAATCGATTAGAAGCAATCATGAACCTCGAATTAAATAATTGGTTGCGGACGTCAAAATTTAAAGATAATTCAATTTTGAATGTTTCTTGTACACCGCCTTTATTAGAAAATTAATTAAATTATTGAATTTTTTTTGTGGATTAATTTAATCTCACTTTGGGATAATCTTCACACGAAAATGAGAAGGAATAAACAGAATTACCGAGAAGAAACTATTTATAAATCATTAAATAGCTCCAGAGTTTAGGTAACAGCCGCGAGAGCTTAAAATTTTGCAAATCACGAGTTTGGCTTGTTGTTTATTAAATCTCGATGACGATTTCAATTTGAAATGCTTCAGAATCCATCGAAAAAAATGAAAAGTTAGAGCAATAAACTGATTATTAGAATACTTTAAACATTCTTCAAACTTGTTTGGTTCCACCTCCAATTATCATTAACTCGAATTCTACATTTAGAATGCAGTACATGACGACAAATGGGAAGACGTAAACATGATTTGCCCACAGCACTGCGTATGTCAATACGCCCATCGAATGGATTTGTCAATTTCACGTTGGATTCATGCGGTCGAAACGAGACAAAGAAAAGGCCATGAGTTCGTCGACTCAAGTGAAGATGCTTTAACCAACAATGAGGTGGTAAAAATTACGTAATTCATGAACTTGACAGATTATTATAAATCAGAGTGCGTTTCCATCAGGTCACTTTTGAAGATGACATTCAACCACAAAATAATGAACTTTTGAAATTCACGATGTGTTTGTTGCCATCTAACATTGAACCGAAAGATTTGATCGCCTCATTGCCGCACGATGTTGAAGCTTTGGTTATTTTATCAACAGAAAATCGAAAGAATTTATCAGGTAAAAACGTTTCTGTTGGTTGCTTGATAATTTATTCTCGACTGATCAATATTTGTTTTTTGGCAGTTCTTGTTAGCGATTTTAATCAACTGTTTGACTTGAAAACTCTCGAAATTCGCGGATCTAAGGAGACTGAATTTACTTTGCGATTTGATGAGCCGATTTCATGGGTGAATCATTTAAGCATTGAATCTGTTCATGTTGAAGCAGCTGAGACAATGCGATTTCGTCCAAATCTTGAAGACATTGATCCATCGCAGAACTTTCATTACGTGCCAAATTGTGAGAAGTTTGAATACAACATTTCGTTTGAAACGCCAGAAGAATTAAAAGAATTGGAAATCGTTCCTTATGAGGTTTATAAAATGGAAAAGTTGACGTCAGAATTACGAATGAAGACAATTTCATTTTATGGTTGGGACAACTTGAAAGTGTTAAGCATCAAAGGGTGTGAAATGCATGAAATTTACTGGGAAATGTTTGATGGACTTTCAAATCTTGAACATTTGGCACTTGAAAATAATGGAATTAAAGAAGTTCCAGCATTTTCCTTCTATGGCACGCCAAACATCAAAACATTGTCATTAGCAAATAACGAAATATTTGATTTGACGTATCGATCGCTTGCTGGACTTCTCGAACTTCAATTACTTGACATTAGTGATAATAACATCGGAAAACTCTCTGAACAAACATTCCCACCGTTTCCGAAACTTCAAATTGTCGATCTACGTCATAATCCAATTAAAAATCTTTTCCCAGCTATTTTTGGCGTCATGAACAAAACGGAAGTTCTTTATTTGGGGTCTGAGAACGTCCCACTAGAATTAAATGCACGAAAGCCCTTCGAGTACTTGACGTCATTGGTTTATTTAGAAATTCCTAATCTGAGTGTACCACAAATGGATCAAAATACTTTTGCATCTTTGGATAATCTTCAAATTTTAAAGATTCGAAGTGGAAATATTCCATTCATTGAATTCGACACATTTTCAAAGATGTTGAAACTGAAAGAACTTCACATAAGACATTGCAAAATTGAGGAAATTTCCATGGACACGTTTTTTGGTGCAAAAAATCTCGAAATTGTTGATTTGTCGCACAACTTGATTAAAGAAGTGCCACCAGGTCTGTTTGATGATCAGCACGATTTGACGGAAATTCTTTTAGTCGATAATCAACTCAAAACACTTCCGTCTGATATTTTTAGACTAAACTCTTTGAAAATGATTCATCTGTTGGATAATCCATGGGAATGCAATTGTGACATGAAGTTCTGGCGTCAAGAAATGACAAATAAATTTCGATCAGGAAAAACCGACAATAAATGTTCAGGAAATGTTCTTAAACATGACAAGTTGAACTGCGATGGAACCACAACAATGACATACACTTTTGATCACAAACTCTCGCCAAGATGTAAAACTCCAAGTAATTTAGAAGGAAAAAGTGTTTTCTATGCACTTCGTCGTGTCTTAAATTGCGCTTCATTTAAGTCTGCTTCTGATGCATTAAATCCACCAAAAGTAACCGAAAAACCTCAGAAAAAAATTGCCATCAAACACAAATACGAAAAACATGTTCGCGACCAAAAAAAGAAGAAACAAAAAGAAGCACAAAGGAATTCGTTGCATTACCAGTTATTCCAGAGACGAAACTATGAAAACTTGCAGGTAAGAAACTTCAATTCTTTGGACAACAATGAAATGTCAAATGACTTGTAATAATAAATTTATGCAATAAATAATAAAGAAAATATTTCACTTACCTCTTAACAACGTTGCTAATGATCCTTTGTAGACGCTTCTAATTCCACCTTCTTTGTACAGTTGTCTTGCACAGTCAATCATTCCCTTGTACTTTTGTTCGCCTCCACTTCCTTGTTGGACTTGCAGAAGACATTTTATGCGCTCTCCAGGAGCCATAACTGATGTTGTAAATATTCCCGAAAAGGCACCAGCAAGAAATAATCTCGTATTTGATAATGGTTGATTGTCTTGTTGTAAAAGTTTCTTTCCAACACCAAATCCAAAGAAACTGATTGCGAAAATCGGTGCGACTCCAGCAATTGGTGCTGACATTCCTTTGTATAGACCTCGAACTCCTTCTTTCTGGATTGTCTTCTTCCCACAATCCAACATTCCTTTGTACTTATCATTAGTTTGAAGTCTCACTTTGATTGTATCAAATGGATGCTAAAAATAGATAAGAATCGAATTAAAAATGGATCTAGTTTAGTTACTCAATATCGACAAAAACTTACACCTACGATGACGGTACAAATTCCACCGAAGCCTCCAGAAATGAAGTATTTTAATGGTGATTGCTCAGACATTTTAATTTCTTCTGAAATTAAATAATTTATCCGTATATGGAATTAAATCGAGAATTACAAATCACATTATGAATGTAAACAACCTTTGAACTTTCGTATAAAATAAAAGATTTTCACTTACTTAACTAAGTTTTGTTAGATAAAAAAGAATCCTCGGCGTAATAAAAGTCCACTACAATTAACTAATTGCTTAATCCTAAGCAAATTCTTAGCTGAGCTGGCAAAAATTAAACTTTCGCCAGTCAAGATTTAGGAAACTTGTTTCGATAGTAACAACACCTGCTGGCGAAATTAAGAAGCTTTGAGAATAACAAAATTTAACACAACCCTGCAAGATTTTACTGAATACACTCGGCATTATCGCAAAATTGATCAAATTTTAAACTTTTAAATTATTTACGCTTATTAACATCACAAACAATGTTGCCACTTTCCGCAAATGAAAATACTTCTGGAAAAATTGCCCTCATCACTGGAATAACGGGACAGGTAAGATGGAAACAAAGAAATATTATGAAATACTTCTTTGACACGAAAGCAATTTTCTTTTATTATTATTTTTCTATTTTTAAGGATGGTTCATATCTTGCCGAGTTTCTCCTTAAGAAAGGATATCAAGTTCATGGAATTATCCGAAGATCTAGTAGTTTCAATACTCATCGTATTGAACATTTGTATCAAAATAAATTCACACATCAGGAAGGAGCTACGTTCAAACTTCATTACGGTGATATGACTGACAGCTCTTGCTTAGTAAAAATCATAGCTCAAGTTCGGCCGACAGAGATTTACAATTTAGCTGCACAATCGCATGTGAAAATTTCTTTTGATTTATCAGAATATACAGCAGAAGTTGACGGTGTTGGAACTTTGCGCTTACTTGATGCGATAAGAACTTGTGGACTGGAAAAACAAGTTAAATTTTATCAAGCATCTACCTCAGAGCTTTATGGGAAAGTCGTTGAAACGCCACAAACTGAAAAAACTCCTTTCTATCCAAGATCTCCTTATGCATGTGCCAAGATGTATGGATTTTGGATTGTGATAAATTATCGAGAAGCATACGATATGTTTGCTTGCAATGGTATTCTTTTTAATCACGAATCACCAAGGAGAGGAGAAAATTTCGTCACTAGAAAAATTACAAGAACTGTCGCCAAAATATCTTTAAAACAACAGGAAGTTCTTGAACTTGGAAATCTTGATTCAAAGCGCGATTGGGGGCATGCCAGAGACTATGTCGAAGCAATGTGGATGATGTTGCAATTGGAAAAGCCAGAAGATTTCGTCATTGCAACAGGAGAAACCCACAGTGTCCGAGAATTTGTTGAAGAATCTTTCAAATTTATTGGAAAGGAAATTGAATGGCGTGGCTCTGGTGTTGATGAAGTTGGAGTTGAGAAAGGAACTGAAATTATTCGAGTTAAAGTCAATCCTAAATATTTTCGTCCAACAGAAGTTGATATTCTGCTTGGTGATGCATCAAAAGCAAAAAGAGTCCTTGGGTGGTCACCGAAAGTTAATTTCGATGAGCTTGTTAAAGATATGATGGCAGCTGACATTGAACTGATGAAGAAAAATCCTATGGCATAAAAATTTAATCAATTAAAAAACTTTTAAAGTTTCCAGTGACATTTAATAATAGAAAAGTCAACAACCAAAGATTTCAGCTCATGAACGAGAAATTTTCCGTCAAAGTATTTTCTATCACGTGTGGATTGCTACAAGTTTCTAAAATTTTACTTTAAAACGTCGAACAAAAAAATGAAAATATCGAACAAATTTTTGTATAATTTAATTTGTGACATTCCAATTAAAGAAATAAAAAAACTATTTTAATAACATTTAAGATTTATGAAGATTTTAATATTTTCTGGGTAGATCAACAAGGAATATTGATGAGAAAAGTGAAAAACTTTTATTACACACGGTGAAAATCAGTGACACATATCGTTGAATCAAATGGACCACCAACGATTTGCGTTTGTTTATTTACAGAGCTACTTTTATAATTTGAAAAATCATAAAAACATTTCATAATAAAATAAATCCTCTTCCATCAAGACGTAAGATGTGATTTTGGCTAAGACTTGATGAACATTTTATTGGCTCATTTCATATCAAACATTTCTCGCACTGCCAAAAAAATTAGTAAATTATAGGAGGAAACTAGACTAGAAAGATTGCTGGTATTTATTCGATTTCATGGGATATTTACGATTGTTTATTTAACATTTTTGCCATCTAAATAAAACAAGGTGCTAGTCACCAGCCAAGTGGTGCCAGATCATAAGTATAAGACTTTTATTTTATTGTTGAAGTTATGAAAATTGAATTTTATTACGAGAGAAGGAAAAATCGTAAAATAAAACTGCTAGGTAAGTAGAAAGAAATTAAATTTCTTATCGTTGACCCAGAATCACATGTTGTCATTTTAACAATAATCTGCAAGAAAAAGAAAACTTTTCAGACACAATTTTTGGATCTCACACGAAGCATCAAGCTTCTTGACATTCCTTTCGTTGTTTGATTTAAGAGGCAAAAGAAGACAGTCACAGTTGGAATGAAGCGTTTAGCAAAATTGTATCAAGACAAATTGCACGAATTTGTTTTTCTCAACACAATCGCTTAATTTACGCTCATATAAAAGTTGAAATAGCGCAACTTTTTATTTCTTCCTTTATTCAAGACTAAGCGCGAACAAAACATATTTTAAAATAAATAAGAAAATATCTGACTTCTTCTTTTTATTGTTAGCTCCTTCAAGTGAAAAAACATTTTCGCTTAAGATTTGATTTATTTGTTTTTTATATGATGAAGTTGAAATATGTTTCACATGCAGTTTGTGCCGAAGTTGTTTCTCTCTGTTAAGAAAAACTGTTGCGATTGCAAATGAAGAAGCAAGCTTCGATGAAACGACTGGAACGGAGATAAATGCTTCAACTTATTGTCTGCTAGACTTCCATGAACTTCTCTGTTTTTTCTCACATTCGTTCGCGAAAGATTAGACAGAAAAAAGGAAAATTCAACAAAAGTAAAAACAAATAAAATATTTTTGATAGTGAAAAATGAACAGCATGTGGAATATTTCAACAGTTACGAGACTAATGACATTGATGAATTCTTTTCCGAATAATTTTCGATTGAAGTTTTAATGAAGGAGAATTTAAATAATTTTTGTTGAAATTTAGTTTTTGATTGCCATTGTCGGTCTCATTTGTTAATAATGATCCCTCTTATGAACTCATAAGTATTGTCGCTTCCTTCTGTTTATCTATATTTATTGCTTACTTTCTCATCTCTCTCTGTATGTAGTCGCGGTTGAAATAAATTTAAATAAATTGTTTCTGGTGTGCTTCAACACTTGTATCATCGTTCTGCTTTAAGATATTTATTTGTGTCTTAATTAATTTATGAATGTTAAAGGAGGGCGACTGCAATTTGATGAGAATATATTACTTTAACACGACTGAAGGCATCTTGCGTGAATCATAAAAAAAATGTGGATAAGAATTGGTGAAATCTGTTGGTTTCATTCAAGTATCTATCGCACACAAATTTATTTTCCTGTTCTAAGTATTCACACTTCATCCCAATTTTATTTAAACTGCTTTGAAATGTTCTCTTGCTTGAGTCGAGGAAGATCTTGAAAGGTTAGGCGACTTCAACATTACTGGGTCGTTTTTCATCTCAAGTGCCTTCACGCAAAGATTAATAAGAAAATATTGCTTACGATGTTTAGCTTTATTTTTATTATTCTTTTTTTTTTGTCGGTGTTTTTGAATGGATTTTCATGTTTACAATAATTTAATTATGTTTTCCCACTTTGAAGATTTCTTTGCTTTTCTTCTTCCTCACTTTTTTTTTATTATTTTAAAAAGGTAATTTAAACGTGCGAAAAAAGCAGCATTTATTTATGTAGAAAGAGTTCATTCATGAAAACTGCTGAGATGGAAGAAGGAATTTTGCAATAATTTCTCGATAGTGAAAATAATTGAAATTTACTGACAACTTCCCTGCAGGTGAATGTGTAGCACTTTGTCTTGCAATCAACGCGCTTCTTTTCATCCCTACGTGTAGATTCGTTAAAAAGGGAAAGCGCAATTAACACTAACAAGCCTCAGGTAAGTAGAAAGGCAGCCAGAACAAGAGAGAAGAAATAATAATAATAAAATGCTGATAAAAAGTTTTCCTTTATGCGGTTGTTTACGAAAATATTTGAAAAGAACAATAAACAAATTACATACACGTTTTCAGAGCAAACAGCAGTTAAAAGAGCAAAAAGGGTCATAAAAATTTTCCACGAAAAACTACTAAACATATCACCCGCAACACAAAATACCGAGCGAGCGTTCTTCATGCTCAAACGAGATGAAGAGAAGAAAATCAAAGGAAAGCAATAAAAGTGCAATAAAATATCGGTTAAGAAATTACCAAAAATAATAATTTTCCATCTCCAAAGCCTTCGGCTTCGATGTGTTTATTATTGTTGGTAAATAATTAGACACAAGGGAAGAGAGCAAGCGAATCGACTTATTTGAGGGGGAAAATTGTTGTTTACTAATTTCCACTAAACAACAAGCCGTTTGAAGTTTCGATTTTATTACATTACAAGTCATGTTTGCTTCATGTCGATGAATGAAAGAAAATTTTACTTCAACTCCCTTTTTTTTGCAAACTTTTCTTTTTAAAGAGTTTTGTTTATGATTTAATGAATTTTATGATGGAAGTATTTAAAGAGAAACTCTTGCGTAACATAACACAAGATCGTTTTCGGAACCTTTTAAGATTTTCTTGCACTTGTCATGTTTGTTCTGGAATATGCGCCACGCTTCTGGAGAAAAGGCAAAAAAATAAACAAACCTTTTATGGTTTTGCATTCAACAGTCGGATGATCAAACAAATTCTGTTCACCAAATGTAAAATGGTTTAGTTAACGATGTGTTAATGAGTGAATATTTGATCAAGAATTTTGTGAAATAATTTTTCAATTATCTAAATGCAGAATTGATAAATGTTCCATTTAGGTAGACAAATAATCTTTCTATTGAAAATCTACTCCAACATGATGCATAGCGAAGGATGAAAGTTGAAACCAATTAATTAAATCATTACACAAGCAAGCAGAGATTACAGTAAAACGATCAAGCCATAAAAATAATCTTCACTCATTAACAGAATCACCTTTAATATCTTTGTCATATTCTCATGCTTCTTCTTAAATCCCCGATCATTAAACTACTCTCAAGATGTGAGAAGTTCGGTTAGTTGTGCGATGATATATGATTTGTTTACAAACAACTATCGAAAGCGAGAAAGAGGAAAAAGAAAATAGAAAAGCAAAAGACTATCTTCCGTTGTTTTTCCGAGCTTCTTTTGACACATTTTCATGGATGCATATGAAAAATTAGAAACGACAAAAAAATGTTGTATCCAAGTGAAAGAAAAATATTTTTATTAATTTAGGTTTTATGTAAATAAAATGTGACTTTTAGGATTGCATAGTTTCATTAGATTGAAAGTATTTTAAATGAGTTCCTAAGATTATGAATCAACCCAACTATTTTCTTAAGACTTTTAATGACTTTGAAGTCTTTTTTTAAGATGCCGTCATAAAAAAAGAAGAAATATTCAAGGAAATAAAGCAAACTTCAAATCCTTATTTATTTAAAACACATTTCCATTTTCCCAGATTTTGTAACAACGTGGAACGAGAAATTTTGTATAGTGAAAAGAATTATAAATGAAATTTCAAATAATTTACTATTTGTTTGTGAAGTGTCATCTTAATTGCTCAATATTTTTCATGACATTTTATTTCATTTTCTTCTTTCTTCTTCTCTTAAGCATTGCAGATTGTCTCGAAGACCTTCTCAATAGATACTTGGACGAGATAACTTTTCTTTTTTCTTTCCATCTCTCTTGTTAAAAATGTATTTGAAAATATTTTTATTATGCTGTTGCTGCTTGTAGATTGTTGTTGATAGAGCAATTAAACAAATAACACAAATACCGAGAAGTAGTTTTGTTATATTATTTATAAGTTTTTATTTCTCTCGGCATTCATTGCTGCAGCAAATGCTGTAAGTCTAGGAAAATGAAGATTCTTCGAATGAAATTGAGATATTTTTAATGACATTTCATTGGAAAAGTAATAAAATTTTGCTCTCAAATTTTGTGGCAACAAATTGAGGACAAATGGAGAAAAAGCAAGTCGCTGCTGTTGTAAAACGAAACCTAAAGTGAGGTTTAATGGTTTTAAACAAAGGCAAGCTTCTAATTTAATTCAAGTTTAAACGTATTTTCTGCAATGCAATAAAAGTTTGCTTTATGATGAGAGACAATTCGTCAACATGTGCGGCCACATCCGCATACAGTTTTATGTCAGAAAACTGAAACTCGGTTTTGAAACCACGAAATGAATTAAACCAACGAACGGAGGGCTCTTCGTTTGTTTTATAAATATTTTAAATATTTTGGTTGCAATCATCGTTAATTGTATTTAAGTCATTTGTCAATGTGCATCATTATGATGGATTTTCAATTAAAGACAAGAGAAAAGGTAAAAAGTTTGATGGAATTCTTGCAACAAAAATGAATTGAAAAATTTGAATTGAAGTTGAATTAATTTTACTAACTCAGCGTTTTATAATGAACTTTTCCTAATGAAGAAGACAAGCATGAGTTAAAAACATAAATCTTCACTATTTGATCACATTGAGGGAGTTTTTTTTAATATTCTAAATCTTCTAAATCATAAATAAATATTTCATTACAATCTAAATTAAAACTTACATTTCTAATTCTTTTTTTACTATTTTTCAATAATTCATATACCTAACTTACTTTCATAAGCTATACCAATTACAATAAACAATCCTAAATTTAAATATTTTTTCATTTTTTTTAACGCTTTCTCACTTTTTTCGTAACCCAAAAGATCTCACTCTTGAGTTAAAATGTGTCAATTCAAAAGCAAACTGAGATTTTTCTTTAAAATATTAAATTTATTATTACTCTGATTTTTATCAATCATTTGATTAGGTAATTTTTGAAACAAGAGTGATTAAAATATTTTTGAAACTTAATTCTTTCAATTAAAGAAAAACGTTTATTTGAATATCGCAAACAAATCTTTCAGTAATTTTCTTCTGATTTTCCTCTTTCTTATGTTTCCGCACTTGGCACCGCCTCTTTTCTTCTCATTTCTCGAAAGTCGTTTGATGAATTCACAAATTAAATCAATTAGCCGGTGTTTATGTTGTAATTTTCTACAGGGAATATTCTTCATTCTTCAAACGAATTCTTAGCGTGATGTAAAGTAAAATTAAAATTCAGTGAGACGACAACTTTAAAGTTTTTCTAATGAACTTTTCTTCCTTTATTATGGTACGTAGTAGAAAATTATACTGAAAATGGAAGTGCTATGAAAATTTGATGGCTAATAAAAAAAGTACCTGTAACATAACAGCTAAGTATTTACCGTCACTCTGTCTATGACTTAAAGTAAAGATTACAACGCACTTAAATTGTTAGGTGGAATATTAAAAACAAATACATCAAAATTCTTAAAGTCAGTTTAGAGTGTTTTTGGGAACCCTCACAACGCTCTCAAATTTACTCGGATAAGGTTTTATTATCACTTTTCTTCACACGAAGTAACAGTTTAATTGCTTTTAAAATAAAATTCTTTCGAAAGCTGCTGCTTAAATTCTCGACGAGACTCCCTGACTGACGATGGTACTGATGGAAGTCTTGAAATTATCTCCTGTTGGGTGATAAAATGGAATAATTATGTTTAGTGTTTTTATTGAGTTTTTAATGCTTTTGAATTTCGAATTACTTTAAGAGTCTTTGCTATTGCTGTTGCTGTTGTTATTTATTTATGTTTCCTATTCTTTATTTGAATCACTTCAGTCATGAGTCAAAACGAAATAAATTTTTATCATCAGTTTCCCGAAACATTAAGGTTTCCTTTTATGCTCAAATAATCCTTAAAAACTCGTAACTATCATCAACTTTGTTAATAAAACTTTTTCTTAAAAAAATATATAAAATAAAACTTCTTCCATCAACAAGTTTCATCTTAAAGTTTTCTTTGTTGAAAGGAATCTCAACAATGTCATCGAGAAAATTCACTTTTTGTCAATGAAATTGTTTTCCCCTATTCTCGTCTTGAGATGAAAGGAGAGAAGAAAAAGGAAGAAATATTGTTGAATGACAGCTTAGATTTCGACGAAAATTAAGCGTCGGAACGATTTAAAGAAGGATAATGAAAATTCACGAGCAGCTTTAATACATAATAATGCTTTTTTGGTTGTGCTCAGGTGTTAATTATATCCATCAACTCGTCATTTATCTTTAGTGTTTAGCACACGTCTCCTTCTTAAGTCTTAAAAATACTTTCATCAAACCATCTTCTTCTCTTCAGTTGTTAGGTGACACAACAGTTAATGAATAAAAAGAAAACTGAGCATTTCTTTTACGATTATTCTCTTAAAAATGATTTTAAACACATGCAATATCGTGTAATTTTCAAGTTTTACGAGTACACTTTTGACAACGTTTCTAGGAAATCTTCGAGGCTGTAATTTCTCCCTTCACTTCACGCAAAGACGAAATTTTATGACTTGGTTTTATGGATGTTTTCATTTTTCCTTTTTTGTTTCGGTTTTTCAAAATAAATAAAACATCCACGCTTCTTAAAATTTTAAAGATGTCTGTTTACAAGCTGCAAAAGCAAAAGTCTTGTTGAAGTTCTTGTCAACTTTCATATCAACTTCACTCCCATCTCTTAGAATTGTTTACTGGTCTCTTTTCCAGATATTCATCATGTCAAATGCCAATCCACAATAAAATTAATTGAAATCCATTTGATGGTTTATAAAGAAAAACTTTACGATGCAATCTGGAATGTTAAAAAATCTCATAAAATTGTTGCATTAAACTTATTGTTTATTTTAAAATAAAAATGTAGTTTTCCTTTAAAGAAAATTGAAAAAGGATCATTTTCATTTATTAACTATCGAGTTATTCAAAGGAAAATATTTCAAAATTCTCTTTCACAATTTCGGGAGATAAAAAGAAAATTTTCTCTCATCACAGACGATCGGGGGCGGAGCTTAAAACGCAAAACTTCTTCTTCTTCTTTCTTCTTTTTTTGAAAAAATCGTTAACACGTTATTTAATTTACAAACAAGAAATACTTTTTTCTTCTCTTTGATATTTTCCTTTTACTCGTTTACGACGTTCATAACAATTTCCATTCCTTCATCATTTGTTTGTGTTTCTTTCTTTTTATATTCGAGATCTTCGACGATCGTTTGCGTCTTCATGTGTGTCTTTCAAGAGGGATCGTTAGCAAACTTAAAACAACATCCCATGAGCACGAGAATGTTTTCATCGTGTTTCGGCATACAATTAAATAAATACATGCGGAACAAGAAGAAACAGGGAGAATGTTTTCTTTTTTCCTTGAAATTATTCATTTTCTTCATTTTAAGATGAGAGAGAAAATTACTCATGATCAGTTTTAATTTGACGATCTACGGTATGAGTTGTGAAATATTTTATAACTGAAATAATTCAAGTGAAAGAAAAATACGGAAAATATTTGTGAAATGAAAAAGTTGTGAAATATTTTAATTAACATAAAACAATCATAAATCAAAAGGAATTAATATTTCTCAGTGTTGAAAATATTTTTATTAGTTGAGTGAAGTATTTTTAAATAAAATATGTTGCCACATTACTCAGCATTTCCACCAATTGATCATATTCAAAACAACACTGATTGCCATTTCATTCCAAATGGAAATCGATTGTTTCCACCAATTTCACCTTATTCATTCGGCTTATCAAACTCAATATGGTCTTTACCATTCTCATTCATGAAAGCATCACAACGACCAGAGAAGCCTCCATTTTCATACATTGCTCTAATTGCAATGGCAATAAGCTCAAGTCCCAATCAACGTTTGACACTTAGTGGAATTTATAAATTTATTATGGACAAGTAAGTAAAATATTTACTATGCTTCATAAAAACTTTCTTAACGTGTCACTTTGCGGTGTTGTCATAAAATGCATTGACCTTCTCGCAAAGTACTCTCAATAAATTTATTCCTGTCATGAATGTCTACCTTTAATCTTCCACTTTTCCTTCCACCCACGACGCATTATTAGCTTTCCATATTACCGAGAAAATAAGCAAGGATGGCAGAATTCAATTCGTCACAACTTAAGCTTAAACGATTGCTTCATAAAAGTTCCTCGTGAGAAAACTTCATCAACGGGGGATGAAGCGTCGATGGAAAATGGAAAGGGCAGTTATTGGATGCTTGATCCAAGTGCAAGTGACATGTTTGATGCAGGAAATTATCGTCGACGTAGAACGCGAAGACAACGACATGCGAAAATGCTTCTTAGTGGCCAGTTTCATCAAGGATCAGCCTTCACAATTTATCCAGAATTGATGCAACGTGCACACATACAGCATGCACAGAGTTTCGGTTTAACAAGGTACGACTCACATCCCACCGCTGTTATGAAAGCGGATTATGACGACAGTGTGAACAGTGATAACGATGGGGTAGCGGATGAACATCATGAAAGTGGCAAAGCCAGTGACGCTTTAGATGGCGACGATGCTACCACCACAAAGCTTCCCACCAATTATCTATTTCATTTAGATAAGCTCTTGAAAAATCAATTTTTACAGCAAATAAATTTTCAATCAGCTCTTAATGAATCCAATCGTACGAACCACCATAACCAGCCCATAACGAATCAAACGACCAGCAGTAACGATTGCAAAATGAATTTGAAATCAACAAATTTCACAATTGAAAATTTAATTAGAAAATAGTTTAATGAATAATTATTCAGATGTGAAAATGTGTTTGAATGTTTGAAATTGTGCACTATGTGAGATAAAATATTATGAAGCTTGAGCTGTTGTAAATATCGTAGTAAGTAGATATGAAAAATCGGAAAATTTGAAGTTTCCATGCAATCAGTATCAAATGAAAATGTTTAAACTGTTGAATCAAACGTCCATTTGAAAGTAGAAATGTGCATAAATTAATAATTTGTTATTATATAGACGATATAAATAAAACTTTAATTACTTTATGTTATAAAGTGTGAAATTTAATATGTCATAAAACTGCACATCTCAGCTCATCAAATTTCGAATTTTAAAAGAAAATTAAATGCAATTCTCTTGAATGTTTTCCGACGGTATTGAAGTTTCCTGAAAATTCGGAAAATGGAAAAACCTCACTAGTCACTTGACTAATATTCGTTTAAATAAACATCAATAAGAGTCTTAAATTAATATTTTTGTAAGCCATCAAGCGCCTTGATGAAAAATCTTCTCACTAAATTGAAGGAATAATAAAATGAAGACAAACATCGGCTAAACTTAATTTAAAAATTTCTTTGTTGCTTCTCTGAAAGTTTTATTTTTTTGCAGTCTTTTAAAAAAGTTTTAATTTTTTTTTCTCACCTTTTAGTGATCATTCACATCCTGAGAAGTTGATGGTGATGAGAAAAATAAATTTCGTGCACAAATTTCTAATCAATATCAATAAGGTAAAGTTTTCTTTAGAAGAATTCTTCGGAAGCAGCTCAATCTGAGTTCAAGTTGATAGAATGCTTCCTCCCTCGTCATTCTTCTTCTAAAACTAACGTGCAAGGCAAAATTAAACAAAAGATTGATTGAGAAAATTTTCTTTTTCTTGAAAGACTTTTTCTAAATCACGAGGAGAAAAAAAACAAAGAAGCAACTTTTATTTTACAATTGAACAAATAATTAAAGTTTCATTCTTTCTTTTACTCAGCATTTTGCGCTAAATAAATCAGTTGAACTATCCACTAAAGTGAATATTTTATAAGTGAAATAAAAATCGTCAAGCTTTAACTTTATCCATGCATTCACATCGTCGAGCAATTTAGCAAATGAGGCTTGAGCAACATGTGAAAGAATTACATATTCAGCTAGGCATTTAATTACAATTTTCTTTCCTTCTTACTCCATTTTCGCCCTCTCGATTCGTGTGTTAACAACACTTTCCGACCTGGCTATAAATTTCATTTGGTTTAAGTGAAATTCCTTCTGCTGCTTCCGGATTTAGTGTTGGGGAGAAATTTAATAATCACAATTCTCTTTTTTTCGGGTGGGTTCATTAACAAGTGTAAGGACATTAAAACAACCCGGAAGAAAACTTTTAATTATCATGAAGCACCTTTTAAAAGGAGGATAAATGAGTTTCTCCTAACTTAGATCAGCACCAATTTGTAGTTGAAAGTGTTGTTTTGTTAATTTTACAAGACATTTGAAAGCTTGATGATTTGTGAGACGAAAACACAAAAAAAATGAGAAGAATAAGAAACCCAAACACATGTGCTAATGTTACGAGGTAGAAAATCTACAAACAGCTTTTCTCGTTCATAATTTTCCGCCTCTTTACGATTATGTACTTACTCGGGCTTGCCTGGTGGCCCAGTAAGAGAAGTCTTCATGTTAGTAGAGGGAAGCAATTGTGAGAACGACAATTAAATCTATTCCTGTTGGGCATCGCCCTGATATAAATTCACCATGTTACCATTTCACGTTGTTAGCAGCATATAAATTACTTGTGTTGGGAGTCTTCTATTTCTTTTTATGTAAGGCTAAATACTGATGTTGTTGTTCATTTCATTAACGAAATTAAGAGTTTTCCTTTTCATTATATTTATGTTTTCACTACTTTTTTTATTTCGTTCTTTCGACTTGTTTTCTTACTAGTTTACGTTGCTGTATTTGTACATAGAAATAGTCTAGGAAATAGTTATTAAAATTAATTCAGCATGCAGTATGTAGTGGATGTGAATGATACAAAAGCAACAAACAAAGTGCAACAGAACGTGAAAGAGCTTTTTAATTTACAACATAATACTTATTACTGTTTTCTGTCGAACTTCATTTCAAACTCGGAAAGGAAAATGAGAAAAAAAAGTGTTCAGAAAAGTGCAATTATAATTCCTGAACGAAATGAAAAAGAGAATTTATTATTGCTGTCGTACATTAAAAAATGTGATTTTACCAGCTCGAATATTTCTTTTTGCGAGCATAAAAATGCTTACAGGAAAACAAATTTTCCTTTTTTCCTTCTTCTTCTTCTTCTTTTTATTATTGTCGTCGTCATTTTGATCGTTAAATGTATTCAAATTTTCTTAACTCTCTTTTTATTTCTTTTACTTTTCTCCTTCCCAAGGTAGTGTTCAGTTTTGAGTTTAAAAGTGAATGTTGGATATGTCGAGAAAGGAAACATTTATTTCAAAGAATTATTAGAACGTAGTTCTGAATTACTTTTTCTGTTAGAAAACGTTCAAAATATTATAAATTATTTAATTCGCCTTCATCCCCCCGAAAACATAAAAGTAGAAAGAGATACTATTCAGTGAATGTTGAATAAAATATTCTATTAAAACCTCCCACCATAGGCAGCAAAGTTGAACTTTATGAAATTCAAATTATAGCAAATTTTTCCAAAGATCCACTCACTCAGTCGCAAGAAACCTTCGTATCGCCTTTGATCTTTCTGTAAAGTTTGCACTTGAAAAACATCTAATAAAAAGTCGCATAAAAAACTTTCCTTTTTTCCGATAAAATTAATGTTTTGAAAAACTTTTCATAATTGAGCTGTAGAGTCGCTCAAGGGATAAAAGTCAACCCTGAAGAAAGAGAAGAAACGAAATATATGGTGCATGCTTGAGTGACTTTGAGAAATCATCATCTGTCTTTGACTTTAGATGAATGGTTTGTGTTCAATGCGTTGATTTAAGGATGACAAAGTCGTAGATGTGAATTTGTTTGTCGTCTTTATCAAAGCATATACATATCAACATAAATTTATGTTTTTTAAAAAGATATTTCAAGGAAACCTTTTCAAAGATTTAAAGCTTTATCTTTAGTTATACATTTAGTCGAGTAGTGTACGATGGCTAACAAGGAAAAATAACTTGCTACAATATTATTTTCTTCCGGTTGTCTGCTAATATGAAAACGATAGAGTTTTTCCTTTTTCGTTTTTCCTACAAGACAAAGACATCCGCTGACTATTTTAGAAAGCAGATTATAAAGCATTCCATGACACAGAAAAATGTAACTTCAATTTATATTGTTCGATGCTCATTCCTTTTTCAATGCAAGGGAATAATGAAACAAACCACTATTTAGAACATAGGAAAAAAAAGAAAAAGAAAAACCATTTTACGGTAGATTGAATATCACAACTTTTTTAATTTAATGCCGTTTGAGAACTGAAAAGTTTACATTTTATCGAGAAAACAAAAACCCCATGAATGAGAGAAGGGATAAGAATTTTGCTTAAATTTAAAAGTGTTTTAGAGATCAGGCATGTGGAGGGTGGAACACAAACCATCCATGATGAAAATGAATGATGTCTCATATGGATGGATATTTATTTGAAACGGATTTCCCTCCTTCTAAGTGTTAACTCTGCAAAGTCAGTATTTAGGACTTAAAGGTTATCAGAGGCCGATTAAATATTTTAAAGGGTGAATCTTGGTTGGAAATTTATTGCACAATAAATAAATGTGGGCCTCTGATAAAAATTATTACAGTTCCTTAACGTATAGAGAAAGCCTATTTCCGTTCTCTGTTTAAACTTGCTGGGGGTAAAAGAAAACTTAATCCTTTCGCCTTTCCCTCATCACGCTATTCACGCCATGCATGACCTCTTCCTAAGAAATGCTGTGCTCGAGAATTTTTTTTTTGCTTTTTTCGTTTTTATTTTCCTTTTCAGAGAACTAAGTTTGCAAGCCATGCACATAAATCATTGGGCATTTTTTTAAATGGACATTTTTTCCATTTTCCGTTTTCTAGAGAAGGAAGAAGAAGGAAAACTAGTTTGTTCTTTAAGTCGGGAATTTATTTTCATGAATTTTGAATCTTCAGGGTTTTTGAATTGAAACAATTTAAGTTTAATTTTATTTAGTAATATTTTTTTATTTTGATGCTACTAACTCTGAGGAAATGTATCAAAAAAAAAGAGAATTAATAAAGAAAAGTTCTTGCGGCTTCTGCTATAAATGTCATTCAGCTTTTTTAAAGTTAACAAGATATAAATTAAATTTCCTAGAATTCTACCATCGTTGTATTCATAATTTTCTTTCTCTTTTGAATAAAACATATCATTAACTAAAAAGAGTTAACATAATCTCTTTTACTTTTTTGTTTTATTAAAGAACAGCATAAGCAAAGCACTAACAAGCGTTAACGATTGACTATAGAAATCCTGAAATGTTCATTCACCTTCGAAAAGGATTTTTGCAGTAGCAACCATAAAGATTTTAATTCGAATATCATTAAAATTTATGCAATTACATTTTGCCTTTCCCCATACTCATTTCATTTCGGGATGTGAGGTTTCTGTGTTTAATTTCGGTAGGATTTTCGTTATATTAAATACAAATAAATTGTAACTGTTCTTGGGGTGTTTTACTTAACTCTTTCTTTCCCCTTTTATGAGACTTAGTAAGGAGGAGATTAAACGTGTAGATTATACAATTATTATCAAATATATTGAAGTGAATGAGAAGTTTTCACAATTTAAAACAGAGAGAGAGAGAGAGAGCAAGGGAAAACAATTCCGGAAAAGCAACAATAATATGAAATGATTTTCTTTAACAAGGTTGAAAAAGGTGCAAAGTGTAGATGAATCGAGAAGGGTGTTGTAGTGGAATGTATGTAACAAAAAGCAGAAGCAATTTAATAAAATTGAAGTAAATGACTTTTCATAATAGCTCGAATAATCGCACATGGAAAACTATTCTCATGAAATTACTTCAGGCGTTTCTATTTTATTCTAGTTTGCATCTCTCCAGCTTCTGTTTGGTATTCTAAACTCTAAACAGAGTGAGAATTTCTTGTTCAGTATGTGGCAACAACTTCTATCGCTATAACGTAAAGTGATTTGGTTAACTCACCTTTTCTCCAACTGTTCACGTGTAATTCAATTAAAAGTCTGTCTTGCTGATATTGTACGATGTATGGTGCTGCTGAGTTTACGTTTTTCTGCCAACTTCCATTTGATGATGATGCACAATGATCGGGGAAGTGCCTTGATGACATGAAATTTTCCTTTCGATTTTCAATCATTTTCGACAGCTCATTACGAAAAATCTTCTTCTCAAAAATCTAAATTGTCATTAGACAACGTGACAGCTTCATCATGTGATTCCGCAATTTATTTGAGAATGTGAAAAATTACTTAATTTCCATGATGCGGAAGTTTTTCACACTCTTCATGATCGTTTGATGTTTCCTTTACTTTTCCCTTAGTAAGTAAAAACCGTCTCATTACTCGATGAATTTTCTTTCTGCTACTCCGAGAATTTTACATATTTGATCAACTTGTATTTGTGTTTACTTAATCTATGAGTGAACTTCAATATTTATCTTTTAAGTCATGTCATCAGATACATTCTTACTCGTTCTGACTTTTCAATTTTCTACTTACATAGATGATAATTTTATCAAGTCTTCGTTATGATGGTAAGAAATATTTAATCGCTTTGGAAAAAGATGTTCAACTTCATACTAATTCAAATGATTTGTGAGTCTACATAGAGATTAATATCATTCAAACTTTAACATAATTTCTCTAATACTTCTGTTGAACTTTATTCTAATATTTCATTCGTTTCATCTTATCAGGGCATTACCCTCTGCATTGTAATATTCCCAAGAGATAAATGATTCCATAAACTGTCAAGATCTAGAAAACTGTTTAATAACACCCGACAAGAAATTTAAACGAGATAAGATGTGACTCCCGCGAGATAAAGCAATTTGATTCGCTTTGGAGAAAATTTTCATATTTGCCAATTAAAAACTTTTAAACGTTGTTTTAATTTACATCGATTAAAAATGAAATTGGAGATTTCTTTGCAAAAGATAATTTATGACCTTTTTTCCTTTTTATTCGCCTTAATTTTATTAACCTGGAATGAACTAAAAGGTGCGATTGATAGCATAAAAAGGTAATTTTCATTATGACGTAGAAATCAACTTTTGTGTTCACAGCTCACCAGTCAACTGAGAAATTTCACTAAATATTTTGTGTTCTGTTGTGTAGTTTTCAGGAGAAATGAGAAGAAAAAAAGCGAGAATTGCTAATGAAAAAACACGTAGATCACGTTCGTTATCTAATTAGCTAATTGTAGCTTGGAGGGCTACACTTGTATACAATCTTTACCACCGCTTTTCGTTTGATAACAAGCAGCTCTGCAAGAAGTGAGAGAATGAATGAGAAGAAAATATTTTATTTGCTTTTGGAAACAGGGAAGGTTGGAGGGAAGAAGGAAAAAAAGAAACGAAACCGAACAGTAAGCGATGATAAGCAGTCGAGAATCGAGCAAGAAGAAATGAACAGCAGTAAAGAGTATCGTTCGTAAATTGAAACGAATTAGCATCGAACGTCGGTGAGATGTAAGGGGAGGGAGGATGCTGAAGAAATAAAGTTACATTTCCATCTAATCAAAGCTCAGCTTGGTTAGAGAAAGCTTCACATAAACTTTTACCACCCGCAAAACATTCGTAAACTCTGAAATGTGTCAGAATTTATGTATTGAATTTGTACGCAGTGAAATTTATGATTGCTTCCTATTTAACTGTTGATTCGTTTGATTCAATTACAGCTCAGCATTCGCACACATCCGAAAACCCATAGCTGCGGTTATCGAGAGTGCGATAACTTCTCGTGTGAAAATGATTTCTTCTGAAAAGCCTTAAGGATGTGCTTATATTGGCTTGAAATTTCTTCTGAATATATTTTATCGAAATGTTTTTCTTGGAAATTTATCTCTTCGAGGCTTTATAAGTAGACGAAAGAAAAATCATTTTTGATTTTCTTCAATGAAAGTTCATGGAAAGAGTTGAGGAAGAGAAGAAAAAATAATAAAACAAAACAGAAAAATAAATTTTCGACAAACGGCAATCGAGAAATGTGAGAGGGGAAAGAATAAACACATAAAAATATTATGTTATGATAATTAAATAGGTTTGAGCACTTAAGAAAATAACAGAAATCGTGTGAAATGCCAAACCAACAAACAATTTCAAACTTCCCATTTCTCTTGTACGAATCTTGCTTGCTTTTGTAAGGAAGCAAAAGGCACATCTTTGCATACATTTTGAGCTCTGCGTCGTCGGCGACGGTAAGCATTTTGAGAGGGTGAGGGGGAGTTTTTCAAATTCAACAGAAAATTCTTTTAAGCATTCGAATGTGGCGCTTGGGGTAAATGCGAAAAATTTATCACAACGAGAAACATAAATATGTGACTGAGTATTTATGTCAGCTTCCTCATGTTCAATCTTCTCCGCACAAAAGAAGCAGCAGCGAAAGATGAAAACAAGTAAAAGTATACATTAGAAAATATGCTAGGTATGTATGTAATCACTTTACTGCTTTATGAAATATTTGCATGTTTGTTTCAGTATAGAAATGGGAAAGATACGACTGAATATCATTAGGCAATAATTCATGCATATGAGGTTCTCGTAGCGAGCGAATAAAAGTGTTTTCGTAGTTTTTATTATTCGTGATTTTATGTTTTTATGTTGTAAATAGTTTGCAAAGTTGAGTCACAACATACGAAAATTGATTTTTATTCATGTCGGCAGATCACTTAAAATCGTTGTAATCATCACCAGGGATTTGCATGATGAATTTAATTAACAAAAATTGGTTTTTGTCAAACAAAACTTTATTTAAGTTGGTAACACAAACTTGGTAATATTTTGAATAAAACAAAACATTGAAATAATCCACGTTAATTAAATATCTATCACTTTCCACCAAATTTAAAAGTTTCAGAGAAAAACTTTTAATTTTCTTTTTTATCGAATACTGTTGATGGATCAGTTTCTTCGTTTATTTCATCTCCTTCACCTTGATTCTCATTTTGGTCGTCATCAAAATTACCAACCATGCACATGTTGAAGAATGCTGACGCTAATTTAAGGTCGAGATTATAGAAAACACGCTGAAAGAAAGAAATAATAAAAAATTAATTAAAGAAGACAATAAACATGAAGTTTGAGTCTCACCTGATGTTTGTCCCAACCTTTGCCCAACACAAACCATGAAAGTGCAAAACGAAACATTGCTGCAATGTGCCAAGCATTCATCAAGGTATCTCCACAGAAATACCAACAGAAAAATGTTGGCAAGATAAAGCTCAGCAGAGGCATCAAAATATAAAAATGTTTCTCTTGTAATTGAACCACTTCATCAGCCTCCAAATCTGATACATCAATCTTCGATGTAGCTGCTTTAATAGTCGGTTGTCGTTCACATAAAAACCAGCCATAATGGGAGAAGAAGAAGCCACGTTCGGGATTAAATGGATCAGCATCAGTATTTTCATAAACTGAATGAAGACGTTGATCAAGTGCCCATTGCTTCACTGTTTGTAAAGAAGTTGTTGTGTTAAACAACATGAGACAAATTCGAGATAAGTAATCAGCCTTTAACGTTCTATGCACCCACAAACGATAAGACCCAGCTAAGACTCCAACTACTCCTATCACTGTTGAAACAACCCCTGAAATTTTTGTTAAACAAATTATTTAAATGAATTCGTTGTTAATGAAATATTTGTGATAGTTTAAGAAATAATTACCAAACATAACAGTCCCGTATTCAGCTACAGTCAATAGCAACCAAAGTCCATAAACAGCAGATAAATGAAGGTAGACAAAAGCTATTATACTCGGCCAAAAGAGTTTTATTTCATAAGTTTTTTGTTTCTGCAGAAATCCACTAACGCCATCATCAAGATCTTCAACAATTGATCTTCTCGTTCTTGTTGGAATCATGTTTGACTCTCTTTCTCTGTCTCTCTATGTTCAGATGTTCAGGTATATGTGAAGCTACTTTGTGTTGTTTCTTTATTTTCTATCAAGATAATAAACACACAACCAAACAACTTTTTCCACTTCTCTGGTGTGACGCTTAAATTACGTCAATGTTTTAAAATTTTAATTATTTCTTGTCTTATGTTTGAATGACTTTCGTTGGTTATAATGAACTTTCACCGAAATATGAAATTGCTGATAAGTCAACTTTGATATGTTTGAATTCGCTTCGTCCACTGAATGTCCAAAAAAGATCAACAATGTGGAATGAGAAGGAAGTTGAACCGTTTTGATGTGTTGAAGAGAAGAAACTAAAAATGCGCGATGTTTACCAACAGCTTATGTTTGGGAATGGTTTTCTCACTAATGTTCGACTTGATGTTACTTCGAAGCAAAACTACAACACATTACTGATCAGCTTTCGACCTAGAAAAGCAGATATTGCGTAATGTTAATTGGTCATTGGCCAAAATCAGAAATAAAAAATTCAAATCGGCTTTGCAGTGCCTGAAGCGTCAACTTTCGAATCAAACTCTGCCTTCACTCAAAGTTATTTTAATGCTTTTTGGTGAAGCTTTGAAGATATTATAAATTGTTATTTGCAAAAACAAGTACAACTCAGTACTGATGTTCTTTGAACGACCTTCACTAACTATTTCTCTGACGTTACTGACAAAGTCAATGTTTCAATATGCAGATGTATCTGTTTCTAATTAAATTATAATTAGTTGTTGTCAGATTATTAAATAAAAGATGGAAGCGAGTAGATTTTTGTTTCATTTTTACCATTTTATACCGCAGAATTGACAATCAAAACTAAATTTAGCTCGTCATGTGGGTTTTCAAAAGAAAAATCTTTTTGTCAACAAAATAAAACTTTTATTACGAAATCAATATTTAAAGTCAGAAGACGAATTTCCGATTGGCAAGAATTTCAAGCTTATTTGGAATGATCGTCAACTCCATCGGTTTATAATTTTAGATTGTCATAAATTTAATAAAACTCATGTTGAAATATTTTTAGGGAAACGACAAAACCGAAATTGACTCCCAGCACTGTTACGAATTTAATTTTTGATCGTGTAAATCAAATGACATCAACAAAAAAGGGAAACTTTCACCCAAATCAAAAATTTCAAGTTTATAAAAATTGAAAGTGAATTTCTGGTTGCTTAAAGCTGTTTACTGTCATTCTGGGTTAAAGAGACATGAAACGACAACCAACACGATTTTTTTTGGAAATTAAAGAAAGTTTTTAAGATATGTGAAATTAAAAATATTTTTCAGAGGGATAATGAATTTAATTAGTTCGAAGCTTCTAAGATCATGAGAAGGATGCTTGATAGAAATATTTTTATGCTTCTTCTAACAACATCACAAGATTGAAAAAGTTCGAAACAAAATTACTCGAACTGGTTTCAACTTAAGTATAATTATTTAAACTCTCTACGTACACGTTTTACAACTTCAACATCACTGAACAGACTATCCGCCGTATTTTGAAGATTTCAAGTTAAACAAGAAACAAACCGAACCAATGTTTTATTCAATATTTTTATTTTTTTAAAAGTTTATAGGAAATATTTTAATAAACATCTCCATGTTAATGTTTTTGTTTATGTTTTGATCAAAATGAATTAATTTATGCAGATAGGATAGCTTTATACGAAAATACTGTCTTGTCATGATTATAAAACTTTTGCAAGTTGCTTAATAAAGATTCAAGGTCACAGGTAGATGTGTTGATGTTTCAACGCATGTTTATGTGATTACAAACAAGATCAGAAACGAGAAGCAACGGAAAATTTTTTTGAGGATGGTGTGGAGGAATCTTAAGACATCGTAGGCGTGGAACTAACTTTTTTCTTTGATACTCAGAATAAATTGAGTTTAAATGTCAGCAACTAATAGCAAATGAAAATTTATTTTAGATTAAAAATCGAGTTAATTGACAAACACAATCAACGCCGAATTTCTTATCATATCAGAAGATTGTCACTACAAGTCTGTTTACTTAAAAATTCTCGAACAAATGATTTCAGTTAGTTTTTATCGAGTTTTCGTAAAGTTCAGACAGAAATTTTTTGAGTTTCTTAAAAATGGTTGACAAGTGGATAGGAAAAACTGCCATTGTCACTGGCGCAAGTGCTGGAATTGGAGCTTCAATCTTTCAAGAGCTTGCGAAAACTGGAATTAATGTTATTGGTTTAGCGAGAAGGTCAGAAAAAGTCAAAGAAATTATTGAGAAAATGGGTGCAACCAAAGGCAAAGCTTACGCTTATAAATGTGATGTTTCGGATCCAAAATCCGTCGAGTTGGCTTTCAAATGGATTGAAGGCACCTTTAACGTTGTTCACATTCTGATAAACAACGCTGGTATTGGAAGAGCAGGAAATATCCTTGATGCAACTGAAGACGCATTTAGGAAGTTGAACGAAGTTCTTGACACAAATGTTCGTGGTCTCATTCAATGTACTCGCGAGGCTTATCGACTAATGAAGAAGTCGAACGATTACGGCTTGATCATCAACATTAACTCAGTTGCTGGTCATTACATTCCATATATTCCCAAAATGAGTATTTATCCCGCATCGAAATTTGCAGTTCGTGCACTTACTGAAAGTTTACGTCAAGAACTCGCCATGAGCGATAACAAAAAAGTTCGAGTCACGGTATGACGAATGTTTGTTGATTATTTAAATGTCACATTAATCAAATATTTTTATTTCCAAAACAGAATTTATCACCAGGTGGTGTGAGATCAGACATAAGAGTCACCAGTGGATACAAAGATACTCCCGATCAGCCCAGTGATCTTCTCCTTGAAGCTGAAGACATTTCTCATTCTGTGATCTTTTTATTAAGCACACCTTACTCAGTCAACATTACAGAATTAACAATACGACCAACAGGTGAAAAGTTTTAAGCTGGTCAAGGTTTTTACAAAAGAAATTTAGTCAATTGAATGCATAGAAACGATACCAAAACCAAATAAATAAAATTATCAACGAAACATATTGACAAGAATTTATAATGATTGACAGTGAAATTTAATATTTAAGTAACAATGAATTTAATTGATCAAAATGTGGATTTGAATAGTTGCCGGCCTCAAAATCTTAAAGCTTCTCACACTAACTTAAGTTCTTCTAAACACGTCATTAAGCGTGAAGATTGTTGACAACACAATAAAATGGATTGAACTTTGAGTCTAAATGACATAAAAAATATTTAAATTAACTTACAAATTCTGATCATAATTGAATGAAATTTAATAATTCTTCAACCCACACTAACACTAACTCAACTTATCTCTTTCTCTTTCTCTTTCGCATCAGCTCTCAGATCACCAAAAATATTTTTCTTAGTTTTCTTCAATATTAATATTCAGTTGCGTTTGTATTGTTGCGCAAGTTATCATTTAGTTTTGAAACGAGAATTCAAAGAAAAATAAATCAAGTGGTAAGAACTCACATTCATAAGACAAACTTGACGAATAACTTCACAATTTACCGTTTAATATAATTAAGTTGCAACAGTTTTTGTATTCACTCAAGCGAGATCGTGGATAAGCTGATAGCAGCAATTTAATTCTGTAAGTTTTTTTCTATTAAAAGCCGAGCATAAACACAAAATTTCTCTCAACTTAACGCACACTGAGAAGTTCGTTTGTATGAATGTCGCCTTATAAATAATCTGACAACTTAAAACATTCATTCAAACATTTAGTCAGCATGGTCGATAAATGGATTGGAAAGATCGCTGTTGTCACTGGATGTGCTTCGGGAATTGGTGCAGCAATTTACAAGGAGTTTATTGAAAATAATATTATAACTGTGGGACTTGACATAAATTGCATTAATGATGACAGCGAATTTGGAGAGAAGTCTAAGAATGCGTTCTTCATGCAATGTAACATCGCGAAACCAGAATCAGTGAAGGAAATATTCAAAAAAATCGAAGATCAGTTTAATGTTGTGAATATTATCGTAAACTGTGCTGGCATCGGGAGGTAAGAAGAAGCTTCAGAACTTTTTCTTATAAACAGAAATGAATTCACTTTAAAAATCTGATTAGAAAAGCAGAAATTCTTGACGATGACGAAAAATCGTTTCAAGTAATGAACGATGTAGTTGACGTGAATTTACGTGGATTAATGCAATGCACTCGTGAAGCTTTCAAATTAATGAAAAAGTCAAATGATTATGGTCTGATTGTCAATATTAATTCTGTCGCTGGTCATAAAACACCCTTGCTTGATATTTCTCTTAATATTTATGGAGCCACAAAATACGCACTAACAGCATTTAACGAAGCAGTCCGTCATGAACTTAATTTAGCAAAAAATAAGAAAGTTCGCATTTCGGTAAGATGAAAAAGTCTTCTGCTGATAACAAATTGTTTAATTAACTTTTGAACTTCAGAGCATATCGCCAGGAATTGTTGATAGCAATTTCATTAAAGCGAGTGGCTACACAGCTTCCACATCCACAGAACATGTTTTTGATGAAATTCCAATGTTGAAACCGAAAGGTAAGATCAACAATTTCTTCCTACATTTAAAATGTTTTAAATAATTTCATCATTCTTCACAGAAATTGCGAAAGGCGTGATGTACATTCTCAGCACACCTTACGATGTCAACGTTTCTGATCTTATAATTCGTTCAACAGGAGAAAGAGAATGAACTTCAACTTGCCACTAAATATCTTTGTTTATTTAAGGAAATATTCATTCAACAATTTTTTAAATGTTTTCATTCATTCATTTGATTAATGTTTTCGTCTCAGCTTGAATGTTTTTACGCACACGAACACCAAAAGAATTCTAATAAAATAGATTAATTTAAGAATAAGGCTGATGGCATTTATTTGACTTTAGTATTTATTCCAGAAAGATTAGATATTGTTGTCAGTCGAGAATGGAGAAGTGGCGTGGAAAAGTCGCAATTGTAACCGGTGCGTCAGCTGGTATTGGTGCTGCGATAGTTCGAGATCTAGCAAATGCTGGAATCAACGTCATTGCACTAGCTAGAAGAGCTGAAAGACTTGAATCTCTCAAAAATGAACTTCAAGCTGCGCCTGGAAAAGTGACGCCAATGACTTGCGACGTTTCTGACAAAGCTTCAATTGAGTCAACATTTGAAGCAATTGAAAACACTTTTGAAACTGTCAACATTTTAATTAACAACGCTGGGGTTATAAGGTAAGCAAATTTATTTGATTAAATATAATTTTTTTTGTTTTTATGATGAATTTTTATTACCAGAGATGTGGAAATTCTTGACTCGTCAGATGATTTGGAAGCCATTGGTAAAATGGAACAAGTTATCACCACAAATTTCACTGGTTTGGTGCATTGCACGAGAAAAGCTTTTCGTTTAATTGAGAAATCTAATGACTATGGAATGATTATCAACATCGGAAGTGTTGCTGGTCATGGCATACCCAACATTGACTTCAAATTTAATGTTTATCCGGGAACGAAATTTGCTGTCAGAGCTACAACTGAAGTTTTGCGCATGGAGTTGAATAAGAAAAACAATAAAAAGATTCGAATTTCTGTAAGTTAAATTAATTTCTGAGAAATGATAAATAAAAATAATTTTTTTTTAAAAGGAAATCAGCCCTGGTGGAGTATGGACAGAAATCCAAACTGCTGGTGGATTTGAAGGGTCAGTTGAGGAATGGATGGCGGCAGGTGAATTTCCAATTCTTCAGGACGTTGACGTGTCTCAAGCTGTCACTTTTCTGTTGATGACTCCGTATACTGTTAACATGACCGAAATTATTATCAAACCTACGGGTGAAAAGTTTTAGATTAGATCGATTATCGTCTGAAGCAACAATCAGTAACAACCAATACACTCTCTTCACAACATACATTTATGCGTCTACACATTAATTCTAACATGTAGATGAGTATAGAACAAACTGAATAAAAAGTACTCTGAAAGTTAGAACATTTTTCATTTAGTCTTCGATCATTGAGTTATGAAGTCTTTCAGTTTAAAAATAAAGAGAGATTAGAATATTTATCTCACGACTTTAGTTCAACCTTGAACTATTACAGATAAAAGAACCACAAATTGAAATAAGAAATTTCTTTCCGGTTACTAAAATCAAAGAGATACTTAACATCAACTGTTATCAGTTTCACCTGCATCGTTACTTATTTCAGTGTAATAAGACATTAAAGTGACAAGACATGGAAAAGTGGCGCGGAAAGATTGCAGTCGTTACTGGAGCTTCAGCTGGGATCGGTGCTGATGTCGTCAGACAATTTGCCAAGAAGGGAATTCATGTAATTGGCTTGGCAAGACGACCAGAGAAAATTGAAGAAATTGCGAAGGAAGTTGGAGTCACTTCTGGAAAGATTCACGCATATCGTTGCGATGTTTCCAATAAAGATTCAATCGATGCAGCTTTCAAATGGATTGAAGAGAAGTTCAAAGTTGTTAACATTTTAATTAATAATGCTGGTTTAGGGCATCAAACATCGATTCTCGCTAACGAAGACAATGATGAAAAGTTAAAGCAGGTCATTGACACAAACTTCACTGGCCTGGTACGCGTTACACGTTCTGCATTCAAACTTATGAACAAATCTGACAATTATGGAATGATCATCAACATTAACAGCATTGTTGGTCATATTACTCCATTTCCGTCTGATGGAAACTCAAGGTCAAATGTTTATGCGGGAACAAAATTTGCAGTTACAGCAGTCACGGAAGTCTTAAGACAAGAACTTGTTTGCATGAAAAACACTAAAATTCGAATTTCTGTAAGTAAATCATTCAATTGAATTCTTTTAGATTATTGAGATCTAAATTCGTGTTTTATTCTCAAACAGTCACTCAGTCCAGGAGTTGTTGAAACCGATTTCTTCCATAGTGGAGAATTCGTACCTAAAAGTGCAAGAATCGGCGACTTGATGCCAGCATTAAAAGCCTCTGACATCACCGACTCGATTCTGTTTTTATTATCTACGCCTTACAATGTGAATGTTACAGAGATCACAGTTCGTCCAACTGGAGAAAGTTTTTGAGATAATCAAAATCTTGTTTAAAAGTTGAACTTAATGAAATATTCTGATTTTGTTTAATGAAAATTTACTTTTTTAAAGTTTTATAAAAAAATCTAATGAAGTCTTATCTGATATCATTATTGGTTCATCTTAAATTGCACAACAAGTGGAACAAGTTTGTAGTCACGAAAATCTTAAGATGAAAAAAGTAAAGAATAAAGTCGAACAGAAATATTTTGTTTTGACTCTGAACAGTCACTCAACGCAACAGTTATCGAAACAAATTTTCTTCCATGCTGAAAAGAGTTAATCATGGTATGCTTGCATAGAGACAATCTGATATCAGCGATTTTATTTTGTTTTTACTCATCACACCTTATCATGTGAATTTGATAAAAGTTTGTCCAATATGTGAAAATATTTAAGAAGATTTAAAATTTTAATTAAAGTTTGAAGCCAAGCAATAAACTTTAGAAGGAAGTTTATCAAAGCTTCTTAATGACTTTGCTGTTTTAATATTTAATGTTCAATTTCGAGAAGAAAGATTTACCTGTTGATAAATTCAATTGCTTTTTATCGCAATGATTATGAAATTTCCATTTGATAGTGTAGGTTAATAAATAAGTTTATAATACTCAAGCCTGCCAGGCTATCGTGAGAGAATTTCATGTTTGTATGTATGTAAATAAACGCTGATAAAAATTGTGTTCAAACTTCATTTGAACACGCATCAGTATATTTTGTTCTTTAACAATAATCACAAGTCATGGAAAAGTGGAGTGGAAAATTTGCTGTCGTGACTGGTGCGTCAGCTGGAATTGGTGCAGAAATCACGAAAGATTTAGTTAAAATCGGTGTTAACGTTATTGGACTTGCAAGAAGACCTGAAAGAATTGAAAATATCGCGAAAGAACTTGGAGAAACACCGGGAAAGATTTACAGTCGTATGTGTGATGTGTCCGACCTTGAGTTAATAAAATCTGCTTTCAAATGGATTGAAGAGAAGTTTGGCGTTGTACACATTCTCGTTAACAATGCTGGAATTGTAAGAAATATAAAAATTCTAACCGATGAAGACGTGAGTGCAGAAATAAACAGCATAATCAATACAAACTTCACTGGCTTGGTGCATGTCACGCATGAAGCTTATCGATTGATAAAAAAGTCGAAAGATTATGGAATGATCATCAACATCAACAGTAACGCCGGTTACAAGATTCCATTCCCACCAAATCCCGAAATATCTCACAATGTTTATCACGGCACCAAGTTTGCTGTCACTGCGACGACTGAAGTGCTTCGTCAAGAATTGATATGTCAAGAAAATGATAAGGTTCGAGTTACGGTAAATAAAGTTGACGAATTTCACATCATCTCAACTTAGATAAGCTAATAATTCTCATTTTCAGAGTCTCTCACCTGGAGTAACAATCACAGAAATATTTAAAACGTATGACGTGCCAGCTTTTAAAAATATGCCTGCGATTAACGCCGAAGATGTCTCAAATGCTGTTTTGTATCTGCTTTCAACTCCTTATCATGTTAACATCACAGAATTAACAATTAAACATGTCAGTCAGAAATTTTAATATAATTCGCGAAATGAATTTCATTCTGAAGTTAAAATGAACAACTTTCGTATGGAAATTAATTCAATTGATGTAAAAGTGAAGTAAAATTTATCAAAGTCAGTCGGTTTTATTATTCTCATGTCAGCTTTACGAGAGTAAACAAGGTCATTTAATAAAAAGTTTCTGTTCGATCGGAAAAGTGGTTTGGAAACATCGCGGTAATGACCATTGTGTCTCAGCTGTCGTCGGTGCCAGAATTGTTCGAAAAATTAACAAACATTGAGTTACGTTGTTGTTTTTACTCACTGCATGGAGAACTTTCTACCTCGAATTGGTTGTTTCAACTTTTTTTTGTTATTTCATCGCTCAGAACCGGCGAATGAAAGGAAAGATGCCGCAGGAAAAGTTCACGCTTTTAAGTGCGATATTTCAGATCAATTGTCAATGAAAATTGTTGTTAATTGGATTGAAGAGAATTGTGGGTGTTGATATGTTGTTAAACAAAGCTGATGTTTACACGGCGTGAATTTATTCAACTTTTGCTGTTTGTGAGTTTAATAAACTGCAGAGTTGGAAAATATTTCGCCAAGCTTTTGTTAAAGGAAAATTGGGATAAAGTAAAGTGTGAAGTTGGTGAATTAAGCAAAGTGTTGATAAATCCAGGTAAAGAAAGAAAAGTAAAACAATTTATGGGTCGCGAAAAGGGAAAACCTTCTGAGTAATCTCCGATGAAGAATTTCAAGCCTTTTTCTCATAAATAACGCAGTCTGATGTGAAACTCAATTTTGGCTCAATGTACAAAGCTCATGAAGGTTGCATAAATTTTGTATAAAATGAATCTAAATGTTCGAGATTTTCTCCAGTGATGCGGGGGTGTTTATGAATAAAAACGCTCCAACAGGTCGTCAGTCATAAGTCTCATCTTTCATCAGTCAATCTTTTGCATGTGATGAACGATGAAAGGATTTACGATGGAGATGATACATTGTTGAAGTGTTGTTGAGTTAAATCAGTTGATGGTTTTTCATCTTTATGGCCTGGCGACTGTTCACTACACTGCTGAAGCAAACGAATTGATTATGAAGAGTTGATGCATAAATATTTACTCGTCATAATCATAAATTTTGTCAATATTTCATATGCAAGTGAAAGCAAAAATTCATAAATATTGATCTAACACGCACTAGTCAACATTGACAATGTGCAAATGATTTTTTAACATAAATATCTCTTCATGTTCTTGCTATCTATTTTGGGAAACTCCAACAAATACTTTAAGTAAATTTATCAAACAATGAATTAAGAGGGAAAGGAAGAACATCGAGAAAATCAGAGCTTGTAGACTATTTAAGTCCTGAAAGACGATGGAGAGAGAAAGTGAACAAAGATACGAGCCAATAAAACAATAAATCAAGTTGATTGGCAATAAAAATTATTGGATTTCTATTTAATCGCTCGTTTTTCTTCCATTTCGATTACAGGTGAAGTTCGAATGGAAGTGGTTGAGCCGCGGGCAGTTCGTCTGCTTTCTCGTTGTTGGATGACGATTACAAAGTCAATTTGATGTTGAATCAAGGGAATATCGCTGCTGGTATTCATTCTCGAACAGCATTGCTGCATTGTCCTTAGAATTAAGACAAAAAAATGTCATTTCATTTAATAAGATTTTTTATTCCATTTTTATCTTGTTCTATTGGTGAAAAATCGAGTTTGGGAGTTAACAATCTCACCTGAAGGCTAAAAAATTGGTGTTAAAAACTTTTTATCACGATGAAAGATTTTTTTTCTCATTAATCGTGATAAGCGAACATTTTCATTCCACGAGTTCAACATTTCAGTTCATAGCAAAATTTACGATAGAAAGCAAATAATTTAAGTTACAGCGTAATGAAGTTTAGTGTTCAATTCTTGAATATTCGCCAAAATTTTGTGAAGTGGGTGGACTTGAAATGCTTTTAATACGTCAAAGCGTAAAATTTAATCAAGAAGGTTTTAAATGAAGAGAAAGATTGCTTCATTGTTTCGTTTCCAAATCAAGTCAACAGTTCACAATCAATGAAAAGACATTTGAAGATTGTTGTTGTTGATGTTGCAAAAGAATTTACAAATCGTTCGCTTGTTTTGCATTCAAATTTCTTCCCTCAGCTTCCTAAATATATTTCATTCCGTTGATATTCGCTGGTGCAAATAAAGATAAAATGCACTAAAAGAAGTGGAAGCATAAGGAGGAGCATCGAAAATAAATTTAGTTTCAGCGGGGGAGGAAGTCAGGAAATGTAACAATTTTTCTGGCACAGCTAACAGCCCGCTGTCGTCGTCCATGCATAAGTATGCTCGAAAAGGCGCAGCAAGAAATGAATTTGGCCCAGTGCCAATAACATTTATGCAGCGGATGGCAAGACACAATTCAAGAGAAACAAAAAGAAAACTGTTTTCGCTGTTGAATGGGTTGCTTTTGCTTCGCTTTCAAACTCATTTCTTTCTTCTTTTGCAATCTAACAGCTTCTGATTTCTTCTGTTCCCTTTTTTTATCCTTTTGTGCTACTCGTTATTCGAATCGCTACAAGAAAAATAGTTTTCTGCATGCCGCTGTAAATTTTAATAATCTGACGACTTTTTGTTTGCTTTATCATTATATTCACTATGAAAATTTATGGCACGAATTGACTTTAAAATAACCAGAAAATGAATCTTTATCTCTCCCCTTTATTTCATTTTACTTTTTTTTTATTAAAACGAAATTGAAATCAGTCATTTATAGAGAACCATTGAAAAGACATCATAACGATAAACTGACTGGTTAAGGCTCAGCATGACGTGTTTTTTTCTTTTGAAAAATAACCAACAGTGCGGGGGCGTAATACCATTGTGGAAACTTTCCATCCGGCTCTAAAACTCAATTCCGTATCTTTTTGTGGAAAGTTAAAGCTTTTAGTAAAAAAATATTTGGCCGAAATGAACCTCAACATTTTTTATTTTCTATTTTCCTCAAATTTATTTTCATATGAGAATTTCAGTCCGTTTAAGGTGTGCGGTGGCATTCCAACCAAAAAAATAAATTTTTTGTTTGTTTATGTTTTGGATTTTTGTGGGGCAAACAAAAAAAAATGGAAAAGAAAAAAGTGAAGGAGAGGATAGAAAATTGTATTAAATGCTCCTTTTAACGTTCAACAATAAACATGCCAACCATGAGAGTTTAGTCGATGTATGTATTGCTTACGGACATTTTGAATAATTGTATTTTTGGGAGAGCTCAAAAATCCATTTATGACACAACAGCAACGGTACAAAGTGTCTCTGAAGCCATTTTATGACGACACGATAACAATAGCAAATTATTATTTGGTTTAAAGATTTATCGCTTCGTTTTCTCTATTTTCCTGGGCCTACAAATGCTTGAAGGCTCATCGGACGTTTACAGCAAGGGAAACATCAAATTACATAAATTTCTCACCATGCTTCCGGGGAATGCAAAAGCTGTGAAACAATGGTGAGACTTCTGGAACGAATCTATCCGTTTATTGTCTTCCGGTCGGCAGTTATGCTTTTGCTTTCAAGTAAATTACATTCCCTTAACTGCTGACGAAAAACTTTATCTCTGTAGAACGTTCTCATGAATGAAGAGACTTTAAGGGTGGCTGGGAAGCAATTTCTAATGATTTACATGCCTGAAAGTGTCTCATTTTTACGATGAAAGAAAATTATTATTTTTTCTCATAGTTCAAAGGTTGGCAATGACTTGACGTCCACCATTTAATTAAAAATTTTTTGAACCTTAATAGAAAGCATCGAGTAGACCCAGATCCCAGACAGAAGGAAGCAAAAGCAGGTCAAGAAGTTCTGATTATGAAGTGGTTTTGAGTGGCAGTGAGTAAATGTGAGCAAACAATTAAAGGGAGATGAATGGGGATGGAAGTAGAAAAGGGTTCATCTTTAAGGTTATTCTAATTATATTCCACAAACTTGCTTGCTCCGGATGTTATTGATTAGAGTGATAATTAAATTCGGAGTCAAATTCTCTTGAGGGATGAAGAAGCGTATTTCGAAGGTAATTTACATGGCTACAAGCAGCTCTCTCTTGTCTGTAGAATGATGATGAATGAAGAACAAGAAGGGGAGAACTAAGCTGTTACTTACCATACAGAGAAAGTTCCTACGTCGATGAAAGTCGAAAGAAAATATCTTTTAAAATAAGAAAATTTCCAACGATTTGATTTGAATGTTAACGAGAACTTTGAAGCTATATAAAATTTATTAGCATTCCCAGGAAGAAATATTTCAATCTTAAGAAAGTGAATCACTTAAACTAAATCACTAAACAAAAATTCTGTCTGGGATATTCACGATAGAAATTTGTAAACATTCTGGAATTCGAACACAAAACACACCTTCAAGCTACAAACTAATTTAAGATGATGATAGAAGTGAGGTGTGCGATACGCATTAAATGAAAATATTTACAAATAATCAAGCTTCGATTTTCATGTTACATATCGACAATAACATGAAAAGTGTGGGCTGGAATTAGAATTGAGATTGGGGGTAAGAAAACTTTCATTCCCTTTAAGAAATGACATCGTGCAGAAAGCATTTTTGTTTTCCTCTTATTGTGGTTTTCGGCTAAGGGCCTTTATCTTATTATGTGCAACATTTGTACTAAACGAGATGATTTATTATTTATATTCATGATAATGTGAAGTTCGAGTGCTGCAAGAAAACCTTTTTCTTGTTCTTTTTTTCATCATTTGATAAAAGGAGCATTTTGTGTAGCAAAATTTGAATATTTTTCCTTTTTTTCTTGCTGAGGAAGTTTGAAGAGTTTAAGAAAAATGCTAAGGAAGTTTTTATTTACGGGGAAATGTTTCTAGTTCCATTGAGAGAAAAATATTTACTGATTCAGGTGCGTTCGCTCGACATACGTACATACCTCAAATTCAGTTCGTTTTTCCCTTGGATCGGTTGTTTATTAAGCATTTTTCTGTGAAATTGAAAAAGGGATCAGCAGCATTTTGCTTATGCGTATTTTCGCAAGGTATTTTCAAAGTTAATATTTATTTGCGTTCGCTCTTTTATGCTGATGTTTCTTTGAAATGTTTCTATAAATATTAAGGAGGCAAGTAAATATTCTTATTTTAGCTGTCTACATGAGTTTGATGTTTGATAGACATCACGGCGACATTTACATAAGCGGCAAATGTGATTAATTCCTCGCGTGAAATCTCATCAACAAACACACTTTTTTTAGCGCAATTACGTCCGCTTCAGTTATTTAATCTCGAATCAATAATCGAGAAAATTGCTGATGAATTCAAGAGCGACATTTTGTGTGACAAGTCAAACGTCTGTGCGGGGGCGGCAAAGAAAAAAAATACGAAAAGGAAAGAGAGAGAAAAAGGATTTACGTGCAAATATTTTTCAGCTCAAACAAGTTGACGTGTAAATATTTTTAAGTCGTTTAAATAAATTTCATTGAATATAGCAAGAAAAAAAAGGAGAAAACTTTTTCTTTCGCTCGATTACGGGAAAAGTTGTAAGCAAAATATTGATTTAATTTATCGAAGCTAATTTTCTCAAATATTGAATTACACGACAAAAATTTTTCCTTTAAATACGAAAAGTTTTTCCGGGATTATTAAAGAGAAAAGCGACAGGATGAGTTACGCAAAACCGCAAGCAGACAAACAACTCTAAAGGAATTTCACTTTGACAGCACAGGAAAATTTAAAACGCTTTAAAAACTTACCGAATCGAAACTCTTATCAGTGAAAACTTTTCTGTCTTCTCCATTTTTCTTTTAAACGTGAAAGTGAGGATAAGGTAAAAGAAACTGAAATAATCCTTTGCGATAACAGTGCTTGTGATGGCTTCCAACACTTCATCCCTTTCATTAGATGAAGAGAAAAACGTTCATTCTTCCTTCTTTTTATTCTTTCATGCAAGCATGGCATTGGAATCGGGGAAATGGAAAAAGAAAAAGTTTCTACAGGTAGGTAGCAACAGAGGAAAGTTTTCTTCACGATGGATTTTAATTCGAATGAAATTATTATCAGTAAGACAACGATGAAGATCTGAAGGTGAATATTATTGAGGGCCACAATTATTATCATAATTTCTTTCTTTCTTTCTTTTTCGGCATCCTCTACTTGCTTCAAAAAAGAAGAAAACTTTCTTTACTCTCTTCCGAATTGAAAACTTTTACCAAGAAAGAAAGTTTTTCGTTCTTTTCGGTTAGATTCTTTCACTAAGATTCTTCCCAGAAGAGAAACGCAAGGAAAGTTTTGGATAAATTATGGAATTATGATTTTCTTCTTTTCCATTTTCTTCTTTTCGTTTTAATCTTCCATCTTAATGTTGTGAAATGCATGAACTAAGCTTGAAGTAGAACTTACTTAAAATTGGCTGCTTTCTTTCTCAAGAACCTGAAGAACCTGAACAAGAATAAAGTTTTTCACCTGGTCAGACATTTTAGGTATGTAAAGAAAGTTTGAATTATTTTTCCGCTTCTCACATTATAATCAAATCATTCTCCATTATGACTGAATGAGTGAATTATTTGAAACATAAATGAAAAGTCAATGGTCTGGAAAGAGTTTTCGTTGTCCTTAACTTCCGGAATTCTTGGCATTGCGTTCCAGTTGGGAGCTTTTTTGATCACACTTATTTATCGTCATTTCCATTAATCACGACGACGACTGCAATTGTGAGAATTTAAAGCTTTTCATTTCTTGCTCATCTTCCAAATATTTTATCATTTTACAAAGGCAAATGTCACAAATTTAATCTCATGTTGAAAATTATTTTTGCTGGCGATTTAATTTCTATGAATATTCATGTTTGGCTGAAGTTGCACAAGTTTTAGATTCGGAATTGAAAGAAGCTCAAACTTTCTAATAAAAAATTTCTCATAATTTAGACTGAATTCCAGGCCACTTACATTTCACACTGAGAATTGTAGATTTTGTTCTCACTATCAATTTTATTCTTCCGATTGCCATTGTCCACTGCCGAGATATGAAAAACGACACAGAAGATCATAAGAAGAAAATATCTGCAATTTATGATCAAAAATATCATCAAGAAATGAAAATAAATTTCTTCCGAAGCCAAGAATTCAGTTGAAATTTGCAATTGCACAAAAACCTGTGTGATCTCAACTCTCATAAACCACACATAATGCTCTTTTATGAACTTTTGACATTCGACTGAACTGCACGATAATAAATTTTAAACTGTCATGTCGATGGGAATGGGCGAATGTTTCAAAAATTAAAAAGAAGAAAGACAAAAAATTAACTGCTTGTGACATTAAAATGAATTGATTTTGTGAAATCGGACGACACACGGTGGGAAATGGCAAATATCAGCGAAGAATATCAAGATTGGGGAAGGAGAAAGAGTGGAAAAGTCATAAATTTTATTGCTTGCTGATGGCAACAACCCAAAGAGCGACAATATCAAAAAGATTCTCCTTTGCATTGCACAAACCTCCCATGCCTGGTCCCGACTCGCTTCGTCGAACACTACCACAAAGCAGAAAACTGTGGAAGGCATCAATAGCGGATAAAGTTTTTTAATTCTTATTCCTCATTCTTTGCATTTAAATTATTCAACCAAAACTGATTAAAAAGAATATTTGAAGAACATTTCTTTTGCTTCGAACATTTCTTTGGCTTCGATTACAAAGACTAAAAGTTTTTATCAAAATTCAACTTTCAAGATTAAATATTTAAATTTCAAATAAAGTAACTGCGGAAGTTGAACAATTGGAGATTCTGATGTTGACATGAAATGTTGTGGATCAAACAAAAGCAAAAAAAAGAATTCAACAATAAAGATTTATCAACAATTATAATCGCTTTTAGCTGCTTTTCCATTTTGAAAATATGTCAAAGTGTTCAATGATGAAAATCGATTTCTAAACATATTTATAAATTAAATAAGATATTCAGCTTACAGTTCACTTCTCTCTGAAGAATAATCAGCTTTTAGAAACTCTTTGATAAATTGAAAATTCTCTTAGATTAATTAACAAAAACTTTTCCTGTTGCGACAAAGCTTTTCATTTTAAATAAGGACACGAGAAGAGGTTTAATTTGATTACACATTCAAGTCTAAAAATAGGAAAGGAAGATGAGGAAGCTTTGTTTATAATAAACTAACGTTGGGATATCTTTAGAAAGTACTTAAAAGTTGGAAAAATATTTCGTAGGAAATGTTTTGTGAATATTTTGTCTAACTTCAAGGAGTCGACAACTCGTGGTTTAAATTTCACGTCCCTTAAAGTTATGCAAATTTTAATACATTGAAACAATTATCGCAAATCTTTAACCCGCTAATTAAAGCTTAAACTTTTGCGTTTGATTTCAATTAATACGTTCTCATTATAAGTGCAAAGTTTCTTCACGTAATGCTAATAAAATCAGCCTCGTTTAATTATTTCTTCTTGCCAAACGCGATACTTTCTTTTAGTTGAATAAAAAGATTTCACAAACAAGCCAGTCAAAGAAGGAACGAGAATAGTAATTAAAAATCCATTACATGAATATAATCAAACGATTTCCACCCCCTTGATTCTGTTATTTTTTACTATTGAGACTATGGTAATCAGACCTCGACTTTTGTGCCTCTCATTAAGGGTCGTTCTTAATAGTTTTGCTTGACGATAGGGAAAAAACCTCCCGACCGACGAAGACAGCAACAAGCAAAATTCACATTAAGTTTTATCGCATTTGATTTTCAATGGTTCAAGATCTGGTGTTGAACTGTTTTGTGAGGGTGGTAAAAAAGCTTAATTCAACTGTTATTAGAATAAATTTTCTGTAGATATCGCTAATTTGCATAAATAACATAATTTTTATAATTTCTACACCAGAATTCCAACTATCATTAAGGACTTTTTCTTTTTCTTCCTTAATTCAACGTTTTTCCCTCCCAGAATTTTCACATTGATAAAGAGTTTAACGACTTGCTTTCTCTCCATTTGAATGGCAAGTTGAAAACAAGTGAAAGGGTGAAATATATTTTCATTGATATTGAAACTTTCCCAATTCGACGTCGTCTTAAACGTTTCTTGAGTTACAAACTAAGAGTGAAATCTTTTATCCGGAAGGCTTTTAATATCTTTCTCTTAAGACGATATGAGGGTGACCTAATCATAAAGAATCCAAATATTTTCTTTTTGACCCTTTCGTCAACCGATAGAGGAAAATTTTCCACCCCTTTCGTTATCCATTAGCCTTCATCTTCGTTCTCAGTGCACGGTGATCTATGAAATTGCTTTTCTCCTTTCGGAAAATCAACATCAAAGTTTCGCTGACACAACTAACAGCAACGTTCATGTCAAACGAGTCATATGAAGTGAATTTATGTTTATCTATTAGATTGGGTTTCTCATGTGAATAAAATTGACAGCCGGTTGACTCTTTGCTTGTACATATTTTCTTTATTTATTTTTTTTTGCTTCACCATTCGCTATCAACATCAAGTATAACCGAATCGTAACAGAAAATTCGACAAATATGGAAACATCATAAAAAGTCCCAAGCAAAAAAAAGCAGAAAATCGCAATAAATTTATTCTACGACATCAAAGATTTCATTTCAAGTGAAAGGAGAAAAAAAAATATTTCGGAATTGGTTTTTATGACTCTTTGACTCTTACTTAGTGGATTCGGTTAGATACAAGAAGTTAAATGTTTAGGTTGACATTTTGTGATTGCGCAATCTACGAAATTATTCAAACTTATTGATGTCGATTGTCAATCATAATAACTGAAAGTAAATCGACATCCCTCGAAAGTGAATGGAAGTGTAAACAAGAGAGTAGACGATGAGCTTTGCTATGTTTACCTTTTTTACATCCACTCACGGATGAACGGCGCAATGGAGCTGTGAAATGTGGGTAAGCAACAGGTTTACCTTCAAAGTGTATATTTCACTATTAATTCCAAGAGAGATCGAAGAGATTTTCTTATTCCTTCGGATCTAAATCCCTGCCACCGAACATATATTTTTCACTCCCATCTTTTCCGTTTTCCGATATCGACAAAGCATCACAATCTAAATGGATAAGGATAAGAATTAAAGGTATTTCTTTTTGTGTATGTTGTATGTTTATACTGGTAGATTCATTCAAACTCAAAGTCGGATGTTTCGGGTGGGAGTGGATGGCGTAGATGAAGGGAAGAAAGAGGGATTCAAAGGAAGTGGTAAAAGAAAAATAAAAATAAATAGAAAATCATTTTCCAAACGTCCCAAGCGTTCTTTCGAACGGCAACAGGCTGTTATGTATAATCGTAATATATTTACTCGTTAAGGTTATTTTTCATTAACCATGAAAATGTTTGCTTGCTTTCATAGGAATGGGAAGAGAGAAGGAAGAAGACGAGAATAAGCGGAAATAAAACGGCAGAGTCGAGAATACTGAATACTCGCTTTAAAATGTTGTGAAACACAAAATAAAAAGGAATTTCTCTCGCTTAGTGTGGTTTGCTTATGATGCGAAGGGAATTTTTTCCGGTGTGGAAATTAATACAGACGAAAGAACGGAGAATTTGTAATGGAAAGTCATAAAAAATATTTTTAATGCTTGTCAGACGACGCACAACAAAGAGAAGAATGAAAATCCATAATTTTCTCGCTCGACTTCTCGCCACGATGAAGGAGAAAGTTTGAAAGTGACGGTAATAAAATCATAAATAAGAGGAAAAATTTCGCGTAGTGCCACGCGAGTAAAAGCGACAATCAAGAAACTTTTCAACATTTATGGCAACTTTAACTTCCTACTTCGCCTTAAGCTTAGGCAACCGATGTTCTTCAAGGATTTAATTTGCAGCAATTTGTGTTTGTAATAAAATTTTGACAATATATTCAGAAATATGTTTGCGATCAACATTGTTAGCTGCTATGTTCATTTTTTCACAACGTTGTTATCATTCGTTGCTCAAGCATTTTTTTCTTCTTTGTTTACAATCGCAGCCAAACAATCAAGTCGTAAAAAGCGAAACAGATTATGGTTTTTAATGTCGATAAATTGCCTGAAAAGATTAGCAACGAAATGCTTGGATTACATGGTAAGGAGAATTGCTGAGCTTTGAGTCATCGTCTCAATTTCCATTAAAGGTTTTTGAGGGTATTGAAATTTTCGCCGTTTTCGATTGAAATCAAATTTATAAAAAATTTGCTGGCTTAATTTCAAGCAAATGATGAAAAAAATTTGCGTTTATTTCTTGATTGATAGCATTTAAGTAAGACCAATAAAAATTAAAAACAAAAGCAGGAAGAAAATTTGAAATTTCAACAATAACTTTAACTCCTTTCAACTACACAACAAGCACAACTCGATTAAGAAGACAAGTTTGCCCCTTAATGTTATGCAAAAGTTGAAACTTTTGTTGAACTCGGCATTTGAGGCTCGACGGAAGTTTACTTTTGTTAAATAATTTGAAATAAAGCAACCAGAGGATTTTCGTTTTATGTAACTTTAAATTTCCGAGAATTTCGCCACTCAAAAATCTGTTGATTCTAACAAAACCGTTGAAACAATATTTGAGTGCGGGAGAGAATTAAAATAAACTGGTTGGGCGAGGGTGGCAAGTAATGGAATTTGTGAGAAGGCAAGCAGTTTTAATTTACCATTCACCTTCTTATTCTTCTTGTATAACTTACAAGACCAGAGTTGGCGTCTTTGAAAGCTACGAGGATTTTATGAAGAGGGTTTTAAGTAAGAGAAAAGGGTTGTAATCGTTGGTACTTGTTTGATTGTTACAACAAGATGTTTTTAAGGGAGTGGTAGGCGGAAAAAGACGAGATTAATGATTTATTAACATTTTTTAAGACTTTGCTGTTGTAAACTTCCAATAAAAATTAAGTTCTAACATTTTATATTAAGAAAAAGGGAAAATCAACAGCTCAAAAAAAATTACGACAAGTTAAGTTGCTTGTTTATTGAATAAGAGTCACGAAGTTGTTGCGGATGCTGAATTTGAAGATGAATTATGGCAACTTTTCTTTTCATTATATTTCAATGCATAGTTTCATGCGGAGTTTCGTTGCGTGCCAAAAAAAATATGTTTCGTGAAAGTTACTCACTTATGAATTATTATAGTGGCGAAGAGCCAAATACACTGTGCACTATGTAGTGTCACTGTTCAAAAGAATTTCTGATGCTTTAGCAGTTTACATTTCTTTGGCGAAACATTTCTGTGTCGCTTAACTTGGGATAGGGAGGACAAGTTAAAGCCATTAAAATTCTACTTTACAGTTTCACAAACTTGAAACTAAATATTCGGAACTTCTATCTGAAATTTACTACAAGAGATTCGTAAAAAAATAAAAACAAGTAGAATGAGTTAAGACATGCAGAGTGCATGAAAACATTTTGTTGAAAACAACAATTTGAAAAAGCTAAAGAAAAAGGGAAAAAGCAAATTTCATTTAATGCTGTTAGTTTAGCCTCGAAATTCTTTCTTTCCTTTATTTTGTTTTTGGTAAAAAGCAATAAATTATCTAAATTTGTTACTATTTCATGGTAGCTTTTGTATTCCCAGCAAACAAAAAGATGTTGAAGATAAAAGATATGCCGGTTGCATACATTTATTCATTTATTCGTTTCTTTGCCCCTTGAAGTTATGCAAAAATAGGCCATGCGCCTAATTTAAAGAAACTTTTTCAACTTTTAACATCTTAACAATCATTTCTCCTGCTAAAATCATGCAGCAAAAATATTTAATATTGTTGCTCTAATTTATTTCTTTATTTTGAAAGAAAAAAGGAAAACTGGAAAGGAAATCATGAGGCATTTCTTTTATTTCTGTTTCTTTTAAAAAGAAATTTTGCGCAATTCTTTAATTTCCTCTCTGTTTTCCACTTAATGGCTACAAATTTCTTTTGTTTTGTGACATAGCATAGAAAGGAAAAAGAAAAGGCCAGAGGAATGAGAAAAGAAAATAACGAAGACACAACAGTTTAATGCAACAAAATTGTAGTGTTCAAGAGCCTTTGACGATTTATTTCGTTGCCGTTTCTTTTCCTTTTCTATTTTTTCCATGTCTTGCTGTGCAGTTTGACATTTTTATTTCCTCTCGAAGAAAAAAAAGAAGGAATTCTTCATTCGATGTAATATCATTGCTTTCGTCGAGTGAGTAATAAAAGCGTAATATATTAAAGTCTCTGCATCATACATCGTATTGCCGTTTATTCCACAATGTCTGTATAAGGGTAAATTTGGAAGAGAATTACATTTATCTGCCCTTAACTTAAAAAGCGAAACAGAAATAATAAAACTACTGTTGCTGAATGGATAAATGAAGGTATGAAAGCGATTCTTACATATCTCGTGAAAAATATTTGAAATTTTCTTCTTCTCCCGCTTGCAAACAAATCTTAACGACATTTTATTACCATTCGAAGTCAAAGCTGATATCAAACAAGCTCATGAGAGGTTTTAAGAATGATGCAATAAAAAACAGTCTAAATCTCAAACTTCTCCCACCCAACCAGCCCATCGACCTAAGCACATCCACACTCAACACACAAAAGTTTTCCTCCAGAGGGCGAAAAGAAGAAAAACGATTTTCCACTAATTCTCAAAGGGATTAAATCACATTTATCTTTCTCGAAGGCTTCATTCTCCCTTTTTTCGTTTTTTTTTTCGTTTTCGAAAAGCCGGAGATGATGCGTGTGAGTGTGCGTTTGAGAATTGCTAAAGCGATGCCATGAAGACGGAGACTGTCATGAAGGCGGAAGATAAGTAGAAGCAATAAAAATCTTATCAGATTAGAAGAAAATTAAATGATATTTTTCTTTTGCCCTATCGCATAGCAAATCATTTTTCTCGTTTCTCCTTTTTTAGTGTCGTTTCTTTTTGGCGATCGCCATTTCTCGTTTTGTCGATTTTGTCTTTTTGTGCTGTGTCGTCGAAGATGTGCCACTCGATTCGTGATATCTTTGAATGCTAGTCTTGGACTGAAGACATAAAGAAAATAAAGCAATTTGCTTTCAACCACGAAAGTGATTTTCTTCCCTTTTTTTGTTCTTCTCTTTTTTTTCAGGACATTTCGCAATTTCCCATCGAGCCATGAATTTCTATTTGAGATTATATTCAAAATCCTTCTTTCTCCCCCATCCTCGCGACAACGCGCGTGTCCCAACATCCATGAAACTGCACGCAAAAAAATATTTAATGAAATCATGAACGTCAAATAAATATGTGATCTCACTTGGAATCAGAAATTGGTTGGGATTGTGAATAACTAAACGTCAGAAGTAGTGCGGGGGAGGCAAAGGAACGGAAAAAAACACAAATATTTATATATACATAGCAGATGAATAAAAAGAAAGAAAGAAAGATATATTATCAAAATGTGTCCATCTCAATATGATTGTTGAATTTGAAATTACTTCTTGCTCCCTCGTGATTTTCCTTTATTTTCTGTTTTCTGTGGTTTATAAATTTTTCCTCTCTGATTTGCATACATAACGGCTTCATTAAATCTATTGTGACTTTGTTTTTCTCCTCCGCTCTGCTCTGTGTTTTTTATGCTTTTGTTTTCGCGAGAGATGAACGTCGTGAATGAATGGAAGAAGGCTGACCATGAGAAATGATTTTAATTTATGCATAACTTTAAGGCGTTAAAATTTTATTGCATAACCCAAAGGCGCGCATTTTCAAATTATTTTTTTCTTCAGCTTTCTTTTTTCATCTCATCTTAAAGCGACACGAAGAGGAAATTTCCACTATTTTTACGAGACGATGAAGATCTTTATATTCCATACATTGAAATATTTATATTTGCTTCCATCCCTCGTATCTTGGTTAACATTCATACGCATGAAGAAGCCGGCGGATGCCACAATTCGAAAACATTAACATACATTTCGCCACTGCGTGTTTGTTTGCGTAAAACTCATCGGTTCATGCACCGCTATAAATGAAAATAGAGCAATAAAAAATTATGAACAGTACGTTTTATAACATTTTATTTACATAAATAATAAAATGGTTATTACAAGAGAAGAGTAAAAGAAGAGACGTAGAATTGATACTTATGAACGAACGTACATATTCGCTTCGCCGTCATAGTACTTCGAGTTGAAGAGGTATCATCAAACATATCAGTCAACAAGGAGAAGGAGACGACGACTCCATTCATATATGTTTTGTATAAGAAAGAGAGATCGTTAGACGTGCAAAGCATTCAAAACAACCAAATTAAAATTATAGCGAATGAAAATTTTTTATTTTTATTAATTCTGTTATGTTTTCTTTTCCCATTGACTTTCCTTGTTATTGTTGCTCGATAAACGACGCGCTTGTTGTGTGTGATTGAAATTTTCATGCCTTTTGTGTTTCCTTTTTCTCAAACACAAACTATATAAGTAAATACTTATTCTCTTAGCAATGAGGATAAAATAGGCTCATTTCAACACAGTAAAGTAATTTTCATTCAATTTTGATTGCGATCGCTTAACTGGCGAATAATATTTTGTTGCTTTTGCTTTTCCTTTTCTTTTGCTTCACCCAAAAACAGAAAAAAGAAAAATTCTGAAATGAAACTGATGGAAATAAGCTGATAAATGGAACTCGTTTGTGCTTGTTGTGGAACATGGTTTGAATTTACTGTGGAAAATTAGCAGAAATCGATTTTCTCGTTTTGGAAAGACGGAATTGTTTTGGTGGTTGCACAGTTAGTTTTGTTTAAAGCTCAAATTAAAACTCAAAATCAAAGCTTTAAATCATTAAAAGTGAAAAACAAAAAAATAATGTAAAACTCAAACAAAGCATGTTTGTGTCTGGCAAATCGTTGGCAGAAAAAAAAGTGAAAGATTTATCGATTGATAACCCAAATGGTTGTTTTGCATTTTCCGGCTTTTCGCTTATTTCTTCCGTGCTGCTGCTACTGCTGCTGCTGCTATTTGTTGAACTTTTTTTTATTTCTTTTTCTCTTCGCTGTTCCAATCCACCGATGAAAGGTTACACGCCGATTTTTTTTCTAATTTACTTAATGGATTTTCTCTTTTTTAAAAATTGCTATATTTTCAACAGAGAACTTTCAATAATTAAATTAAAACATAAATTTCTTACTCTATCTCTGTCTCACATTTCCACTTCCACTTTATTCATTTTGTTCGATGTTTTGAAAAGCATTCAAAGCCCGTCACGACTGTTGCTTGTGATTTGTGAACAGCGAATCCATTTGGATTAGTGAAGGCGTATTACCTACATCGGAAGGCTGCGGGTGGAAGAAGATATTTTATCGGTAAATTTATAGGAGCATTTCGATTCAATTTTCTGAAGCTAGAAAATGAAAGAAAAAAAACAAAAGATTTTCAGAATAAATAGAGGAAAGTTAGCGACGGAAAGGATTTTTGATTTATCATTTAATTAATTCATTCTGCTTTTAACTCACAGTTCGCTGCTGAAAAGGGTCACTGATTTGTAAAGCGATTTTCTGTTTTCCACTTCTTTAAAATGGAGAATTCAGTTTTAATTTAATTTTCTTAAATTGGTCTCAAAGTTTTTCTTAATTTTTCCTGCCTGCTTCTCGATACGCTTTTGTGATCATCGAGAGCAGAAGAAAGATAAGTGAAAGGGCTACGAAAACAGACGAATTTAGTTGGATTGAGAGGCTGCAAAGTATGATTTATGAAATTGCTGTTGTTGGAAGAATTTCTTCAATTTCTCTAATGGAAATCGAAAGGCAAAGGCAAAGGCATGTTTCCAAATGTCATAATTAAAATAATAATAAAAATTGATCGTTGTTAACATGAAACTTTTCATTCACGATTCGTGAATGTTGCAACAATCTCGCCATTTCATTGCACCACTTTCCGCTATCTTTATTGCAGTTTTAATTTCACATGGTTTCACGGTTGTTTAAATGAGAAGCGATTACATAATCAAGATTACTTTGAAATTGTTTCATTGAAACATAAATCAACATCTCATATCAGTCGTTAGACTCAAAAATCTTTTGAAGGCAAGTAACTCGTGCTCTCTTGCAATTTAAAGTATTTCAATATTTTTAATTTATTCGTGAAATGAAAATCGTGAAAGAAAATTTCCCCCTTCGACTTTCGCCTTCACTCATTCATCCGCTTGTTGTTTCTAACGCCGTCGTTTTGTTTTTGCGTCAACAATAATTATGCATCGTCATAAATATCCGCATGGTTCGCGTTTTAGATGGGAATTTTTCAATAGCTTCATACGTCGTACGCCTCGTGCATGTTACGAGATATTTTATGTTTAATGATGTCTCCTGACCGCACAAATTTATGAATCGAATAAATCCGATTAATGTACCTCGCCTCATTAGGCGCTGGGGTGCTTCATTTTAGTGTTTTTAAACTGTATCAGCTGCTGGCTTTTATATCGATACGTTCACATACGAATACATTCTGACATCCTTTAAAATCTAAAATCACCCCTAACAGGTCATTTTAAAATTAAACCGTGACGTAATAACGTTCAGGAAATTCTTCTCGCTAGGAAGAACGATATGACTATGGGACGCATCTCAGTTTAATCCGATTATTTATGAAGCGATTTCTTCCTTCTACTTATCTGATATTGCAGCACAAGCAACACAATTCGAGCTACCAGAAACAGCAAGAAGTTATTTTTTCTCACACCAGCAGTCGATGTGGAAGTTGGAGAGGCAGAAATAAATATATTTTAAAATTAGCACATTAATTTGTGTATTTAATTTGAATATTGGCTGGAGATGAGAGGAACGGAGGCACTTTAATGAATCTATCGCGATTTTTTCTTCCTTTTTCCTCTCCTCGCCATCTCATCTCAAATGAAACTTTATGCAAATTGCCCGCAACCGTTCACAGAAGAGCGGAGAAAAGGGCAGTTCAGAAAAATTAAAATTATTAAAATCGCCCTCCCTTTCATAACGTGACTGGAAAGTCTTCTACCGCCCATTCCCTGGACGTTATCAAATTAACTTCGAGAATAGAAGAGGATGTGGAGGGGAAAGAAGTGGAGATAATGGTTTTTAATATGAATTTATGACAGACGATGGGTGCTTTTCTCTTCTGTTCTGCTGAAGAGCGTCTGTGCCGCATATAAAATCATAAATAACGTTAAATAATTGCCGTAAATGTTTTTTGTGGCTTCTATGATGTAGACACACTCACACACAATTTAGATATCGTTAAAATGCGTTAAGAATAATAAAAAGTTTTCGGCTTTGTAATTACTTATTTTGTGCAGATACAAATTTGTTTCATTGAGTGACTACGTGGGTGGTTTTTGCGATCATATCGTCGATTTTAAAATTATTTCATTTATTTATGTTGATAAATTTTTAAAATAATATTTGGGAAGTAATTAATTGAAAAGTTGAAATTGTTTTTCCCACCCACGCACTAGAAATTTCTATCACAATTCTTTGATGTTTCCTTCAATGTGAGTTGAAGATGGCTGCAATTTTAAATCAATATTTCAGTTTTTGAAGCGAAAAAGTTTTCTTTCCTTTCCGGAAAGGAAAATGTGTTTCACCATACGAAACTACGAGCTACTACATTAAACACAGTAGAAAACCCTTAACATGAGTTTTACGACTTTCAAGTTGTCGAAAATTATTTCTGACAAATTTCACTTCCATTTCCTTTCACATCTGAAACTAGAACGCTCTTAACTCTTCGTAAAAGCCACAAAAAAGATGAAAATCATTTGAGTCAAAATGGAAAGTTTAATTTTTTACAGCTCTCGACTTGTTTTTGGTTAGGCAAAATTTTGTGTCTTGTGTAATTAAGGAATGAAGCACTTCTCCGTGTATTTTAATGCTGTGTAGTGTGTGAAAGCTTTGTGCGTGTGTTTGTGATTTTGGGCAATGTTATAATGAATGAATAACTTTTTTAGGAAAATTGTTCATGCATCTTTTTCCAGAGAAAGTTTTGGGTTTCGTTAAATTTGAATACACGGTGAAGGTTGTCTCAGGAGTCTTCAGTACAAACAAACTTCTTGACTTCTCAACCGATGCAAACATAATCGTGCTGAATGTTTCAATGAAACTTCCAAAAGTATCTGTTGATTCAATGATCAGCCCTTCCTTTTTTTGTCTTCTCCCGTTCGTCTATCATCGCCAGCGCTTATTCCTAATTAAATTTTTCGACAACCAAAAAAAGAAAAAAAAAAGATGAAAAATATTTTCACTGCTTTTTTAATGAAATTAAATGAGATACATTACAGATGAACAGCTGAAGAGTCAATGAAATGGAGTGTGTAGAATTGTGACGTTCTTTAACGATTGGAATGAAGATTTTATGAAGCTTACGATAGCAGGGATATTAGATTTATGTGAGCCAGTCTCGACGACGCCTTGTCATCTGCGAATGACTCTAAGACACAAAAAGTAGAAAAAAAAGATGGAAAAGAATTGTCAACAAATTGAATAAATTGATGTCAATTGCACTTGACGATCGCTTGGAACTTTTCCCATCATCAACTCTCTCTCCATGTTGTAAAAATTTTCACGTTTAAATAAATATTTTAATTCGAAATTTAACTACAAATCGTGGTGTGAGATGAATTGAAAATTTCCTGACTATTAAGCACGTATAAAATGATCTTAAAGCTTTTACAGACATTCGAGAATTCCTTTAAATTAGAATAGTTTGTGTTAAAATGAAGTGAAATAATTCGCAATCAACCACTCGAAAGAAATCTTTGTAAAAACTGCAAGAAATTCTTCTCTTTGAAAATTTCTTTGCCACTTAACAGAATGTCAAACATTCTCAAGCATAAAATATTTACAGTGAAACATTCTTTATGATTTCCTCTCACCCACAACACATAATGGAGACAAAATTGGAAAATATTACGATTGATATTTACCATATTTTCGTCTCCCTTCAACAACGAGTGAGGAAAGTTTGTCAAGAGAACATTTTTCGTCACGCAAATACCTTTTTCTCCTTCACTTTGCTTCGGCATCTGATTTTATCATCATTGTGTACATATTTTCAGTAGGTTAAGAGTGGAGCAAAGAATTTTTACATCGTCTCTCCCTCCATCGTCGTCTCCCACCATCTTCATCTCGCCTCAAAAGGAAGCAAAGGAATATAAAGAAAGAGAGAGAGAGAGAGAAAGAGAACTGAAAATGCTTCTATCGAGCAACAAGTACCGAAATGAAAGTTATTTTTCATGGTTCTTTTTCGGGGTTTGCCCTTTTCTTCTTTCTCTCTCTTTTTGTGATGCTTATTTTCCATAGAAATTTTCTGTTTTGGTTTTTCATAAATGTAAACGAGGCAAAGCATTTATAAAAATATCATTTTTCCTCACCACCCAAACCCAAAGCAGACCTTTTAAGTACCTGACGACCGTCTGTTTATCTTTGCAATGCCATTTGAAGTCAACTGCTTCGTGTTGCTTTTTCTTCTTTCTGGTAAAAGATAAAAACCGACAGAAAAACAAATGCAAAAAATTTTCTTTAGCCCATTACTGCCGCCCCCGCAAAAGGGCAAAATTTCACTTGTTTAACAACATTTTTTTTATCGTCGTCTCTTTAAGAGGATTTTTTATGCTTTCTCGGTACAAGTTTCATTTTTTTTTATTAAAACTCATAAACAGACATTGAACGAGAGCGAGATAATATGGATGGTGAAACACGCAATAATTTATGTCTCTTTTTTGCTTCAACGATCTGAATAATGTATGGTGCACGAATATGAATTACTTTTTCGCCTTATGACGAACATGTTTCTCCTTCAAAGCCTCTTCTTCCTTCATCCTCGTAGGTTTTTAATTAAATATTTAAAATTAATTTTTTTCTTGTCTTCTCCCTTTTCAAATTTTTGCTGTTGAGTTGAGTTGGGATTGAGATCGGGAAGGGAATGAAGAAAGACTGATAACATAGCCTAAAGAAAGATGAAGACATGTTATTCTGATGGAATGTTACCTTAGTAAAAGCAATCTGTTGAGTTTGCTTTTTACTGCTATAAGATGAGAAAATGTTTATAAGGAAACTCTAAAATTTAAGCCGTTGCTATTACACATTAAATTTCCTGTCGTTGACATCATTTTGCTTGAGGGTTACGAAATGTTAGGTGAGTTTTGAGTGATCCAAATCCTTTACAAAAGAATTAAATTGCTTTTGTCACATGAAAATGTCTCCTTTATAATTCGAAACAAATAACTTTTACTTAAGACTTGAGAGACTTAACCAACACCTACAATTTACTGCGATTTTTAGATAAAAGTCGGTTTTATTCTTCTCGTTGTTATCATATAAAAATGGTATACGACCAAGGAAATAACTTTCAAATATAAATTTCATTTCCCTATCCTCTCAAAAGAGAAAGAAAAGAAAAATTTACTGCTCAAAGTTCAACAAATTTCATAAGAGACGTTTTTTACACGTAAATATATTCAGGTGGAAAGCAATTTCTCCTGTTGCCACATACACATCTTTCAACAGGTCTAAAGCAAGAACAGAGATAAACTTTTATATCCTTCATCGTTTTTCTTTTTTTAATGTTCATGGTTCTCTTTCTTTTCATGAGTTGTTTGCTGCAAAATAAAGTCGTCGTCGTTCGTCGACGAGTTAAATTCATTTTTACTACGGAGCGTTATACTTTGAAATGTTTATTCAAATTTTTCCTGATGTTGCTGACTTCTCTGACGCTTTATAAAGCAACAGTTGTATTGGAAAACTTTTCAATGTACTCCTTCAATGTTGAAAAAGCTTAAGAACATAATTTTAATTATAATTGCAACAGCATGAGTGAAGGAAAATTAAAACCTTTCCATTTTACACCGACACACTTCATCATGTTTTAGTTGCTAAAAATTATTCACCTTAATGGAGTTATTTGGATAAAGTTGTGAAGATTTCGAATTTTTAATCCAAGCAACAAGGTCAGTGATCTTGGAAACTGTTCGACCTTAACGATATTGCGTGTGTGTGTGTCAACAGAATTTTTTTACATTTGTGATCACCAAACAGTGAAAAAAAACCAAGAAAGGAAAATTAATGGTTTCCTGTTATATTAATGACATTTGAAGGAAAAGTGCCACAATTTTTTTGTTATCTCATTTTCATTCTTCTCCTTTTTTTCTTATTTATTGTTGTAATGTTTCGTTGTAAATAAAGTGTTGAGATCTTCCTCCAATTTTAAGATGTCATGATACGCACGTGGTCGCAACAATGCACGCACATTTTTCATTCTCAATCTCGACATTCAAACATGTCAACAAATTTCCTTTTTCATCATCAAGTTTATGTAATGAAATATGATTCTGATGATGTCAATTGAAGTAGATTTGGATGACCATTAAACAATGCAAAAGTTAATATCATCCGATTGTCGACAATTGTTGATTAGGTTTAAAAATAAAACAAGTTGTTGATTGTTGTGGAGATGATGGAGAAAAGCTAAAAAGAAGCGACAGGTTCGAAGGTCCTTTCGTCAGAAATCCGTCAATGAGCTGCTTCAGATAATGAAATTGAATGAAATGGATTATGATCGAGTGGCTGGTGGGAGTTTTGTGTTGCCCGAACATTGCCAACTTAATCTTTTGTGTTATTCAACACATTAAATCAGATCATCCCGAAATCAGGTATTCTCGTAAACGACGAAACAAGTCAAAATGAAAATGACGGGAAATGTAATTAATTATTTTTTTTCCTCGAACAATTCCCTTCTCACCCCCTCAACTGTTGTTGCTTCTCTTCTGACAACTTTTTCTTCTTTCCTTCTGTTCATTCGAATCTCTTTTTTTTCTGCCTTCTTTTATTGGGCCCACAAGATGATGCTAAAGAAACGGGATGAAAATATAATTTCATGTAATTAATTATTTTTTTATGTTGTCGAATAGATTTGCGCTTTGGTTTGGGTTTGAAATTTCTTCTCTTCTTGTGTTGTTGTCCTCAAGAAAGAAACAAAATGTGCTGAGTTGTCCGAATTTGGATTCAGTTGATGATGTTGAATGAAAAAGGGAAAGAAGGGAGAAGGAGATGAGAAAAAAAAATCATTTTAATTTGCCATTCTTTCTTGTCCATCTCCCTTAACTATGTACAACAATGTTAACAAGATAACCGAAGATTTATTCACCCCAACCGACTTCTCCTTGCCAACCATCCACCACCCTCCGCTGATGGATTCTTATTGACTTATGGAAGAAATTATTTCATTAAATACTTTTGTTCTTTCATCTTCTTTTGTTTATGGGCCGGGAGAGATAAAACATCGATTCATTAAGGAAACAGCAGCATCATTTTACGTCAAGATTAAATCAGATAGCGCCATTAAACACTTCGATGAAGCCATTTCAGGAAGAGTGGAAGGATTTAGAGGGCAATTTATTAATTTAGGATAAATCTCGTTTCTCCTTCTCTTGTCATATTCACCTTTCGATTTTATGTATGGCTAAATAAATGAACGAACAGTGACTACAGCATGAACAGCAACAGTATGAAAAAGTCATAAATTATTTTTCTTTCTTTGTTTCTCTTCTCCACCATGTTACGCTCGCCTTTCGGAATGAATAAGTAATAAAAGGTATAAGTTTCAGAAGCCACTCACACCTTTCATCAACATAGTTTAGTTTGGAAAGTCAGAGAAAAGCCTAACATAAGCGTTTATCTGAAGGATATGAAAGAAAAAGGAAAACTAACAGAGCAAGGAATTTTCTTACAAGTTTCAAGGCTTCTTCTTTCGATTTCCAGCTGTGCGCCACCATCCGTTATTTCATATACATTTAATTTCATTTTACTTTTCGGATAATTCTTACTTTCTTTTTTATCACACAATTTATCATTTTTCAAGAGAGCAAGTTTTATATTAATGTCATTTCCATACACACATTCGTAAAATGCTTCGCTGCTGGATGTGGCATTATCAAGATTTCATTCTTTCATTCTTTTTTCTTTCCTTTCATTTCATTTCATTCATTCATTCATTCACATTTGGATGGGTGAAAAATGATTGTAAGTTTAAAGATTCAACTGCAATGTACGTTAATCAAGAACAAAAGTGTTGCTTGTTGGGCGACGAGACAATCTTTTAAGCTTCATTCTCCAACTAATGTTATCGGTGATATTTGCACAAATCCAAATACGGATTAAGACTCTTCGTCGGATTGAGTCAAAGAAAATATGTCTGGCATCATATCTTAAATCTAATTTCTGATTCTTGATTCTTAAACGAAAAAAAATTTTTTTAGAATGAAAATTCAAGCAAAGCCAACGCAAAACGACAATCGACGAGAAATTCGAATGAGCCAGCAATTTAATTCACTGAATTCCACTTTATAAAAATAAGATTTTAGACTCGAAGGAATCTTATTGAACCGTAACTCTTACAGATTAATCTTCTCCTAGCATAAATTTGTTGAGTTCAAGGGGGTTGTGCTGATTTTGATTTTTTTATGCTTTCTGCTGCTACTTCCGTTAGAAAGAAGCACAAAATCCCATATTCTCGATGATATGTATAATTTAATCAGGCTCAATGGTTTCTGCCTTCTTGCGAAAAAAAGGGAAGAGAGAGAGAAATTGTCAGTATAAAAATTTCCATTTTTTTGGGATGATTGTTGATAGTCGCGGAGGGAAATTTATGACGTCATCATGCTGATAAGTTTTCGTGTGCTGCTGCTGAAAGGCAGCGTAAACATGTTGTTGCTGCTTACTGAGTATTTTAAATTAATCTTTTAGATTGAAATAATTCATAAAAACTAAAACTTGTTGAAAAATTCTCGAAACTTCCAATCTCTGCTCTTAACTATTGTTATGGCTGAGAAACCTGAAGTTTATTTAAAAGATGAACCATGATCTATGTTCGTTTTTTCTTTTCTCGTCTACGATGGTTTTTGTTGCTAGATAAATGTTGCGATGTTTGTGTTGTTTGAAATTTGGTCGACTGTTCAAACATAGAGACAATTTATTTTATTTAAGAAGGCAAAAGTATTTTGAATAATCAGTGGATGTGTTAATAATTAATCAGACAAAATGAAGCAACATCGACAATAACTTTATAACATCAGTTTCTTCATAAATAAAATTAATAAAAATCATTTGTGAAACTATGAAACTCCGATTACATTTCAGATCCATTTCCGAAATTGGATTTTTCATTAAAAATGCAACATTTTTCTCGATTTCTTCGTTTTCGACTAAGACGAGATATTTAGATGGGGGAACAGTTAGAAATCTCAGCTCTTCCTTCTCTAGAATGCTACAATAATGCACTTTCAAGTTAAATGAAGGTGTATTGCTAAAGAAAGAGCAACTTTTTGCATGATAAAGTCTTTTTCCATTGCATTTATATTTCATTTTGTTGGGATTTCTTCTCGCTACTTTATATTCTCAAACAATTTTTTCATTCTTTTTCTTGTATTCTTGTATTGTACCAATTGTCGTGAAAACTTTATAATTTTTTATTAACAACACAATGCAATTGTATCACAGTTTTTCTCTGACACTTTTTGTTCTTTGCCAACTCGTTAAACTACCGTGGAGTTTATGGAAAAAAAATCAGATTAGTCAAATATAAAAGTTTTCATTTTCATTCGCCTCATCTCGCTCTCTATCGTTCGAAACGTTCCTGAAACTTTTACAAGAACTTTTCGATTAAAGTAATTTCTTTAGGGATGAAGGGCCAGAAGTTGATCTTTAGAAACTTTTTAAAATTGTTGAGATATCGTTTAGATACTCTTCTTGATTTTGATTATAAAAATATCTACTTAGTGCTACTGGGTAATGAGAGAAACGAAGTTGAAACTTATGAATTATCAGAAAATTAGAAATTTATGTTTCAGGAAATCTTTCAGATTATTTCTTAAATTAATTTAATTCAGTTAAAAGTCGTTTTTACTCTTAAACCACCAATGGATTCAATGACAAGTTAAGCTTCAACTTTTAAAACTTAAAACCAAACCGTTTAAGTTGAAATTCATTTCATTTTGTGCTTTTCTTGTCGCTTTCGATTGTAAATAGAGAAACTGTTGAAGATTAGTTTGGTGCATTGTTTGCTTCCACCTTCGAAGATTTTGTTTTTATTTCTTCACTTCTTTCCAATTTATTTTTAATGCTTTCTTCGCTGTCGTCCGATTCTTTTATTTGAGTTTTATGCACATTTCTTCCTCTTTTCCTTGTTGATATTGTGTTGAGATGTTGAGACGACAGTGAAGTGAAAAGACTTTTCTTCGCTTTCAGGAAGAAATTAACAATTGAAGATGAAACTTTTCCTTGTTAGCTTTTCTTTCTTTTCTTTAGTTTTTTGTTTGAACGAGTGCAACATATTAAATGAGGTAAATTGCTATGTTGCGACGTCAACTCACGTAGTAACTTAAGAAATTCTTCTATTCAATGTGAAATATCCGCCACGTCTTCGTCAACTTTTTCCTTTCCATTGGTCATTAAAAAACATTGAACTGTACATTTTGTTGACTTTACACAAAAACTGAAATGTTATTGAGTTGAAGAAAAATGTTGCTTGAGGTTTGTTGACGTTCAAAATTGTTGAGTGAATTGGACTTTAATTTATGTCATTGATGAATATCGCAATCCTCATTTGAGCAATGATAAAGCATAAAAATGCAATTCATCACTTTGAACCTTCCACAAGCTCCCTTCGACTCGCTTATTGATGTTAAGCATAATTTTCATACATCATACTCTTCTGTAAGTCTAATGAATCGGAATTTAATTCATTGGAAAATGTTCATGAATCTCCGTAAATTGGTTGATAAATTTCAATGAAATTGATGGGTGTGGGGAATGAAATTTAAAAATTTGTTTAAAAACCTCAATATTTATCGATATAAGGATAATGACATCGACAGATTAATTAGCGTATCGGTTATATTTTCCCTTTTTTTTATAAATAGATATCTTTGAAATGTGTTGATCCTTTTTTTCTGTCATTTCCCTTTTTTTATTCAGAAGGTCCGTGAATGAAAATAAAAGCAACGACAATTGATGGATTTTATTTTTGAAACATTAAAAGAACTTTTCATTGCCTGAAACTCTTTCCCTTCTTCTTTTTTCTATAGCTGGCGTAATAACGCTTTATTTATAGTCTTGTCATCGTAATAAATTGATAGATCTTCTTCTCTCATCTCAGATTATGATGTCTAATGATTCCGGGTTTGAGTTCCATCATCTGATTATCAGATTCTCTCATCCTAAGTATCTGCCTGCTTCCCCCATGAGAATAACTCGAAGAGAGCTCATGGAAATAAATCTTCCTCTGGTGCGATTTTTCTCTTGGCGTCGGTGGCAAAAAAAGTGCTTTCAACGATACACAATCAATCAAAGTCATAAGCAATAGCGAGACTTGCAACATGTAAAGGGCTTTTATGCTTCTCCTTGCGACACTTAAACATTTCCTTGTTCATGACATAATTGCCACACCACCACTTCATTTCCTTATCCATCTTTGATAAAAAGTAAGTAAGTATCTTCTCTATTTTGGATCAATCGAATGGAAACTCATAAATTTTCTTCCTTCAAACACTAACATCATAAGTTGTTGTTAAAGTGAGTTAAGGGAAGAAAGAAAAGGAAAGAAAAGAAAATTAAAACACTTGACGTTCATGTTATGTCCTTAAAATGTTAAGTGAGATGGACACTGAAGCATGCGACTCAAGCAAAAACTGTTTGATTAACGATCTCGTTGGAAATGAAAGATCTCTTTGGGCTTCGAGAAAAAAAGGCCAAAAGCCGGCATGTTTCGCAACGCTTTGTTGACGTCACGGTATTGTAGCAATAGGAGAAGAGAGTGAGAAAAAGATTGTCACGGAATATTAGGGACATGGATAGCGATGTGTGAAAATTAGTTGCCGTCGATGCATGAAATTGGATATCAATAATCCTAGAAGGCCAATTGTTTGTATGCAAGCAGCTCGTGCGATTATGTATGCTCAATACGACTCACAATTATTGGAGAATAATGATGGCTAAATGGTCAGACATGAATGCTGATAGTTTTCGTCCTGATTGCGGTTTTTCCCCAAATGATTATGACCAACTGAAGCGGAAATGTGTGTACATACACATATTAATATGATGGCACATCTAATTTGTTTACATCGCGGCTTTCATTTGTTTGTTGTCATAATTATCTTTGTTGTTGCTTCAATCAGCGATTCATCTTAGAGTTTCAGTAGTTGCTACCGAAGACAACACTTTTAAAAATTTCCCACGTTTAATCTGTTTACATTGATTGATGCTTTAAGCGAGGGTGAATTTATTTCGCGAAATTAATAAAGATTACACATTTTTATTGATTGACTTTCTTGTTCGTCTATTAAGCTTACAAAGGAAAGCAAAGGAAGAAAAAAAAGGTGAATGGGGAGATGAAAAAACAAATTTACGACGATGAAAGCTTTAAAGATAAATTGAAAACATATTTTCGTTAAGCCTATCATCGCGCGCCCGCTTCGCTGAATGTCACAAGAATAAACGAGAAAAAAGAAAAAAAAAGATGAGCGAGAAAAAATGAAAATTAATGGAAATTTTTCAGCTTTCAAAGTCTCATGCCTAAGTGATGACGATAAATTTTCAGGTAATAAAACATCATGTATTTCATCGAACGACTTGGTGAGTGGGGTTGGGATAGAAAACGATGAGAGTTCCTCACTTTCTCATAAAAATTCAAAAGCGTTTATTTCTCGTTCCTAAAACCTGTGCAACTCTGACAACGATGAGTAGAAAAAAAAATGCTGAACTGTGAAGGAGAAAAGTATCTTCGTATTAAAAGCACATTAAAGGAAATATTTTTATCAGTTTAGACTGAAAGATTTTCTTCTTAGCGCAAGGAGACACGTTAATCTCACCTTAAGCATTGAGCTATCATTTCGAAATACTTTGAGATGTTTTGCTGCGGAATTTTTCCATTTATTTTAAATATAATGGAAGATTTTTAATTTTAAAGTTGAAATTTATGTGGTTGTTGATTGAATGAAATTGAAAAATTATTATTTTGATTTTTTTAAAGAAAGTTTATGAAAGAGTTTAACACAGGCTGTGATCATCACTCAAAGGAAGACTCAAACACCTTTGCTTGATCATCAAAAGGAAAAAGTTTGGTGTTGCTGACGATCTGCTTCCGGGCATGAAAATGTTCTGCTTTTATGTGTTTCTTTATTCCGCTGCTGCTACCTCAATAGTAGAACAAAAAGAATGAAAATGTTTTAGCGAACATTTCGGGAACAAAAGTGTCTATGGAGAGATCTGCAAGAGAAATTTATTTTCATTGCCGATAGCTATTCGAACACGACAGAAAAACAACAATTTAACACATAAAAAAACTTTTCATCTTCTTCTTCTACGTTTATAGCAGCGAGCAAAGCTTCATCGTTCACCTTTGCGAATTCAAGTGCTTTTCGTGTTCAACTAGATAATTTCACAGCTAGCAATAAACGATTGGAATGTGGAGCAATTGTCGAGGGCATTTATTGTAAAAGTTCCTTTTTTCCTTCTTTACTTGTTTAATATGCTTTCTGGAGGTGAATTCGTACACCACGGGATTCGATTGCTAGTAGCTTTCGAGTAAATACTTTTTTGTGTCTTTGAGAAATCAGCGCAGTAAATTCACAAGTTCTAACACCTTTTACAGCAAAGAGACACGTGAAAGAATCTCCAGAAGATATGTATGTGGGTAGATGCAGCACAAAAGAGAAGCAAGCGGGTTATAAATCTTTAAGATGAATCGCCTTTTAAAAATTCGAACACATAAAAGTAGCACTTTTTAAAAAATCGAGAAGAGCATTTAATTTCCCCCCAGGAGATGCTTTTGCAGACGTTTTTTTCTTTCTTTCTTTATTTCATGCTCTCCTTCATCTTGGAACGTCTTTGAAAATTTATTGAAATTATCGCACCACTTGCACAACAAACGTTTCCCTTAAAGCGTTCTTTGATGCTTACTTTGGGGGAATTTGAGATGTTTTATAGCTATACGAGATCTCAGATTGTAGGTGGAGACGATTTTGCTTTATCTCCAACGCAACTTTCATTCTTTTTCTTAAATCTCAAGTCTAAGCCCAACAGCATAGTTAAGGGAAAGAAATCAAAATTCCATTTCGTTGCATTTCTTAATGCGTTGCGATGATGTGGAATTTCTTTTTTTCCTTCTTTCCTTCCCAGGTATGTCTATCAATTTGAAATGGAAAAAGGCAAAGACAACAACAGTGTAAAGCTCTCACACAGTGAGAGAGATATTCAGAAGATAAAAGCTTAATCCTTTTGGGATTTCATTAGAACAAAGTGAAAATAATCTTTTTTTTTCATGTATTCGCTTTTCACATCGAGGAATGGAATTCAACAATTTTCAGACAGTTTGTCTGAAGTGGGAATCCATATATAATAGAGGTGGATTTGAGCTGCGTTGTGGGTGGTGTGAATGAGAGATGAATGACTGACTTTCTCATTCCCCTCATGCTGCTGCTGCTTGCTGTATGCCGCAGTCGGAAAATTGATTTTTCTCTCCTTTCAATTTATGATTTAAAGCTTCTCATTTGGTAGTTGCTACACTGCACTGTTTTATTGCTTTTGCTGCTTTCTCTTTACCGCTGATATTTCCGCATATTTATATATTTATCCTAACTCCCCCTCCCTTCCATCTCACCAAAATAAAAAGAAAATAGAAGAAGAAGGAAAAACTCTGTTGAATGTGTACGCTTTCAGGCTGACTGCAGAAAAAAAAGATTTAATTTCCTCCTTCATATCATAGAAGCGATAGCAGCAGCTAAAGACTCTTCTCCTCCTTCTCTCAGCTTACAGCTTACACACATGATACAATATTTCCTCATGTATCAGCTGTTTCCCATCTTTATTCCTTCACTCTCATCATATCTTTTTGAATTTTAATATTTCATTCAACAACAATGTTTTATTCTTTGAGGGAAGATGAATTTGAGGGATACTTTATTGATTTTCTCATTCATTCATTCGTTAGATTTACAAAAATAAATTGAAGGGAAAATATTTAAATTATTGGAATATTCATGTTTGCGGGAGATTAAATTGGATAAATTTTTCTAAGAATTTGAATAATGTTTGAAACAATTAAAATTTCTTTTCTGCTTGTTGAGCTGCCCATGCCATCAAATTTCAATATTAATATCGATGTATGCAAACATGACGACCACAAACGTTTATAATCAATGATAAGATTCACGCTCGTATGTGTGGGTGGGATTTGAGAATACATTTTGAGAAATTATGAAATCATTTCAGTTGATTGAAAGAGTTCGTTTGATAAACAAAACAATTTCGTAATATTGCAAAATGAGTCGTGAAATTTGCTACAGAATTGCAAAGCTTGAAGATCGCGACGAGTTAGTTGAGTTACTCAAAAATCATTACTACCCAAATGAACCTTTTAATACGAGTTGGGTCAACGACGATCCCGTCCCAGAAGACATTGAAATGTGTTTGGTAGATTTAGGCAATGAAACTTGTTATGTGGCAGTGGATGAAGAGAAAGGCATCATTGTCGGAGCTTGTTTAGCAGGTGAAGACGCTCCATCGGTGATTGATAGCATGCTAAGTGAAGCAACACAAACAAGCAATCAGAAATGGGCAAACTACCTCCGACTCTACGCTCGACTTGCTAAGGAAGCAAATATCTTTCAACGGTTCAATGTCGATAAGATTTTCCACATTAGTGCAATGATTGTTCACAGCGATTATCAAAGACGCTCAATAGGCACGAAATTTGCTCAAAAATCATTCGCATTGGGTGCAAGTCTCAACTATAAATATTGTTCGATTAACTGCAGTAGCATTTACACACAAAATATTGCAGAGAAATTCAACATGGAATTGGTTGGCGACATACCAATGGACGACATCAAAAACGAGAAGGGCGAACGACTTGTTTTTCCAACCCCACCTCATACAAGAATCACAACTTATGTGAAGCGGCTTTAACTATGATTAATCGAGCGTAAATTTACACAACCAAGAGACAAATGTGCTTTAATTAGATGTGTTTATTTACAATTACGACACGAGCATTTTTTTTTATGTTGTTCCATTGACATCGTCAAACATTTGAGGCAAGCAATTAAATAATCCCTGCTTGCTCTTTCTCATTTTTTTAGCGTATCTACGTTAGTAACAACAACCAACATCAATGGCATTGTAACAAGAGAGAAAAAAACTTTTTTTTGCTGATAAAGTTTTTTTTTGTTTCAGATTGCTTGAAATCATTAAAATGAGCTCGTTTAGCGTTCGCGAATGTTGAGTAACAAAATAGGAATAATGACGGTGTAGCGTATGTGGGTGGAAATTTAAAAAATAAAATAAAAATTGCTGCGAAAACTGTTTTTAAATTCAAATGAGCTTTTTTGTAGAGTGAGATGAAAAAGTTTAAAGAAATGTTCAAAACCTCAAACATTTAAAGCTTCCGTTCTTTTAATTCGATTGCCATTAATCCAATCAAGTTTCATTCACATGAAAATAATTATAATTCAAATGTATTTCCCTCAGTTGACAAACAAGCCCTCAAAGACTCTTGTGCAATGTGAAGATCTCTGTGGGGTGGCAGAGCGACTTTGTGAAAGATTTCAATTCCCGTTTTAAAGCTTTGGACAGCATCGTTGACATTCTCAGCCTAGTTGAATGTTAAAGTGAATGAAAGAAATCAATGAAGCTAATTAAATGAACTTACATCCATATGAACTGCACCTTGCTCGAACAAATCTTCAGCTTCAAGTAGCAAATTGACTGACATCTGCAACGAAACATTTTTCTTGCAAACTCGACATTTAACTTGTTTCATATAATCTTGTGGATAATTGAAGAATCCTTTGCAAGAATCGTCAGGGCAACGAATCCGACATTTGTTATTGAGTTTATCGAGTACAGGCCAATTCTCTTTGCATGCTTGACAGGAACACTTAAACCAGTACCGTGATGCCAAATTCCGTTGTCGCTCTTGGAGAGTTTGCTTCGTGAAAATTGGTCCGTAATTTTCAGCAATTATTTCGCCTTTCGCATGAGGTCGAATTGAGTTGAAAATCAAATATGTTGAATTGAAGTATCTTGTGATGGATGGATAACACTCGTGATTGAACATCGCTCCCACTTCATAAATGCCAACGCCAATGTAATTAATTCGAGACTTTATGAACTTGTGACCACTTGAAACTGTCTCAGCAATTTCATGAGCGTTAAATTGTAAAGCTTGAAGATAAGCGAACAAAAGTGTTCCAACTTCCATCTCTAGAGATGTTGGTTCAGCCGATTCTGTGGTTCGTCGTCCAAAGAATTCTGATTTCTGTAAGCATCGCAAGAGAAACGTCGTCATGAGACATCGCTTGAAGAAGTCTTCATTGCTTCGCATCTTTGAGTTCTTGCACAAAACAACTGTCAACTTCTTTCCTTCTTCAATTGCTTTTTCTGGTGTGCCGGTTTGCAAGACAAGTCTCAATGCTAAGTGACATAAAATTGACATCCCGGAACCGATCATCATATCGAGATATTTGCATTCATATTTGTGATAAGTGCTTAAAGCGATGTCACGACAATCAGTTGAACAAAATGCAACAGATGCGCACTCAGTACATCCAATAGGTGCAACAAGTCGTGCAAAGCAATGATAGCAATGAGTTCCAAAGTTTTTCGGATATAAACAAGCACATTTTGCCTTTTCAACTAATAAAGTTTCGGCAGTTCCAATCTCACCATTTGCAATAAAATATTTTCCAGCTTCTGGCGATTCAACCAACTGTAAACTTTTCGATGTACACTTTTGAGCTTCCGTCAATGTCTCAGATGACTCTTCTCGATTTAATGTTGGAAGTGGTTTGCGTTGAAACTTCTTATGCTGCATTAAACATGCAAGTGACTCCATTCTCGCTTTGATGTCATTTGTTTCGTTTTCCAATAACTTTTTACGATGGTCGTCGCACCCTAGAAGTTGGTGGTAGAGTTTTATAGAAATTTCACATTTTTTCTCTTCATTCAACACTGAAAAAAAGATGGAAAAAGCTTTTAAGTCAAAGAAGAAACTTTTTTAAACACAATTCGTGTCACGAACAACACACTCACTTGCATAAAATTTTGCCAACTTTGCATAATAATCCGGATTGTTTCTCACAGGCAAACCGCATTTTACAGCCAATTGAAGATCATTGAGGCCATTCAAACCGTCATTCATTTTGAAAAACACTTCAGAACGTGTCATGAGTGCAAGACACAACGTCAGTCCATTGTCAATGTCTTTATCGACGTCTGTGAAAAATATGAATTTTAATTAAATGGAATAATTCAGTTGGAAATCGTTCCAACCTTTCATTGGTCCTCGCATCACAGCTTGACTGGCCAATATGAGAATTTTATCGAGCCCAATGGAGCAATTGCCGGTGTCATGTTGTTTCAGTAATTTCATCACTTGCTCACGCTTCTGCCATGAAAACATTGAATCTTTCTTCCGATATATTTCCGTAACATGCTCGAGAGTGCCTAAAATATCCCAAGAGACCGACGGATCATTAAAGAGAAGCTGCAATTTCTCTTCATCGCTCTCCAATTTTCCGAATTGATTCTTCAACCAATTCTTCCACTCGTCTTCGGTTTTGAAGCTGTCGACGATGGTGTAATAGAAGTTTTTGAAGAATCCATTCTCGTTAGCTTGCACCGTTCTTGAGCTGCATTCTGATGTGAAAATTTTGTCGATGTCTGCAAAATCACTCATTTTTTTGCTTCTTTATGATTATTGCTGTTATTATTATTATTATTATTCTGTTGCACAATGTCACAATCCTATCACGTAAATTCAAAAGAGTTTTGAGCACGTTTCTGTCGATACTAAACAGAAGAATATGAAATAAAGAAAAATGAAAATTTCGCTCGCTTGAGATGATGAAAATTCTCGCGGTGATGTTTTTTCTTTTACTAAAAATAAATTTCATTACACTCACAACATTGAATGTGCGTGAATTGAGAGCAATTTGAACGAAAATTTGATAGTTTTCTCTTCAGAACATGGGAAAATTTTCTTAAACTTCTCTCGAAATGTCAATTCGTGGCTTGAAGTCTTCAAAATTGTTCACTCAAAATAAAATAAAAAAATTCTTTCAAACAACTTCTAAGCGTAGAAATTTAAAAGTTTGAAAGCAAAATGAAATAAAAAAAAAAGAAAGTCATGATAGAAGGAGGAATTTTAATTAACTTTCCTGTTCCCGTCTTCTAATGAAGCGAAAGTGATGAAGATCCATTTTCTTACTTGTTGAAAATTCATTCACCCGCACGCGATTCGCGCAATTGAGGAAATGTTTTTCCTTCTTCATCTTCTTCTCACAATTTAGCAATTAAAAAATGTCGAATTCTCCTTTTACAATCTGAAGAGGAATGGGAAATGTTCGCTAAACTCGAGGGTAAAAGCGCGTCTCGAAGTTGACGAGGCAGAAGAAAAATTGATCAACATGAATCTTAAGACGAATAAAAAAATCTTTTTAAGCTTACATAGCGAGTTTCTCTGTTGCTTTTCTCATCATTCAATCTTTTCCACCAAGGATTTTCATTAATTATTCGTAGCTCAAGTTTACTCATAAATTTCATAAGGATTTTATTTGCTTTGTGCGCTTTATGGCGTAACTCTTGCTTTTAATTTCAGCTTGGTTCGTCTTTTGCCCTGTTGCTGCCTATTTGCAAAGCAAATCAAAGCGTTTTCAATTTAACAATTACATATTTATCTACAACATTTCAATTCACTTCTTTAAATGTTAAAGAGAATGTTTCGAGTGCTACATAAATATTCAAACTAATAACAAAAAGAAGAAGAAGCAAAGAAAACGATTTCAAATGATAATTACAACCAGCATAGATATCAGAATCATGCTTTACAGATTGCCTGCCTTAATTTATGTTTCAGCAAAAATCCTTAATTGCAAACTCATTATTTATCAGAAATAAATTGAAACTTATCCATAATGATAATGATTCAGTCGAAGCTTTCTTCACAACTGTAACAAGAAATAAGAAAAAAAAATCATCGACAACGATGAATCGTATGAAACAGAATGATTTTATGTTTTTCTCCTATTTTTTTGTATATTCGGCGGAAACCAAATCGCGGAACGTAAAACGAGAATTTGTGTCTATTTTATCTTCAGAAGAGATAAAGGAAAGTTGTAGTATAATCATCATTTTTCAATTTAATCAACTTCAATAGCAAAAATATCGGCAAAGGATTTCCCAACACAAAAAAAGGGATTTACTACTTGTGCCTTACTTTCTCATGTCATTGCTTTCCTTAGAGCTAGGCAAGAGAAATGTGATAATGTTGACGTGAAGAAAAAGGAAGAAAGTGGGGAGGTGTGGGGGTGGGGAGCTAAATTAGGCTTTACATATCTCCTTGAAGAGTGGGTGGATGTGAAAGAATCTCATGATCCACTCCCATAATTTCTCGACAGCCATTATCAGTTGAGAGACATTATTAAAATGTCATTTTAAAGTAACTTGAACATTTTTCTCCCCTTTCCATAATAACACACTCACACACACACACTTAGAACTCATTCCTAGGAGTAAAACGCGTCAACGCTGATATGAACACAATATCTACATTAACTATGTATTTTTGTTCGCTTGGGGGAATTTTTTAAGTCTAAATAAAAGATCCTTTCTCTATGTAGATTTTTCTTCAATTTAGATGGGAATGGCAACAGTGAAATTTCCTTTTAAGCAGGAGGCAAGAATGGGTGACAAAAACCCAGGCTAATGCCATATCATTAATATTAGAAAAGCATCAATTAGGTCTGTGCTAATAGGGGAATGTTTATCGTGTTTGTCACAATCGAGAAACTTAGAGTTTCGTGTAGTTGACAAGATCATAAATACTCAACTTGTGATTGCTTCCTTAGTGAAAGTTTTTGCAATTCATCAACCAACAAAACCTTTCATCCATCCATCCATCCATCCATCTATTCGCAGTGCATTGTTAGATCAGTAAAAGAGGAAAACATTCGTTTTTCAGCAGTAAATTTGTCAGTGTCTCTATGCGAATATGTGTCATTTAAAATGTTCCACTTTGTTGTGATGACATGTGATCGAAATGAAAAAAAGAAAAATGTTTTCAATCCTTTTTTTATGGTTTTATTTCTTATTCAGATATTGAGAAGAAAATAGTTTTTGTTTATGTTTAATTAAATTATTTAAACTCTCCACTTGCATCATAATTTCAAAAGAATTTTCCTTTCACTTTTCATTTTTCCATTTTTTAAAAGTTTAGGCAATGCCATTAAGAAAACGACAAATACTTTGTATTGAATAGCAAATGATGAGATGGGAAAAATTCACAAAACTCAAAAAGGTTTTTTTATTTAAAAATGAAATATTGGGAACAAAGAGAAAAGTTTTTTTTCGTCGAAAAAGACATTTAATGGAATTTTTTAATTAATCATAAATGTAAACAAATTTCGAAGAAAGTAGGAAAAATCAAAACAACAAATTTCGTCGTGGGTTGTCATGATTGAGGCCTCTTCGAAAAGCAAAAGAAAAGAGAAGAATCATAAACAAAAGCAGAAGAGGGAAATTGCTTTTCTTTTGTTAAGAAAAACTCGATTTCATTTTTCTTTGTTTTGCAATCTTGTTTTTTCAACAGTTTGAAAGAAGAATTGATAAGTTTCTCATGATAAATCGAAACACATTTTTTACATTTTCCATTTTTTTGGTTCCATATGTTTATTTTGATTTTAATAAAAGAAATTTTTTATGATAAAGGAATGAAAGAATGTAAAGTAAGAAAAATAAATAATCCTAAAAGAAAACTGATCCCCCCTGAATTTCCAATTGTGAAATATTCTCGTTCAGTTGAAGTTTTCTTGCCTAATATTTTCTACTTGCTTGCTTTCATCAACCCCTGACACGACATGCGATGACGGGCATCATCCGCTAATATTTGTTTATGCGGATAAAAACTTTCAGTTGAAAAATGAATTTGTGTTCGGTTGGCTGTTGCCGAGTGGCATACACGTCATTCCATATAATATTTAATTACTTTTGATTAATGATCCGAGTTTCTTTTTTGTTTCACTTCTTCCTTCTAAGACGGCAGCAAATAAATGCGATAAAGCTAAGGCGCGTCGACTAAAAAAAAGTAAGTAAAGGGAAAGGAAGAAAAGCTGAGGAAAATCATAAAATTCATAAAAACGAGGGAAGAGAAAGAAAAAGTTTGATCTTCTTATCAACATAAAATAGGATCAACTGAAATTAAACAAAAGAAAAAAGATATTTCATGTATCATGGATGGAAAAGCAGAAGACGATGACGATAATCCATGGAAAACTTCAAGAAAAACATTAATTTAACATCTTGTTTTAAAGCTGCTGTTTGAAGAAGAAGCCAGCGAAAGTTTCGTGTTCATTTCTTACATCCGCATAAAGCTTAATGACTTCAAACAACTACAAAATGTCAAATTGGTTTTGAGATTATGAGGAAAAGAAATGTTGAAACTATCAATTTGCAGTTAAGTTGAACAATTTCCAAGCGATATTTCTACTTTATGTAATTTTCAATCTCTTGATTAAAGCAAATAAGTAAAGTAAAACAAGATATCAAGTCATTACTAATGCAAATTGAAACAGCTGACAAAAACCATTGAAATCGACATTCATTCCCACATAATTTTTTGATTTTTCTGGTGAAATTTTGTTAGAAAACAAGTGCAAATAAAATTCATTATGATTCTCGTCAGGTCTCTCATTTTCCCAAGCTGCCATTTGTAAAATAGCTTCACAAGAATATGAAATTACATCATTTCAACGTTCTATTTACTTGTAGATATTTACTGAGCAACTATCGTTGCATTCAAGTTTCAAGTTTGCTGAATAATTGAGAATTAGATGAGAAACATCGCAGCAAGTGAATCATTCGAGATTTCAGTTCCACTCAGCCCACCCGTCGAGTTACAATAAAGTGTTTGTAGAGGAAAGAATGAAAAACTTTATCTTTCCTCCAACAATTTCTATTTATCTTCTACCGAAAGAGTAATAATCGTTTCACGTATTACCCGCACCGGCGTTTAAGAAGACAAGTTTTCATTGCAACCCCGCTGGGTTCATCAACGATTACAAAAGTTTCATAAAATGCAAAGAGCAAAATGTAAATTGATCCCGCGGCACGAAACTAAATAAGTAGCAAGTTCTTTTATAAGCAACTAAGTGTAAGAATTGTCGGCTGTTTTAATCTTTTTAAGCACAATTGAATCCTTTCACATATTAAGATTTATTTTCTGTAGTATTAAAAGTTGAAAGTAGCTTTGTGTGAAAGTATTTATACTTCTTATGACTTACAAGTGAAAAATGATTTGATTTTGTAAATATTTAAAATGGCTTCATGGATGAACGCAAACACAAAAAGTCTTTAACTTGTCAATTGCAGTTCTTTGGCTGCTTTCAACACAAACAGATTTCAGCGAATGAAGATAATACGAGCGATGTGAAGAATTTTTTTACGAGCTTGTTGACAACATAAAAGAAAATCAACAAGATTTCCCAACCGTATCATCACATCTTCAGTTAAGTGCTTTGGTTGATTTAAAAAAGCAAAAGAGTTTTAATTTGTGTCAATTTCAGTTTTATTTATTTAGCACAAAAGATCATCGTGTGCTTGACTTTAATGATGACAATTCAATTGTCATAGATTTCTAATTCATTACGCTTCTACGCAAGATTCACTAACTAATGTACATTCATTGCTAAGTATCAACATGACTAAGAAGAGATTTAGCAAGGGATTTATTTCATCTCATTCTCCTTTCCGTGACATTCAAGTTTACACGCCTCTTCTCGCAAATCTCACTTGATGAATATAATAAATAATGTTTACGTGTGCTTTGCCATTATTATGCGTGATTAAACGAAAACAATTAGAAGAAGAGAAGAAAGCTACAATGTATATATTGAAGTTGAAGAGAACAAGAGCAACTAATGCGTGGGTGGTTGGTATAAGTTTGAAAAGCTTTTCTAATATTGAATGAAGGGATTATAAGTGGATTTCTTCGCGCTTGAAGCTATTGTTTCGGCTTAGTTGAAAAGTAAATTATCAAGAAATAATTGGGATTAAACCTTTATTCTCTTTTATTCCTTCCAACACTCACATGAAACTTGTCACAAGTTACCGTGTAATTTCTACGAAATTTCAGAGGAATCATCAGCTCGCCAAAATCCCTCAAAACCAATAAAGTGCGGCAATAGGATTTTGTCTTCGGCTTTTGAAGCCACGAGCATTGTTACCAAATACTTTCATAAATCCCACGCAAGAAAAACCATCAAAATAAAAGCACATGAAACTCGAGGCAGAGAACAAAAAAGTTTTCAACATTATGGAAAGGTGAGTAATAATGAGTGAAAAGTATGAGATTAAGGGATGAAGCCACAGTTTCATAATAATTAAATCAAAATTATTTGAATGATTCTTCTCTCACCACCAACGCCATCATCTGTAAGAATTCTTGCAGCTTTACATCTCATTGCCACTGATCTCATTTCTATAAACAAAGTTGCAACTTTTCACCACATTTACTCATCTTTAATCCCCACATTGTGCTTCATTTCTGAAAAAGATTTTCTTTGTGTAATAAATTAGCAATGCAGAGCGAAAGCGTTAAATTTCGTTAATAAATTCATTAGATTGCACAATGTAATTATTTTTGATCTCATTTCAAAAGAGTTTTAATAAATATTCATCAGATTTCCGGGGTTTTCGTATCAGAAAATATTCTCAGCAAAGGATTTGTCTTCTTCACCCTTAAAGTATCGTCAGCTCTTGAAAATTTTCAACTTCAACCTTTAATACTTATTCAACTCATGCGATACAAACTTCAAATTGAGTTTTCATTTCTTATCCCATAAGGTGTCGAGATAAAATGAGTGACAAAGTTAAATATGAGAGAAATCAAGTCACCTAAAGCCATGAAATGAAATGAAAAGTTTTTCCATTGAGGAAGATTTTCAAAAGCACTCGTAAAGTTTAATTTTCATTCATCCAATAACTAACAGTTATCTGGAAGCAGTAATATTTGTAAATGATTGGTCCCTAAGAGAGACATTTTTAAGTGAATTTTTCATCGTCCATTGCTGACACTCTGCACACTTTGCTCGCACTTATTATAAATTTCATATATTGAATTAAAATTCTCTCGATGTGATTAAATGTACTTTGAAAGATGATATAAAAAAAAGTTCTTTAAAGCTCTCAAGATTCGGATACTTTTCGGAAACTGTTTTAGGAGATGACGAAGGTTTCAGGTACAGATTATTATGAAAGGATTAGAGACAGACAATCAAATAACATGGAGTTATGTATCCAAACGCTTACGATGAAAACAAAATGTTTTATCCTGAACCTTCATCATGTGAATCTTTCTCTCTTTCATTCCAGAGATGTTTGCTTCTACACACAGAGATATCTTCTCCAAGGTAGTTTATTGTAAATCCTTCTCAAGCGACCAAACGAAACAGATTAAAGAAAAGGGCGATAAGAAATTGGATAAAGCGAAAGCATTTTATCTCTCTTGCGGTTTTGCTATTACGCACACACCAGATATGATATGAACTAACGAACATTTAAAGCTTTTGGGTAAGAAATGAAAGGGCTTGGGCGGGCGTCTTTTGTTTCTGTCTTTCGGTCTCTCTCCCTCGATGAATATCTTCAAAAATTGCGAAAGGTAGAACAATATCATTCGTTTCGTTCGTTTCACTATCCGAAAACCCTCTTTGGAGCCGATACTCGAAAAGTAATGCTTTCACCCATAAAAGATACATAAATTACAAAATAATCTGTTTGGATAATTATGATGTTTTAATATTAAATTCCTGAGCTTGTCTGCTGCTGCTGTTGATATTTTCTCCTGTTTTTGGAAACATTTTTCTTTCCCTTCTATGATAAAAGGATTTAACTTTATGCTGCCGTAAAAATTCCTTTCCTTCCTTTCAAGAGAGAGGCGACTACAATAAAATTTAACAACTGTCGGTTGAAGATTGCTTCAGTGCTTAAACAATTGAGTGAGTCAGGGATGATGAAAAGATAATTCGCTAATGAACGCTTTTCAAAGCCGTAAACATCAAACATATTTTTTTACCTGAGCACCTTCAACCAATTAATCGACACTTGAGAGAAATTTTAACAGAGTATGGTCGATAAATTTCAGGAATTTAAGGATTTGATGCGCAAAAGAAGAAAGTTTAATTAATTCATGAGTCTTTTTATGTTGGTGATAAATCTCAGAAGAAGATGAAGAAAAAAGAGTTGCTAGGCAGGTCGTTGATTAATTTTCGTCTCTTTAATGTCATTAATTGAAAATGCTTTATATGTGTGCGTCTCTTATCATGTTTGAACGTTCAAATGTGTTCAATTTGTAAATTTTTAGAATAACATCGACATCAGAAATAAATTTTAGATTTGTCAGTGTCGTGCGTGGAAATTAAATAAAGTGTCATGAGTAGTGGAATCGAAATTCGCGCAGCTAAAGACAATGAACGTGGCAAAGTGCTTGAATTTTTAGAAAGAAATTTCTTCAATGAAGAACCAATAAACAAATCGTATCCGTCAGATGATCACAGTGTGGAAGGAGAATTTTTACTATCATGCTTGTCTCATGGCAACATCATTCTCGCAATTGACTCGTTCAACAATCAAATTGCTGGCCTCGCTTGCTTCGGAGAAATCACAAAATTCTACGCACAAGAAGGTTGGGATGAGTCGGAAATTACAACAAACAGAACATGGCGCGACATATTAAAATTCATGTCTCACATCGAAATGAAAGCGAATGTTTGCGAACGTTTTGCAGTTCCCAAAGCTTTACATCTGCATTGTGTTACGGCCGATAAGAAATATCGTGGAAAAGGAATTGGGAAACTTTTATTCAACGAATGCTTCAAAGTGGCTAAAAGTCGACATCTCCATCTTGTCAGTGCTGACTGTACGAGCATTTATTCCATTCACATCGCTGAGATTCTCGGTATGGAATGCGTATCAACAGTAACATATGACGAGTATCATGAGAAGCTTGGATATGAAATCTTCAAGCCAATTCCACCACATTTTGAGATAAAAACTTTTATCAAGAGAATTTAAAAATTAGAATAATCATCAATAAAAGCATTTTCGCCTCCCCTGCGACAATTATTCACATTTTTATTTCATTCCCCGCATAGCCCGTGTGATTTATGTTCGAATCTAAGAAAGCAATTTTCTATTGAGAAGTACAAAGTCATTAAAATTATAAACGACCGGTAGCAGTTTCAGTTGTATAATTAGAAAGATGTGAACAAAAAGTGATTACGAATCATACTGTCCGAAGACGAAAATTATGTTCTAATTCTTATTTATTAGGAGAGCTGGAGGAAGGCAAATTGAATGACATCGAGACATTGTAAGATATTCCGACAGATTTAAATTACAATTTCAATCGATTGTCACTGCATCTTAAATTATTTTCAGTAATCTATATAAATGTATGTTTGACCATTAAACGGACACAAATGGTCACTTAACTCAATCAAAGACCAAAAGTCAATCACGATAATAAACCATTTCGATTTAATTATTTTATATGATGCTTCACAATTGCCATTTCCTCCCTTTTTGCCACCACTCAATTTACACCCAGAAACATATTTTATGCGCTATTATCATGACTTCAACAAGGAAGGAAATTGATGGGCATTTATCCAAATTACTACGCTTCACATTAATGCTCTACTTTTCACCAGCACCGGCGTTAACGATCGATGATGGTCAAAGGTCAATAATAATAAAGCCTTCGTCGTCCATTTCCCCTCAATCACCTTTTTAATTTTTATGTCGTGAAAATTGACTGAAAACACATTTCTCTCGTTCATTTGCCTTCACGACAACCCCCCAAAGCATGCTAAAAAATTCTTCTTTATGAGACTCTGTTTTTTTTAAAAAAAGCGATAAACTAATTGTCATTGATACAATCGTAGTTCACGAAACTAAACTTCGTAGAATAGCATGCCAATTTACGAAATAAAATCGTAAAGAGAGTCCGACATATTTTCTAAAACAAATCCACATTCCCTTCCTTGTGATATAAAATGCAAATGAATTTAGTGAACAATACCAAATGTCATTGTGATAGAGAAGCTTTATGTCAAGAACGGAATGACCATCCCAAACATGTTTTTGATATTCTTCCCAAAAGATTCATTTCTGATTCAACAAAAACAAGAAGCGAAACAAAAAATGAGTTAATAACTTTATTGGTTCGTCAAAATGTCCATAAAATGTTTTCGAATGACTTTGTGACAGTCAAAAATATGAAATTTAATTGCTTTTGTTTTGTCTTTGTCAGCAAATTTTGAGATCGAGTTGTGAGTGATTCAGATTGAAGATCTAAGGCCGGACTTACAAAATCTAAGACATTTAACTCTCCAGACCACGATAATAAAAATAAAAATTGAATCAATTATCATTCTAAGCGTTCCTACTTAAATAATTTCCTTTCAAACTTTTTATAGCATTTTCTGTCATTAAACGACTAATGAGAAAAATGGAAAAATCATAAAAATTTTCCTTCATTTTCTGCAAAGAATGACTTAAAATTTCCATTTTTTCACATCAAAATTCGCCTTCGGAATAAATTTAAGAAGACTTTTCTGCTTATTTCGGCTTTACTCTTCTCCCTTCGCTTGATACAAGCTTGAATGGACACAAAAGTTATTTTTTGTCATTTGATTAAAATCGCTAACGTTTGCAATTAATTTGGCTTTTATTGAAATTGCTTTTCATGCACCACAATCGCTTAAAATTCTTCTTATTTTTTATTTCCTTTCCTTTTTGCTTCTTGTTCCCTTCGATTATCTGTGAGTGAAACCACGTTGTCATTGTACATATGCTTGCTCTTCCCTCTCTCTGCTTCGTTGCTTTGTCGTTTTCCATTTTTATTCGTTCATCTCTAATGAAATTGAGTCAGAAATTTGAATATTGTACAGTTTTGAAAGTACAACACTTGTTAAGGGAGGAAAGAATTGAGAATGAAAACTTTCCATTGTGCGGTTTGTAAAATGTTCCCATGACACGAAATAATTAAGGCCGGAAGCTCAATTCTGATGACAACTCATTTCTTCAGTTTAAGCTTACGAAAAATGATTTTTAGCAGTTTTTGTATCTGAAAATGTCCGCAAAAGGATTTTAAGTTTCTCTTCAAATCAGGGACTTGAACTTAATTCTTCATTCAAATCCTACTTCAAACTTAATTTATATTGAGTTCATTTAACTTAAAAATCCATTTTTTTGCCTTCGTTTCTCATCATGATGATAATAATGAATTTGCTAATGACCTACCACTGACTGCGAAATGAAATAAATTTCTTTTAATTGAAAACATAAAACTTATTTCGCATCCAACAATGTCCTTAGTTGAAATGAAATTGCAAAACATTTTCTAACGCATTCTCCCATCAGAAACAATTTCAACATTCGCATAAAATTAATTTCACGTCTGGAAAGTTGTTTTGAATAGATTTTAGGGAGGTTTCGCTTTGATTTGTTGCACATTCTTCACATTTATTGTCCGTCACTTGCCACTATGAACGAGCAAAACACGATGCAATGCTATACGCAAATACTAAATCAACAAGTTGAAAATGTTTTAAAATTTTCCCTGAGAGCTCTAAATTAATTTTAATTGAATTTCGTCAAGTGATGTCAATCACAAAACAACTTAAAATTAATGAAATTTTTATTTCCCTCATTCTCAAACAAACGACTGATGTCAATCGTAAATTTTCAACTGCTTCGACTTCTTCAACCCATTCATACACACAGACACCAAATCTAACATAAATTTAGAATTGTATTTCGCAATTAAATATGCAACAATGCAGACTTGTGTAGCTTTGTTATTTATGCATCATAATTACTCCTCGACTCTGATTGTATCCTTTGCTAGGTATTAGGCATTAAATTTCTGTTGAGATTGTAGGCGGAAATTTTAATTGTTACTTAGTTGTGCTTAATCTTTGTTGATACTTCCACTTCTCTCATAACTTTAGCCTTTTAAGCTGAAAGCCACAAAGCCCACAAGAAATTTTTATTTATGATTACATATTATTTGTATACTGTTGGCTTCAATGCTTGTTTCGGAAGAGTTTGTGTATGGTTTGAGGGATTTTATTATATTGGATGAAAGACGGTAGAGAAATTTTCTACCTCTGTTAACATCATTCCAACCTGTATAATAATAATTCGATTTCCTTCCTTTCTAACCCATTTATTGCCCTCCCCCACACTCTCATTTCTCTTCTTCAATCCGCAAGAATATAAGTACCTAAACATAGAAACAGAAGCAAGAAAAAAAAGAGTTTTCCTATTACCAATTTGCACTCCACTTGGAAAAGTTTCAGCTACCACGAGCCAACATAACCATAGAAATATTTCGGAAATTACAAAGAGAATTTTCATGCCATTATGCCAATTAATTGTTGTGCTTATGGAGTCAAAACTTAAACCAGAAAAGCCTAAATAGATGTAAGGCGTCAATTAGAGAAAGGAATTTCTTTTAATTCCTAATGTTTGTTTCAAGTTACAAGTCATTGTCATACCTCGTGATGGAAAATGGAAATTTCGCTCAATCATCATCGATTCATAATAATTCTTACTGCTTAGCATGTATCATTCAATTTGCATAATAATTATGCGTGATAACTCTCATCATGACAAAAGTTTCCCTCCAGACCAAGAATTACGACGATGTGCATCGCTTTTTGTTTTACATTATTTACAACATTCGAGACAAAGGTTTATTCGTTACTATTTTTGTTACAAAATAAAAGAAAACAAAAAAATACGTACAAGTACAAGCAACATACATAAATCTTGAGTTACTTTTTGTCTTCTGTTTTGTGCTTTCCACTGCTCGACAGCATCAACATAAATTAGAATTGTTTCGTTATTTTTGCATAAATTCCTTCACTCGAGCGCGAGTCGCGTCGTTTGCGATTTTTTATGACGCTATTTCGCCCCGTCGTGTGTATGATATTAATAAAAAATATTGTTGTTGTGCTGTGCTTCATACTTACATACATCGTGAACAAGTTGAGTTGCTTTAACTCTCATCTCACCCCCAAAAGCTTCTCGCTTGACATTAATAAATTCATCGTTATTTGCTATTGCCAGTCTAACATAATATCCTTACATTACACACAATATTTTCTTATTTATTAGAATTTTTTAACATTCCTGTTCTTACCTGTTTCGTTTTTCTTCTATTTTTGTTTCGAGGTTTCTGGCATTTTAAGAACGTGCTTAAGACATTGAATAATCTTAAAGTGCATGGTGAAAGACGATGGAGTCAAAAGGAAAATAAAAAGCGAGCAAATTTGAAACATAAATTTAACTCTTCGCTTTATTTGCACTCGTCGTCGTCGTCGTCGTCTCATGAAACTAAGTAGAAAAAGGGTTGGAGGTGCGAAAGGTGGAGAGAAGCTTTCACTGTTATGGATAAAGGCAAAGAAATATTATGGAGAAATTGCAAGCAACATTAAATCTAACTTTACGCCATAAATACAATCAACAACCGTTGCCTCGCCACATAAGAGTTCATTTTTCATTCCCACAAAAACCTGGAAGACGGGGACTTTCTTACTGCTGCTTATGTTGCTTCCTTAATCCTTCTTTATATGCTTATTTTCAATTGGATTCTTGTAATTTTTCACAACCTACACACACTCGCGAAGAAGCTTCTGTTGACTGCCATCAAATCATTCATCCAACAAGCAGCTTCTTACTTACCTCTCACTGCTGAAGAGATTAAATGATGTGTGTTCGTTACATTATTTGATGTTCAATTCGTGCTGCTAACTAAAACAAGTGCATCTTCCTACATTCACTAAGCAAGTAGGAAAAGAGTTTGTAAATCATTTAGCATCATGAACTCGGAGTTTTAACCATCCAGGAGATGCTGTTGAAAATTTATAAGACAGAAAACTGTTGGAAGCATAAGAAGAAACGTTTTCTTAAGGGCAAGAGAATCCATTTGTCCATTAAAAAGCTAGCAAGCAACGAAACGTAACATAGAAGATAATTAAGTGTACTTATATTGTGTGTCTGATAGCATTTAATTCATGTTTTAGTCCCAAAAGCAAAAGCAAGTAACAGAGTGGGAGAGAGAGAGAGAGAGAATGAGAAAAAAACATAATTTATGATTTTCGAAAGGAAGAAAATTTTTATTCGTTGCGAAATTTGAACAATATTTCACCCTGATTTGTTCTCGCTCTCACTCACTCATTTTCTTCTTGGATTTTTTTCCGTTCCTTCTCGTTTTGAGAAATGAAGTGGCATCCTTTGAATTTCAATGAGATGAACTCCATTCCATTCCTTTTCTTTTCATTTCCAACCAAACAAACAATGTGATCGAGGGTTGTGAGAAGAAAAGAGAGAGAAAAGCGACTAACATGAAATTTGGTTAAACGAGAACATCATAAAATATCTTTTCCATCTTGCGGGTGGTAAATTTGCGGGGGAGGGGTGGTGAAAAAGTGCTGTCCATCATGCACATTATTATTAGGTTACGTTTACGGACATGAACAAAACGAATCATTTCTTTATCTCTTCGTCTATTGTTTGAATTTTTTTTCGCATTCTTTTTTACTCCCGGCAGATTCTTTAGTTCAATGTTTGTTGTTGTTGAAGAATTGCTGGTCAGTGTGCTCACATATGAAAAAAAAGGTCAGTCAGTGGCGCGTTTGAAAGCAGACAATAAAGAACGATTCAATCAATCTTCGATGACACCACTGGTCGGTCGGTCGGTCAGTCGTTGCTTTAACAATAAGTAGGAAGAAGAAAGGCTCAAGCGTAAAAAATCGTCAGTTTGAAGTATTAGACATTAATATTATTCTCAAGCATTTATCTTTAGCAGTTTCTTCTGTTGCTGTTGAGATATGGGCCAAAGCATTATTTTGAACAGTTTTGGCAATCAAACGGGAAGATTTCTTCATTGCCGTTGTAGAGTAAATGTGTGTTTAAAGGCACAATATTTGATTGTAGGAAGAATGGATTTCCTTTTCTCCATTTTCTTGCTTCTCGCTCTCCTTACTTCAGGGGCCAAAGTGATAAATGACATTTTTGGGAGACGATTAAGAGGAATAATTTATTTTTCTCTTCCTCATGCTCTTCTCATGAATGTTTCTTATTCTTTTATTGCATCGCTGATGGAAGTGCTTCTTAACGTTACCATACGATCATTACCCGCAGTCGTACGAGATAAGATAAAGAAGCGACACGAGAAGCGAAGCTATGGGATATCTTAACTTTCTAAATTATATGCGAATGTTTCCCATCATGACAATTGTCTTTAAAGCGTTCTAGCTACTTACAATTGTATGGAATGCTTTTTTGACTTTCATCTTAAAGTTTCCTTCTTTCAATTTTAAAAGATTTTAAAAGATTGATGTTAGATTCAAGAGACTTGATAAATATTTAATTTGACGTGTCTTGTGTAAGAACTGCTTAAAGAAGTTTTTTCTGTCTCATCCTGAGACTAAAACTTATCAGACGATTCGAAAATGAGATGAAAAAAGAGGAAAAACTTTTGCTTTTCAACTTTCCAGATATTAAATTTCGATTTCATTCACAAATCAATGCAAATAATTCGAGTATTTTAAATGAATTTTAATTCTTTTTCGTCATCATTGCTATTCTAGTGGAAAAAGTTAAAATCACTGAAATAATCGCCTTACAAAAAGGTTCAATATCAATTTTCCTGCTCTTGTCACAAAAAATAAAGACCGAGATGAAATCTGATAACTTTCAGTTCGTAGTGAGAGAAGGAAATTGACAAAGAAAGGCAAAAAGCTATGAATTCTCATCGTTCAATTTCTCTAATGATAGAAATTAAGTGGAAAATTCATTCAGTTGGAATGAAAATGTTTGTTTTCCCTTTCCTACAATGAAGGAAAAGAAAAGGAAAAAAAGCAAAGAAATATTGACATCTTTTCCATGCTCTCCAAAAATTGAAAATTGTTTCCATTTGTTTTCACTTCAAATCGTTTCTCACTTAGAAAATTGAAGAGAAGGAAAATTTTCTTTTTCTCCAGTTTAATTCTTCGACAATTCTTTTTCATGAGTAATAAAGCAATGGAATATTAAGTTTCAATAAATGATCGCTTGTTTTAAATTAGAATTTATCTTAAATATTCTACTGACTGTGATTGTTGAAAGGGTTGAAGTTGTTACAAAATCCCCAGATTGACTTTCAGGACAGAAATGACAACTTGAGTTGCTGTAAAGCTTCATCCACTCTAAGTGTCCCTCGCTTAATGCCATTAATGGAGTTTTATTTATATTTTTTTTACTTGATGGAATTTAATTTTTTTCTTTTCTTTCTTTCCTTGTCTCCTTTTCATGAAGAATTATTTTTACTCGTCCTGCCTTTTATTTCATCAACTTAAAGAATCTAAATTGAGTCTCTTATCATTGCAAGTTTACGCTTTTGTGATTTTCCTCGCTAGATTTTCTTCCGGTCTTTGGTTTAAAGGCGGGTTGAGGGGGAAAAGGGAAATTGAAAGCATTTTCCTCGCGGCAGTTAATTGATTGTAAAAAGGAAGAAAAAAATTGTTACAAGCTGGATTCCATGTTGAAAAGAAAATTCTTAAACTGGACATTATTAAATCGCTTGTTTATTCAAAGAACGCAACAATAATCAAAATCAGAAAATTTCTCATTTTTTCTCTCTCTGTTTAAAATTTCATCCTAAAATTAACCGAGCAGAGGTCCAAGCAAGCTAGCCTTCTTCATTCAACAATTTTTCTTAATTTAATTTTGAATAAGTTTGGCGTAAAAGGGTTGGAAAATGACTTTAAATTAATATCATTTCCCAACCAGAGAAAAAGGTTGTATGATAAAATCTTCTTGTTCTTGTTCTTCTTCTATATTTAGAATTAAAATGAAAGTGGAAGTGGAAGAGGCAAGCAACAAGAATTAAAATTATTTTAAACTGCAAAATGTTTGCGGAGACTTTTTCACTCGCCTTTCGTTCCCCAAGGGACGTCAAGACGTGAAAACTCACAAATATTTTCTTGTTGTTGTCATCTGAAGTATCTAACAACAGCACAAAATGAAAAACACCCTGAAAAAGTTGGAATAATTTGATTTCTAAAATGTCGCTTGTTTCTTTGTCCTTTTTTGTGATTTCATTCTCTGCAATGATAATGAACTGAAAATATTTTTGTGTTTCCTTTAATTGAGATGTTGTTCATGTTAATTCTTTTTCCTGTTTGACCTGACTTTGAGGTGGTTTTTAAGTACTTGGAAGTGTCAGGTCAAACTCACTTTCCTTCAGATTCATGTCGCATTTGTTGTTTATATAAAAACAGATATTTTCTTTTTTATTTTGCTTTCTATCGATTACTTTAAGTCCTTGGACATTTATTTTGAAATAGGAAAATCCGCAGTCATTTAAAAAGAAAAGTTGTCTTCAATTCAATGGTTGGTAATGTCTTCTGATTCATATTGCATATCTTCATACATATTTATGTATCTTTTGTAGGTCGGTAGATTCTAAAACAGTTTTAAAGCTTCTGAAGATAATTCAAAACAATCCGAAGATTGCATTTACTATGATGGAATGAAATGAAGTCAAAACAAACTCAATTTAGTCTCAATGACAACAATAAAGACGTCTTAAAATAAACAAAATATCTAATATCAACATATCACAACATTAAACTGACATCATTTTACTTAATCCAAATTTGTCAGATTTTATCTCTTCTGATATTTCTTAGATAAAAAAAATTCAGTTTTCAATTTCGCAACGTCGTGTTGGTTTGTCTGTGTTTGAATTTTAAATCGCTCTCTCCCGTGCAGTAACAGACACATTCAGATTTTACATATGACGATAATTATGACGGTGAAGTTTAGTCAGAGATAGAAATGGAACGGCAATAAGAAGAAAGACTTGAAAAATAAATAAATTCACTGAAATTTGATACACCAAAAGTAATTCAAACTCAAATTTCTATCCCTGACGTCTAACTACGTCCACGGAAACCCAAAGTAGTATTAGAATGTATGCACAGCGAGAATTCGTTAATTATTAATAGACTTAGTTGTGTTCAAGAAACCGAAAACGAATCAAGTCAAGTTTGGAAATTATTTTACAATGTCAGACGCAATTTCAATTCGTGTTGCTGAAGAAGGTGATCATGATGTAGTCAGAGATTTCCTTGCTGTTTATTATTATCCGGAAGAGCCGATAACAAACGCTCATCCTCAACCCGGCCACACTAAAGATGATGAACATTTTACAATGTCTCATTTGAAGAAGGAAACAATTTTGATGGCAACGAATAAAGAGAATGGTGAAATTGTGGGTGTTCTTGTCGCTGGTCCATTGTACCTCGGTGATGTTGAGGGAATGATTGAATTAGCGAAGAAAGCTGAATCCAAGAAATGGGCTGACATAAGTCTCTTCCTTGCTTACATTGAAAAGAAAGCGAGCGTTCTTAAACGATTAAATGTTTCCAGTTCACTTCATGTTCATGTAGTTGCTGTGAATTCAACTTACCGAGGACAAGGAATCGGTCAGAAACTCTTCAATGCATGTTTCGATAATGCGAAGCGACTTGATCATCCAATTGTTAGCGCTGATTGTACAAGTATTTACACAAACAATATTTGTGATCGTCTTGGGATGGATTGTATATCGACCGTAACGTATGCCGAATATAATGAATTTATAGACGAAAAACTCTTCACACCAACCGAACCGAATGTTGAAATAAAAACTTATGTGAAGAAGATTGACGACTAAGTAAAAATTCATGAATACTTAACTAAAACGTCAGCTGTCTGTCTGTAAGCAACTGAGCAAAGTGTTTAAAAATGCAACATGAAGGCATTGTAGACAAACAAACTTAGAATCAATAAAACATTTTTTTCAATTCTTTAACAATTGTCTGTGTCGGTTTTGATTTAACGTTTAAGGTTAAATGATGAAGTTTAATTTATTCGCAATTACACAAAGTCAATTAAAAAACATTTTCGATACGTTTATGTGTCATTATCTTTGAAATTTTCATTTTACAAACCATTCCATTAATCAATAGTCTCAATAGAATTTTCCTTTAATATTTCATTTCTTCTAATGATCTGACACTTTTCATGTGCAAAAAAAAACACTTTTCATCAATTTAATTCAATTTTATAATCTCTCCAAAGCTGTCATTGAGATGAAAATTTGAGAAAATTGAAAAGAAAAACTTTAAAGATTTTTTTTCATAGATTTTGAGTGTCCTTTTGAATAGATTTTCGCCTGCTTCTCACACCCACAACAAAGTCATCAATGAAAGAAAAGAAAGAAAAATCCCATCGCCGAGATTGATTCATCAATTTATTTTGAAATTAAATAATATGGATTAGGCACACAGTTTTGGTGAGAGAAGCAGAGGGAAAGTGAAGAAACATTTTTCAAATTGATGAAAAGAAAAACCCTGAGGAAAGTTTCAAGACATTCAATAAAAGCGACGCTAAAATTTCAGGGAAAATGGATATTTTTTAAGGGCTATTGTTAAGTTCACTCTCACAACAGCGAAACAGTCGTAAAACAATGGAAGAAAGAAATGTTCGAGGGTGTAGCATATCAGATAGTCTTAAAAGTAAAACGGATTTGAAATTGCCTCTAAATGAGGTAATGGGGAATTGAGAAGTAATTTCGAAGGGATTTATCATTATTTTAGCTAATAAAAACGTAAGATTCGCAGATAATCGAGAAGCGTATGATGATCATCACTGTTAAATGCACTTTAAACATGATTTTAATTTATCGCTATTTATAAAAGGAAAAATTTTCTTTATTTAAGCGTTTGATGAAAATTGAAAAATTAAGATTCTTCATTTTCAATTTTCCGCGTTCGCGCAAATAACAAAAAGAATCTTGAGAAGTACTGAATGAAACGTATTGAATCTGACTCGAGGAAGGAAGTGAATTAGCAAACAAGAAATGCTTTTCGCATCATTATGCTCAAATATTCTTTCGCTTGCTGATTTCCCCTTCTTATTCTTATTTTATTTTATGTTTTTTTTTTTCGAAAAAAAAAGCAAAGGAAAAGCAAGTGGAGGTGGATGAAAAATACATTTCGGAATGAAATTTCCACTCGACTGTTTCCGTGTGCCAGCTATTTTTGCCCAACTCCTATCATCAGATTCCTTAAATAAAAAGGGAAAATACAAAAACCAGAAGATGATTCAAATGACTGGCATAAAGGATGGGAAGAAAACTCTTTTTGAAAGCACGAAAGAAAAGCAGAAAACTATCATTATTTACATTCCCAATGATTTTGAATGGGATTGATATAGTTGTAAGCATTCGAGAGAAGAAAATGAAAAAAGAATCGAAGGGATATTCAATAGGGAAAGATGATTTTCAACAGATGAAAGGAAATGGTATATAAATCAAAGTATTTCAACTGCCAATATCGTTGAAGTTCCGGATTTTGAACTGAAAGCATCTTGAGAAACACTTTGGGGCTTCAACTTTAGTTTTGTCTACGAGTAAAATTGAAAACCATTGATTTGGTAATAAATTTCATTCTTTGCGGGTGTTTACGTTTAACCGGGACTGCTGCAATTTCTTAAATCTCAACTTTTGCACAAATAAACTGAATTTGCTTATTTTCATCCTTTTCAACATTCTCATTGTTGATACTTGAAAATCTATCAAAAATCAATTTTTCTTTACCTTTTTTAAACTTTTCATTCATCAAATTTATTACATTTTTCGAAAATAGCAACGCAATGATATTGTGAAAGTAGAGACATCAAAAAATGAAATCCATTCTTATGATAAATAGCTTCGGAAAGATTTCTTCAATCTTCCTTTTCATTGAATGATGAATGCCAAAGACTTAGTGTAAGCAATTTGAGGAATCAACGATGAATAGAAAACGTTATATTTTACTGTTTCTTTAATTATGAAAAATGAGCCTTGATGGTTCTATTTGTTTCTTTTTCTTTATTTATTCTTACATCATATAACGTGTAGCTGAACATTTGACAGAATGTATATTTAGTAATTAATATTTTAGTAATCGAAAATTTCCCTTTTTCAATTGCCTTGCCTTCCATAAATTATCATGCTCGATGAAAGAACAAAGTTAAACATTATTGGGGTTCTTCGTGTCTCTCTCCTCTTCAATAAACATATTTACGTAAGATATTTCTGTTGAGTGAATGAAAATATCATGATCCATAATGGGAAACTTTCTTCTGCTTTTCCTGTTGCAGGACATGAAGGAAAAACATAAATTATGAGCCCACAAACAAATAATCATTGAAGAGAAAATAAAGTTTAAAGTTTTTCTATCGCTTTTCCTTATTCGAAAAGTCCACAATGGGATTGGATGCCTTGAAGATATTTGCCAATTATATTGAATCATAAATGAACACATACAAGAGAATAATCACTTTAGGATGTTTCCCCATTTTTAATGTTTTCATTCGGAAAATCTCAATATTTTGTATGCAATACACAAAAGACCATCCAAAGAAAAACATTATGTGAAAGAAAAAAGGACTTGAGAAGAAAAATAAACAATATTGTGTGATAAAATCACACAAAAAGCAGTATAAAAGAAGGAAAACTGCCTGGAAAACTGTTTGGATTCAAAAGTCCCTGAGAATTTTCAACTACGAATGAAATTTTTATCTTTATTTTTTCAGTTCATTAAAATTAATTTATTATTTCTTGCTTTGAATAGAAAAGTGTTCTCTTTCTCGCCCACCAACTTCCATCCCAGACTAAGAAGAAAAGTTGCATGAGATGTGGAACGAAATGATTAAAAGTCTCTATCCATTTCCCTTTTTTTATCCTTTACATTGAATTTTCCAGAAATTTCTTTTCACAAACTGCCAACTGTATTTTCTTAATGAGGAATGAGATCATTATTATTGCAACATAATAGTGAAATTATGATATTACAGTGTCGGTAATTTAAAGTCGACATAGTTTCAGCTACTTTGTAATAAAACTTGCATGCTTTTAATGATTCCAACAATGCCATGCTTAGATGAATGAAAAGTAATTATTTTTACACGATTGTAAGCAGTTAAATTATGCTAGATATTATTTTTCAAATGACAAACTTAACTGCACGATATTGTCATGAAGGAAATGAACAAACATAGAGACATACAAACAAAGCCCGTTGCAATGCAATTTTAAAAAGCGATTACATAGATCACTGCGCAACCTGGCGTGAGAAGTAAGAACTTTAGTTTTGTAAACATTGCGGCAGCAATATTTTAAGATTGTAAATTATTTAAGTTTTAACTAAGATAAAGTCTTTAAACAGCATCTTTTTAAGATTATTTTACTTTTTTCTGTATTAAAAATCAAAAAGCGTCAAATGACAGCAACACAACTTCTTACTAAAGCCATTCAAGTGAGAATATAAAATTATATTTAAATTTTATGAAATTAAAAATAAATCAATCGTTTACTTAGTATGAGCTTTGTGGTCGGAAGCTGGAAAGTCTCAAGCTCTATGAAGATGGAATCAGTGAGTTATTGAAGACATGTAAAGCTGAAGCTGATAAAGAAAAGAAGAAACATTACCAGAAGAAGCTCACCGAATACATGGATCAAGCTGAGAAACTTAAGCAGGCAATTTTAAATTGGGGATCAAAAGGAGAAATTCGTGATAAAATTCACATTGCAGAAAATGCTAAAAATTACAGCTATCATCGAATATTCGGAAAATATCTTACTGAGGATGTTGAGGAAATTTTGATTGAAGAGCCGTATATGAAGGATCATTACCATCTCTGCAATTTGGTAATGTTTTGTGAATTGGCAGTCACCAATTGTAAAAATTTAAAATGTATTAGAATAACAACGAACAAAGACACGAACAAGGAATCAGAACAGGATAAAGGCTTACAATCCATCGCTAACAGTTTGTTGTTACATAATGTATGTTTAAGCATAAACTACACAAGCAGTCTTCATGACAGACAAATCCTTCTAAGCAATGGTTATATCATTAAAATTGGAAGAGGATTGAACTACTTTAAGCCTTTGGCAGGTAAGCTATCATTAGGTCAATTCAACTATAACTTCCGTGAATGTCGAGAGACAAATGTTGACATCTTTTATTGTCCAGAAAGTTACAAAATGTAATACGATACAAGAAACGCCCAACGACGTGTGTTTCATTAAGAAAGCCATTGAATAAAGTTTATTTTATATCTTTCTCTTTAATTGATAGTTTTGTTGTACTCCTTACAACATCGAAGTTTTCAAAAGCTCATTAAAATTTCATTGCAAATAGAATTTACTTCCAGTTTATTTATCAAACTTCGTTTTTTCTTCCATAAAAAATTCACAGCGATAATGTTTCGAACAAACAGACAACAAAATAATTTTTTTTTGTGCTTCAGAACTTTTCAATTCACACAACACTTTTGCGTGCTAAACATTTAGCCACAATGTGAATGTGGAATGTGGTGTTGACCCACAGACAGCTGTTTAATGATCTTCGACTGACTCGTCTCGTTCTGCATTGCATTAAAATGAATTTCACTGAAAATGTCATAAAATGCTTCTGGTTAGGTGAAAAAAAAGCTACTTTAAAGCGCTGCAGGTGGTCAATTTAAAAGTGTAGCAGTGACATGCTTTAATAAATATTTTATCAAGCCAACAAGCATTCCACTGCCTGCAGTTTTTTTTATTGCGCGAAATAAGTGCCCGAAAAATGAAGAGGAAAGTAAAGTGTTGTTGATAACACCGGTGCTTTTTGATGTTGGCCTTTGATCACCCGACGGGCATCGTGTAGATGTTTACTTTTAGAATTGAGTTAGAGTCAGAACACCTTGTACAATAACATTGCACAATAAATAAATAATTGAATAACTGATGGGCAACTGTTACCATCATCAGCATTGTCCCTCCCTTCTTTCTCTTCCCCTCACGTACACGTTTAACTTTACTTTGTCTGCTGCTTTTCCTTCATGAGCATTTTTTCTTCTTCATTATTTTTCTTATGTTTCGGAAAACGACCAAAAATTGTGATTAATTTTTCACGAAAAGCTGAAAACCCCTTAACAATAGTGGAAAAACATTTTCTATTATTTTCATGTTATTATAAATGAGGGAGACAGTGAAAAGTGGTGGTGGTTGGTAGCACCTAAAGGCTTCTTTTGATGCAGCAGTCGGGAACGACAACATTAATTTTAAACATGAAGAACATTCCGAAACTTTTTTTTTTCTTTTTTGGGGTAAGTTGAGCTGTTGAACAGAAACGACAAGAACGTGATGAAATTAACAAGAAGAAAAAGAAGAGGAAAATCTTTTCCGAAAAGGGAAAAATAAAAACAAATTCTTGAGAATGATTTTTACATTTCCCAAAGCTTCATTTTTGTATTTTTATTCATGAAGCACAGTTGACGTTGTTGCAGTGCTTGTTGCTGTTTGACGAAGGAAAAATATAATTAATTAATTCTAAGAATTCTTTTCCAAATTTGATTTCTTTTCGCTTTTGCAACTCAATTGTTTGTCATCAATTTGATCATCTTCTTCACTCTCGAAGAAAATATAAAAGCGAAACCATCAAAAATCATTGTTATCAGGATAATTGATCGTAAATTAAAAGACTTTTCTCGTCGATGTAATTGCCACATTTCAACAACTTTCACAGTTCACAGCCAGCACAAGTTGGAGAATAACAAAAGATTAACCCAGAAAATAAAAACAAATAGCTTGGAATCATTGTTGGGGAAATTGTTGAGATCTACAGTAAAATAAATGAAGGCTCAAACTAACATCATAAGCAAGCAAGCAGAGCAGCAACTAGAGTGGCTTAATATCAATTGATAAAACCATGAGATTAGTTTCAATTTGAAGATTAAATAACTAATTGAAGAAAATCATCGAATGACTTTTTTCTTTCTTCTTGAAGACAATCACAACATTTTGTCGATGGTTTTAAGTAAATGTAAGCGGCAGAAAAACAAGCACTAACAATTTTTCTTTCTTTCTGAAGTGATATGAGATTTGTTTGTTCATTTTATGAACAAAAAAAGAAAGAAAAAGAAGGAAAGAAAGAAACATTCGATCACAGACTTATTAGGAAGATAAGTCAATATGTTTATGTCAAGTCTTTCTTCGAGATGAATCAACCGAAAGAGGCGAATGAATTATGCAAGCAAACGTTACAATGAAGTTTTTATTTCACTGCTTTAGAAAGAAACATGATGATATATGTGGTGAGTATCTAGATGATTGAAGCAGTTGCTTCTCTGTCATTGTTTTCATTGTTCTCAAAGTGTACAATCTTTGTCGTTTTCATTGCACTTCAAACTTCCTTACCAACGTCGTCACTGTATTGTTCTCTTTAACCTCATCACAACAATAATCTTAAGTGTCGCTTTCGCATCTTTTAATTTTCATGTGACAAGTCTAATTACTAACAAAGGAATTATCTCCTTGCGCAGATGAAGTCGAGAGCTATAATTCTTACTTGGAGCCTGAAACTACTCTCTTCGCTTTGGATAATGGCTGTAATAAAAATGGAATAATCATAAAAGATGTATAAGCTTGGCTTTTCGGAAACAATAGAGTAATTTCGCGTTGTCGTTTCTTCCCTCCATCTTTTGCTTAAACGAAAGCATTTCTCTCTGCCTCGAATGGAAATTGCTGCAGCTTAAGTCTAATCATCATCTCTTTCTCTCTCTCACTCCCTTTTCTGTTTTTCTACTGATGTTATTATTTGGATTGTAAGACTCTTTAAGTAGGGTAATAGATCAATTAGCTTTTGCGGTTGCGAATAAAAATAATTTCATTAAATTTTATTTTGCATAACTTTGAGGCGAAAGTTTTTTGTCGCTCGCGACTTTCCTCTTTCTTATTTTGCAATGTTTTTACTCGATTTATTATCTTTAATTAAATCTGATTGTTGTTTTATTCAAGAATATTTAAATTTTGCTGACATCAATGTCCCGATGATGATGATGATGATGATGCACTTGGTTAATTTTCAAAATTGACAATGAATTTGTTTCTCTTTTTTATGATTCATATTTATGTTTTTTTATGCTTTCATTATCTATGTTGCTTGTTGATTATATGTTTTAAAATAAAATTTCTAGTTCATTGAAATGAAAATTCGTTGTGAAAAAATACTGAACAATAACAACAATCAACATGAGTTAAAAGAAAATCCTGTTAGAGCATTCAACTAGTAAGACAAAATTAAGTCAAGTTAATGCCGTGTAGGTTCGTTGTAATTCTCTTTCCATTCTGTGATTTATTGTTATGAGAAAGTTCAAGGGAGAACTTAAAAAGTATTCCTAGGCTATCAACAATAATAACCAATTATTGTAATATCATTCTCGTTAAAATTCAAGTGGCAAAATCTTGGTTCAATATCGTTCAAGTCGAAACATTTCGTCAGCTAAATTTTTGAATTTCTCATCCAATTACCAGATTACCATTACCAGAATTATTCTCTGAATGGCATCTGTACTTGAAATCTATTATCCATTATTTAATCTCTCACAACTCTCTGGGGCTGTTAAGCTTTAAAATCCAACCCAATCCAACTTGATTCTGTTGCTTTCTGCAAACTGAAGCACTTTCATATTTTTCCCCTCTCAATATGTTACTCCATTCAGGTTTCCAGCTTTCATCCTTGCTGTCGCTGCTTTTCCTTCGTTATGAAAAATCCTCGCATGAATCGTAAAAAAACGAAAATAAGTATACATTGTTGTCTCACATATCGCATAAACATTGAAGATTGAAACTGAATAAATAGAAAATGCTGATGACTTGTTGGACGAAAAAAAAATTTCAATCTTTTCTCTCCTACATTCGAAGACTTGAAGGAAAAAAAAGAGAAATATAAGCGAAAAGATATAAAGACGTTGACATTCCCATGCCATAGATAAACGTTGATATACAGAAGGAAAAAAATTGTTACTGCTTTTTTCTCAACGCTCTTACATAATTCGCTTTCAAAGACGAGATGGAAAATTTTATCATGCCCCATCAACCAGAATCAATTCAAGCCATGATTCACTCTTCGGGGGATGATGAAGAAATCGGTTGTATGTATACTGTGGAGCATAATGAAGAAAGAATTCGCCTCGTTGCTTGCGTTTTTCTTTCATTTGTTGGAATAAAGAAAATCCCACTCATTTGATTTTATCAACTTGCTTAAACAGAAAATTGAATTTTTATGGATGCATACTTGAGGATTGGAAGATGGAGAGAGAGAGAGAGAACGTGTACGCAATTTTCTTTCACTTACTTCTTAATATGTAAGTATTATAAATCAAAAAATAAGCGAACTTATTCCCGACCTAGTTGTTTTATGACTTTCAATTGGCAAAGTCACCCCTTAATTGCAGTCACGATGCCTTATCTCTCATCAACAGGCCTCATGAGTCTCACATCTTACCATTTTACAAAATTGCTATTCTTCTTGTTTTCTTTCGTCACAAACGGAAATTCTACTTCTAAACACGAAGCAAAGAAGAAATTGCTTAATCGTCTAAGCAATAACGAATGAACGACGCGACACTGACTCAAATCAACATTGATTTTCATAAAATAAAATTCTAAATTTATTTACATTTCGTGAATTTATTTTTTTGGATAATAAATCGCGGGGAAATTATGTTGCGTCAACTCCCAAACATTTTTCTTCTTTCTTATTTTTTAGTCTTAGCTCGAAACGACTTTGTCGCCGTCATGAAAGCAAAAGAAAGAAAGAAGAAAATTTTAAAACAGGAAATTCCACAACGCATCGTTCTTGCGTCTAATGAGATCGAGTAATTGTGGCAATTCATATTCGAGTAGGAGTTGGCTGAAAGCATAAATATCTATAAAGAGCAAAGACGCAAGTATGAGTAAGTGATAAAGTGGAAGACGGAAAGAAACTTTATGGGTGAACGACTGATAGAGAGCTGAAGCGAATAATGTCATTCAAGCTTCTTATCTTGAAATCTCCGCTTCACTGTGTTATCTAAATTAAAAGAGATTTCATTATACTTTGTCGATATTTTTTTACTGTCGACGTCTCTCTTTCGCGTTTTATTTTCTCTCACACAAGAGAAACAAAAAAGCATACGAAATGTGTTTCCCTCCGCTGATGCTTCGCACATAAAAGATACTCATGGGGTCAATTCGATTTATGATTTCGTCGTTTTTTTTCTTCAACGAGCTTCCATCAAGCGAAGAAGTGAAAGTGTCGTTAGCCAGAAGTGGTCGTTGACACAGAAATTACTCAGAGACAAAGTTACAAGAGCTGTTGCTGGCAAGGCGTAATAAGAATGAAGCTTAAGAGTTTACAATCTGTTTTTGTTATTGCTGAAATTGGACAAAATCACCAGGGTAACATTGAAGTTGCGAAAGATGTAATAAAACTTCCGGAATTCTTCCCCAGCTTTAATCTAATTAATTTAATTTGAAATTTCAATTTTCTCGCTTTCCTTAGATGATTCTTGAAGCTTCTCGTGCTGGTGTTGATTGCGTCAAATTTCAAAAGTCTTGCCTTGAAGAAAAATTCACTAAGAAAGCATTGGCGAGAGCTTACAATTCTCCAAATTCTTTTGGTTCGACCTACGGCGAGCACAAGAGATTTTTGGAATTTTCTATCGAACAATTGAAGGAATTGAAAGATTATGCTGAATCATGTGGATTAATCTTCAGTTCTTCTGCGATGGATAAAGTGAGTAGTCAATCAAGTTTCACTGAACATGTTTTTCTCTTATCTGATGCATACAAACAAGAAAAGGAGAAAAAAATTACGAGATTGATCGTAAAATGTTTCTTTTTCTTGATTTTTGATTATTCGAAACTTCAACACAAGCATAAAAAATCAATGATGAAATTTATTTAAGCAGACATTTATTTTCTGGGATAAGAAAATCCTCTCAAAGCATAAAAAAGAAAAAATTAAGCTCATCCAATTGTAAGCTTTTTCCATCCACATCATTAGGTTTCATTTGATGAGCTCAAGCAATTGGATTTGCAATTTATCAAAATCGGTTCGGGCGATACGAACAACATTCCATTTATGCGTTACATCGCTCAACAAAATGTTCCATTGATTGTCTCGACGGGTATGCAAAATGAATCGACGGTTAGGAAAGTTGTAAAGATTTTTGAAGATGCCAACACTGACATCGCTCTACTTCATTGTGTCTCATCATACCCAACACAAGTCGAAGACACTCAATTGTCTCACATTTCTCGTTATCGAAAGTTATTTTCAAACATTCCTATCGGTTATAGCGGTCACGAAATTGGCTGGGAATGTTCATGCTTGGCTGTATTGATGGGAGCGAAAGTTTTGGAGCGTCATTTTACGCTCGATAAAAATCAAAAGGGATCCGATCACATTGTGTCATTGGACCCTCGAGACATCGCATCGTTGGTCGAGAAAGTTCGTCTGATTGAAAAGAATGTCCAACTTCCCGTAATGCCAGATGATTTACTTGATGTTGTCACAAAATTGAATCTCTTTGAGAATCCACAGGGATTTATTGGTCGAGCATGCGGACCAGTCGGACGAAAATCAATTTTTCCATGTGAATTAATGTGCAAACATAAATTGGGAAAGAGTTTGGTGTACTCGCGGGACTTAAGAAAAGGACAACGTCTTGAAGAGTTGGATTTGAGCGTGAAAGTGAGCGAACCGAATGGCATCCCAGCAGAATTATTTGATGATGCTGTTGGAAAGGAAGTGAAGCGTGATGTTTGTTATGATGATCCAGTTATGGAGAGTGACATCGGCCAATTCGAAACGACGCATGGAGATTTGTAACATCGTGTTATGAAGGCGGAGCTGAACAAATAATTACTTTATGATAATTTTTTACGACCTTCTTCCTCAGCTTTGCTGAAAATAAAAAGTAAAAAATAAGAAGAAGAAATCTCATTTCCTGATCATTGCAGTAAGTCACAAAATTGTTATCTGAGTAACGTAAGCAATTTATATATGGGGCAAATTTCTTGGAAAATGTTTTACGTTTGTTCAAGTTTAAATAAATTTAAAAAGTTGCTAATGAAGTGACAAAAAAAACTTCCAGGAATATTCTTGATGATGAATAAAGTTAAACAACAGACAATTAAAGTTAACGAAATGAAATAAAGCTTTATTTGCAGACATTTAATTATTACATCACATGTTATTTAAATTATTCTGTGATTTGAATATCAGAACATGTTCGGAAGTGTTCTTGTGGGCCACATCCAAGTCTTCCTGACCCATCATCACAGTAGCCCCAATTATTACCAGCCACATAAGTCCATTGAAGAACGCAATGTTTGCAAGTCAAGCCTGTGGGAAGTTTCAAAGACACGAAGTAGTCAGCTGCAGCTGTTGATGGTAAAGTGTAAGTTGATGATCCCGTTGTCGTTGAAAGCTTGTATCGTTCGAAGCATTCGTCAGATTCTTGTTCATGATCGAGATTGCAGATTCTGAAGTAAAAGTATCCTCTGTGATTGGCGGTAATTCGAACGGTGACAGATATTGAAGATCCTTTCTCGTAAGACTTGACAATGACTCCTTGTCCGTATGTTCCACCCAATTCATGTGCCCTTGGAAGTGCGTCGGTGTATCTATCGCCACATAAACCACATCTTCCTTGTATTGCCGGACTCCATTGGAATTGATATCCACCACAGAACCCTTCCATGTCATTATAATCAGGAATTGCTGTTGGATCAACCTTCCAACGACTTGCACGATTAACTGGATCCATCACCATTCCATGTCCCTTTACATCGTCGATAATGACAATAATGAGAAAGATGAAACATCCGAAAATTTTCTTATTCATTTTTCTTGTACTTTAAATCAAGTGAATGCTTTAATATTTTAACTCAATTCAAGGCTTAATGAAGACTGAAAGCACTCAAGCTTTGGATCGTTCTTTTATTCTTTTATTCGTAATTTGATAAGAAAATGTGCTCTAATATACTTAGATATTATGTGCCAATCTACTAAAAGACAACAAGCAGTTTATTATCCACTCTTTTTATCACGAAAATGATTTGGATTTCCCCCCTCAACAAATCAAAGTAAGTCATCTTTTTCGTCTTTCCACTTAATGGCAATTTGTCGAGTTTTAATTGCTTTATCATGTGTTTGTGTGGGTGGGCGGTCGTGGAGTTGTAAACAAATTGTTTTATTTATTTATAAACTTTTATGATGAACGACAATTGAGAAGTTTTGTTGTGATTTTTAAAGTCTTGTTTTGTCGTCATTCGTCATAAATGATACGACAACGATGACGACACTAACAACTCAACAACGGAAGATGCTTAATAATTATTAAAAAATTATCGTGGCTTGCTAACAATTGTTAAGAAAAAGAAAAGAATTCTCAATCGATGCTCTCCATTTTCCTTTCTTCGTCTGAATAAAAACTAATTACGAATCTGAAATGGAAGGCGGCAGCAAAATGTCAAAAGGAATTTTCCATTTCGAGACCAACTGATAAGAATCCGAATACAAAAACAGCAAATGAAATGGCAATAAATCTTGTTAGGACTTTTTTTTTCTCTCTGGCTTCATTCTTCTCCCAAAGACTGAAAGCCAATTGCGTATCAAGACATAACGCCCGCCGAACACAAGATGGAAAAAAATGGACAAAGCTCAGCATAAGAAGAGAAATTATTGTGTGCGCTCAAAGATCACAAACAATTAAATGAAATATATTAAATCGTAACATTAATTAAATATACTGTGCTGTAAGATCTATCTTGAACCCTTGAGGCGTGGGTGATTCAAGGGGGTGGGGAATATCTATCTCGTTGTTGTTTCTGTGTGTCTTTTAATTCAAAATGCTTTGCCCTCACATCACAAATGGACATTTTATCGGTTGTTGCTTGAATATTTTGTGGCATTTGTATGAAAATGAATTTCTTGTTATACATCTACAGGAAATTATCTTAAATTGTTTAAAAAGTTATAAAAACGAACAACTCTTATCTAAAATGTAGATATCTATCTAATGTTCTACGAAATTAATTACCTTGAACAGCAATCCTCAAAAATTACAATCTCTCAAATAAACATAAAGCTTCAAAGGTTTATTTAGTTAAATACGCCTAAGAATCTTTATTATTTACTCACTGTCAATATGCAGAAGCAATCCCATGTGAAACCTAAATTAATCGTTGTCGTTCATTGATAAACAACAGGAAATCCAATTGTGACATCATGGGGATAAAGAAGTGAACAACATATCGTCAATCACGAGAAAATTGTTGAGCCATTATCTCATGAGGGGAGCTTAGTTAGCAGAAAAGAAAAACAAACCGAAAAATCATACAACAATGTCCTTGTTCGCTTTGGCTTTCGCTTTTCTTCGAGAACTTTTTATGCCTTTTTTTTCTTTTCTTTCTTGCTTGCCTCTTTTAAATAATCTTATGGAATTATCTCATTGCCATTACGCAAAGCTGTATTCATTTCATTAGAAAATATATGTATGTGGTGTGGAGCTGGGGAGTTCTTCATATGATCGCAAGAAGTTGGAGGTTTGAGTGACTATTACTTTGGCTGGCACCAAATTGTCGGCATGGTAGCGTAGGAAACCACCAAACAGTAGAGCTCGCTGAAGCTCCTAATTTTTGCCATTTTAGTGTGTAAATTTCTTGCAGTAAAATGTCTTGTTATCTTTTCTCTTCATAGCAACATAGCAATAGCATATATATTTACATATATCTTTTTATGTTCACATACATGAAGATTCTTCATATCAAACAATAAAACATCGAAGAACAAGGAAAGAAAAATCTCGAGAATTCATTCTTATTAATATTATTGTCATGTTTTGCTTGCTGTTGCTTGCTATCTCTTCAAAACCAGCAGAAAAAAAAAGAAAAGAAGAGGAAAAGCCGATATAACATTCAAAATGACTTGTGAAGCAAAGAACAAGAAAAGAAGAAAAGTTGGAATGAATTACAATTTACATACTTAATGATTTGAAAAACAAAAGAATTATTCTTTATGATAACACGATGTTGACGATGTGTGAGGGTGGAGAGATGTGAACGAAGAAATTTGTTTGCTGTTGACGTTTAACTTCATAAAAACTTTTTCTTTTTTCTGAAGAGAAGAAGAAAAAAATCAACAGGATCCCAGAAATGTCAAATGGGGCATATTTTTCACGTCGATTGACGTCACTCGGAGACGTCTTGTTTATCAAATCTTCACCCCCAAAATGACCCCCAAGCATGGATCGAACGACAAGAAGAAGCATGATTTTGAACACACACAAATTATGGTGATTTGAAAGGAAATGGAAGAACTAAAAACGATTCAATACATGACAAATTTGTGTGAAATGTTTTTTATCTTTATTCGGAACATCAATTGGAGATTATTTTGATATTCCTTAGACGTGCTGGTGATGCATAAGTTGGGACTGAAGACAAACATTAGTCAACGATATCCTTTCGAGATGAACAAGCTGCTGCTGCTATTGGATAAAGTGTCAAATGCCAATCTGATGTTTAATGCTTAGAAATTTTAACAATCCAGGCTATGGACAAGCAGTGTGCGTTTTTCTAACACTCTGATAAACAAATAAGAAGAAGGTCGTCGTCGCTTTGATTGTCAGTATCCAGCTCTAAATGCTGTCAAATAATCACTCGTGATATTTATGTTACAAATCTGAGAAGAACAATGAGAAGTTTTGGACAGGAGATTGTGGGGATCCTTAAATATTAATGTTTTTACAATAAAATGGGATTTACATTTATTTCCTGTTGTTCCAACAACCAAATGTGGATTGAAGTCGGCATTGATAAGATCTGAAGGGAAAATATCATTTGAATGACAGCGACAGGTAGCGAAGGCTTCTTAGTTTACATAAAAGAAAAAGGAAAATCATTGATGGTGGAAGTAAAGGGACTTCTTTATCTTACTTGCCAATCTTAACTGAAACGGAGATGGAAGAAATTTCAAAGTTACGGTAACAGGTGTTGAGTTTATTCAGAAGAAAGTCAGAACTTGTTGAAGAAATCCTCCCATTACAAATATCTGAAAAGGTTTAATGTAAACGATGTAAAGAGGTGTCATCGATTTCATTTTGTTTTATTTATTTCGAATATCTTTTCAATGTGAAGTAAAAAGCACTTAAATGTAAATAATTAAACGACGAAAATTCGATAGCAGTTGATGAGAAGAAAGGAAAAGAAAAGTTAAGTCGACTTTGCTGTAATTCTAAACAATTACAACTTGGGCCAACATTAAAAAGAACGAAAGAAAAAAAGGGAAACGAAATATTTGAAAGTGAAATTAAGGAAAGAACAGTTTTATGTAATAAAAAAAAAGGGTCAAAATCCTCAACTTCATTTTCATGTTCTTTTCCTCCACTGACTGTTGCTGAAACCTTTGAATAAATCCTTAATGTTAGTTGAGAATTATTTTTCCCTCTTAAAGTCTATCTTGAATTGATATTGGCATGTTTATAGAATAGAGCGGGGGTGGAAGTTAGAAAGGGAAAGAAAAGTTTAATGACTTAGTGCAAAGTAGAATTGCTCCGATTTCAAATCTTAAGAAATTCTATAAAGTCTATTGACCAATTTACGGAATGGACGAGAAAAAGGAAGAAGGAAGAAAAACAATTCAAAGAAAAGCCTTCAATGGAAGATTTCCATGCTTAAATTTAGCTATAAATTTAAATTGAGTGAATCAAGCTTCTCGTTTTAATTCCAGCTTTTCGAAATATCTGCAAATCTGTGAGTGGTGTGATAACACATAAAAAATAAACTTTTTCAAGTTCTTCTTCCATCGACATTCACCACCATGAGATTGGAAGTTGCTGACTGAATCTCCAAGCTGAAGTTTCAATTAAAACTTTGATTGAAATTAATGTGAATTCAAAAATATTTTTTCTATGCTTGTAGAAGTGGGAAGTTCGTTCTATTTATCGTTAAAAAGTGCTGAAATAGTCGAGAAAATTTATTCTCTATTTGTTATCATCCGGCACCATGATTGTGAGAATTTTCTCGTCTCATTCTATTTATTCCCTCATCTTGCGAAAGAATGAAATGTTATTTAATTGAAAATACAACACACTTGAAAGTTCATCATCGTTGTCGTCGTCTTTTCGAAAGGAATGCGGTGAAGAAACATCCGCATCAGCATTAAGCTAAGCAGTGAAATGAGATCTTCATACCAGAGATGGGTAAAGAAATTTCCATTAGAGAATTCTCTTGAGGCGAAACTTAATGTTGAAAATGTTTGAAGAAACTCTCAGTAGAAAATTTCTTAGAAGCATTGGATAATCACTGAAATATTGTTAATCATTTAATAATAAAATATTTCAGTTGTGTCAGCAATTTCCCCAAAAACTTTTCAATTCTTTTATTGAAGGTAGAAAATCAACCCAACTCTGCTTCACATGCAACAGAAGACAACCAAAAATTTTTGGTTTTAAATGAAAGAAAAGTTTTCCTCCTTCATTAGGATTTCTTCATGACTTTATGCTGTTGCTGTCTTGTTAGATGATCTTAAAAGGCAGAAAACTTCATTCAGCTTACGTCTCAATGACGCATAGAAGTAAAGCATATGAATATAAAAAACATTATCGTATGAGATTAAAACCTTTACATATGTGTCATTCCGCAGTTAGTTGAAAGAATGGTTACGGTGGAAACAAACAGAAAACAGAAATGCATGCTTCATTATTTTATGTATATAAAAGATTACTTGTATGGAAAGTAGTTGTTGGTTGTAACATAAATATCTCAGTGAAATCCTGAGTGATGTGAGAAGAGCGAGCAGTAGACGAGGTTAAAGTTTTTCTCTAGCTTCCGTGAAAAGTTATACGTAATGTGAAGAAATAAATAAACTTTGCCATGGAGCTAGGTAGCATTGAATAAACTTGTAAAGACTAAAAAGAGAGAAACGTTGAATCCCAGTTGAGTAGACGACACTTGCGGTAATGAATAGAGGATGAAGTAAACTGTTGATGACAAAAATACCAACTGGGATGTCAAATGTAAACCTTACACATATCCATCTAGTAAACTACAAAAAAGTACCCTTGAAATATGATACTTAAAAACTTTCATCATAATCTTTCTTTCACTATCCTGCTTAGTCGCTTTAAACTTCACACAGATACCTTTGAAGTTTCCCAACTGATGTATTTTTATAAAAGAAGCAAGCATCAAAACTCTCGAATTAAACAAGTGTTTTTATTTTTGATCATTATCAAAATATCAAACATGCATCGTTTCAATCTATGAAAAAATCTAAGAGAACAAGAAAAGATTTCAAATATGCAGCAACTTTTTCTTCTGGAATGTAAAATTTGTTGCCTTCGTGGAGTGTCCAACATGTAGATAGTTCAAAATTGTATAAACAAACTTTTAGGATGCAATGGCAAAGTGTCGTTGAAATAAACTCGGAGCTTTCTCCTTGTCTCTTCATTCCAAAACTTATTTAACTTAGTTCATGTACATTTATGTAATTTCTCGCTATTCTCGTCACACAGCATGTGAATATCGTAATGGCACTTGATGAAACACACAACAATATCTCATTCTTTTATGTTGGCCATCAATTCACTACCACACACATCCACACGAAGGAAAACTCTCTCAAAATTAGTCTCGTCGACAAATGGTCAGTTCAAAGCACAGCACAGGAAAAACTTAGAAAGAGAGAAGGGAAAACTATTTATAATAAATAATGTAAAACTGTTGCTTAAATATTACAGTAACATGCAAAAAAGTGTTATGTATTCAGCTTACCACCCCCACATGAAAATTTCACCAACAACTAAAACAACAAATAAAAACAAGCAACACCATTACGTTTATTGAAATAATAATTTTATGAATGATGAAAAAGAAGAAAAAGTTATTTTAATTATTTTTTATGTTGACTTTGTGACCTTATTATCGCGTTATATTTTTTCAGCTGCTAATGATTTAATAACTGGCACGAAAGCTAAATAGATATGACAATTGTGTACTGTAGTTTCAGCATAATTCTGTTGAATTGAATGCGCTTTTATTACTTTTTATTCTTCACTTGTCATGATTGCATGAATTGGGAAAATGAAGTGATGTAATCCATTCGTAAAAGTGACAACCATGGCATAGTTTATGTGAAAATTTCGATGGAAAAAAATATTTATGAGTCGTTGTTGCGGTATGTTGTGTTCATCCTCAACATTATTTATGAAAATTAATAGATATAGATTGTGGGGCTGAAATGGGTATTAAAAATGATGTATTTGATTTATTTTTCAACACTCCGTCAGTCGAGAGAAGGGAAAATTCATTTTGAGCGTGTCAATAACGGAGGAAAATGGAAAGTGAGGGAGAGAGAAAGAAAGGATAAATTGACCCTAAAACGATGCTTTCTCTCTCTCCTTTGAATATCTGGAAAACATAAAAATTGTGTGGTGTGCGATGAGCGCATTTTTTTAATGGTTTGCTTCATAATTTATCTGACTAAATTAAATGGATTTATGGGCTGATGAATCTCACACCATCAATTCATCGGGTCGCACTATCGTTTTGCGTCTATTTGGGTGGGCAGTTGAATGCCTTGGATGATTTTCAAAACACTTACACGAAGAGAGAATGAGAGGCAACACGAGTGCAGATGAAGGGTAATTTTCAATATTGATGAGCCATGTCGAGGAAAAAAAAATAAAAATAAAAGAGGCCGAACCCAAAACGACGAGAAAAAGTCAAAACACCATTCGCTTAAAGCCAAAGATTTATCGATGATCATTAGAAACAGATTTTTCAGTTGTTGAATCGGCTGTTTGTTAAATTCCTCTTCGTCTCATCATTTGCTGATTGTAAGTACTCTTTAATGTTAATGGGTTAATTGAGGGTTTGAAAGAATGGTTCGAAGAAGTCTTTTTGATTCAACATTCAACTAGAAATAAACTTTTATTATTTGAAGTGTCAATCATAAAGGAATTTTTTTCCATTTCTATGGTGTATTGTTTGGTTAACCAAAGTTTGTGTTATCGTGACCACGACCGACTTACTTAAAGACGAAAACTTTTCCAGCATTCAAATAAAATTGTGCGATAAGACGTTTGATTAATTTACATGGAAATAAGAGTTCCACTGTTTCATTGTGCGCGTGAAAACTTTCAAAGACTTTTCCTTCTTTTTTTCTGTTTTATTAAGAAAAGAAAAAAAGTTTCTTTAATCTCGAACCACGCAATCCGCCAGGGGTGAAATCAATCAAATAATAAAAAATGGTAATTTTTCGTAGGATTCCTTTTTGCCTTCACTAAAGAACAGCAATATATTTCCGCACTTTTTTATTCTTGTTTCATTCTTCTCGACAGCACCAGGAAGCAATACACGAAAAAAAAATCATTTGTAACTGATAGCGACGTTTTTTTTTTCTTCTTCCATTTTCTTTCTTTCTCGCATTCGAAGATCGAGTAATGGAACTGTTAAAAAAATGTTTTCTTTCTTTATTTGAATTTGATGAATTACGATGGTGCGTGTTGATACATTTAATGTTGAGAGCCGCTGCATGAACCATTCCATTGTTGGTTTTTCTCCTGCGGTATGCAAAAGTGCCTTCCCGCGTCGTAGGAAAATGGATAAAAGATACATTAATAAATCACTCATCTGTTTCACTTGAGATTCTTCTTTCTTCTCCTTTCTCTTATCATCAACAATACTTACTCACTTACAAACCACAAGAGGAAGAAAGAGATGGGAAAATATTTTAATTTTTCTCATGCACGGATGAGAAATGTGTGGATGAAAATTACAAAAAGAATCTTCCCCAGTGCGCCCAGATTGTGTCGGTTTCCTTTTTTCAACTGTCAAAAACGATGTGGTACAACAAAAGGAGACAAACGGTTGTACATCATAAAGCGACACACAAAAGACGATTGTTGGGAGAAGAAATGGGGATCAATGCTCATACGAAATCCTATAAAAGGCGGAAAATATTTGTCAAGCATTAACGAGCAACCGAAGATTTTTATTTAGCTTTTCTTTTCTACTAAGTTAGATAATCCAAAGTATTTTCCTTTGATTTCCTTTTCTTCGTTTAATGCGTGGATGGAAAATTGTTGCTGGCATTTCATTCTTATTTCCACAGTGTCGAGAAGATGTTGATATTTTATATTTTGCCAATTCCTTTTTGCTCGCTTCTCAAACGATAATCTTTTCATCATAAGAGGAATCATTTCTATTCTTGTTTTTCGGGTGCAAAACGACTACAACGACTTACATAAAAAAGATTTTTCCTTTCTTTCCTTTCCTTTCCTTCTGACATCCCACAGCAAACAATGATGAACAATCAACTTACACAAATAATAACCCACAAAATCCAATAATATTAAATGGTCTTCTCATAGAATGAAGATCTTGTTTTGTTTCGTTTCGTTGGACCTTGAAGAATTGGATGATGAGCTAACTTCATAGATATTGATGACGCTGTTTTGAAAAAGTGTAGAAAATTTATAAGAAAAATTGAAAGAAAATTTATTCAAACATCAAAACCTCAAACAGAGTTAATCAATTTTTGTCTTAGAAATTCGTTTCGCTTACTATCATAACTTTTTACGAAAAGAAACATTTTTCAAAGTGCCAAAAGTGAATAAGCCGAGCCAAACCTCCACAAAAACCAATCCAAACATTTGTTTTCCGTTTTCCTTCTCTCTTTCCTTGAATAACAACACAAAAGTTGATGTTGTTGCTGTTCTATTCGTCGGCAGAAATGAAATGTAAAAAGTATTAAAAATAGAAATAAAAGTAAATGGATTAAAAAATCATTTCACCAAGGCCTACAAAATCAAATTCATTCTCATTCCATGCGGGGTGAGCTTTTGAGGCGAAGGAAAAAAAACATTTTTGTTGTTTGCAAAATAAGCAGAAAAGGAAGAAAAAAGCAGAAGAAGAAGATGGAGTAGAACGAACGAACGTACGATCAAACAATAAAATTTTATGGTGTGGTTTCATAATAAAATTCATTAGCGGGTTTTCTTTTGTCTTGCTTTTTCAATAGTATTAATTT